ACCAATTCTCTTTTGGCATGGACAGGCATCCACATGTCAGCCTGCAAGGGCGAAGGAGCGGCGACTGTGAGTTACCCGTCGGAGTCCCGGGCCCACTCACTGGATTCCCGGCAAGGTGGGGTGTAATATTTGTAATAGGCGGCCAATACGAGACGTGCGATTTGCTACATACCGAGCGAAAGCAGCGCCACTTGGATCGGATGCTAGGAACGGCGAGATTCCCTGACAGTGTTCCTCACACTTCAAACCCTAGTAATAATGATTTCAACTTTAGCACGAAGAGTCGCCTGGTACTTTGGAGTTGAGAAGACCGGCTCGCCTTCAGACTGAGTTGATTGGACAGATCAGATGGACCGAAACGTCGGGACCCCCGTGGCAAATACCTGATGCCCACACCGCGTGAAACACACTTTCGGACGAGGCACGACATGCTGGCGGGTTCAACTCGGGGCAAGCACTTGAGCATGGACCGTCATACTCGGTCGCTAGTCGTCATAATGAGAGATCGGATAAGACTTTTTGGGCCGTGCGCCAGTGTAAAATGTTCTCGAAACACCTCGAACACCTCGAATACTCAGTCGCGGAAATCCGGAACTGCGTATGTCAGAGCGCACTTAGAGAATTGCGGATCCAGAGCAGTCTATTTCGGAGGACGCAGAGCATGTTACAATCCGAAATTTTCAGAAAACGGAGCATTTCAGTATTCTTGTTCTGCGGAAGCAGCAGAGGTATCATTACGGCGAACATCATGCAGCATACGCTCGCGGCTTTGGTGCACTACAGACACGATCCTTGGTGTACTAAGTCCAGTAGTCTCCTTGCTTCGTCCAGCGGCATCCACTCGTTGTATCTTCCAATTCAGCCCTACACTTCATGTCCGTCCCAGCGCGCCGGCTCATCTCGGCGTCGAGAGCTGCTGCCCTAAGCTCTAAGAGTGCTCGTCGGAATCGGGACGGCTCACCGCGCTGCCATCTTGGCCGTTGGCAGGGATAGCTGCACCATCTTCATCTTCTTCATCCGCTAGTACCTCTTCCGTTAGCCTGAATCTCAACTCTCCTGCACGCAGCAGGGGAATGATACGATCCAAGTCGGCCCCCGACATTTTTTGCTTGCCCATGGGGCTGGCGAAGTCCGTCTCCAAGTTGAGGCTCGGGCCACATTCAACTACGATACTGACCTGTTGCATGAGCGCGGTTGGGTCGTACACCAACCTGGGCGGTTTGCTCTTGTTTTCGTGCCCTTGGTTCTTGGTACGTCGCATCACGGCATCATCTGCACCGAGAAGAAGACTCATCGTTAGCAGTCAACAAGTGAGCAGCAACTGAAATCTCGGTTAGAACATAGTCCACACTGAAAAGTTTTTTCACAATCGTGCTGTACCACGAGGCTTTTGTTTCAAGATTCACTTCCTTCAGTGGCGCCTCCCAAACTGCGTGACAGCGTAACGGACGTCAATCAGCAAGTGACAATAGTCTGTCGGCGCGTGCACCTACTGACCAGCTGCTTCCAATTCGGCCTTTTTGTCCTCCAAGAACGCTCTACCGGTAACGCAATCCGCGAAGTCGGAGAGCAGCTGTCTTGAACCCAAACTATCGCCCCAGTCTTGTCGATAGGCAAAGGCCAAACCACCGGGGCTCGCGACCATGAAACGCTCCTTATTGAGTTCAGGAAGATCAGAAGAGACCACAGCAAACAATTGGAGTCCATATTTTTGCGCATATGAAGTGCTCTGGGTTGGTTTTGAGGGTGTTATGATCCTTTCAGTTACTTTACTGTGAGCAGTATCAAATTGAGCTTGGACTCACCATGGTTTCCAACGCGGTTTGCATGCATCGGCGCGCTTTCTTGATGGCTTCGTGACTCATCGGCTTGTTTCTGGCGATCTTGATGGAGGATGAACCTTCGGTTGCTTGCGTTGCTTGCGTTGCTTGCGTTGCTTGCGTCGCTTCCTCACGCTCCAAGGCAAGCGCCGCGTCAAACCTCGTCATCGCCTCTGCGTCATCCTTTATGTCGTTCCAATATGGCTTTGCGAGCTTAACCCTCTCCACCAAATTGGTCGGCACTAAAGCGGACCAACCCAGCCCGTTAGTTCAACAACAGCGTAGTGCAATGCTATGCTAGAATTTAGCACGAGGTAGTCAGGTAGTCAAGAGCTGTGCCTACCTTCCAATCCATCTTGAACTGCCAGCGATTCGAAGTACTTGCTCTGCACAAAGTCATTCCAGGAAGTGGGAGAGCCAAGGCGAGTCACGGGCGCAACAATGCTCCTCAAATAATCGAGTCGAATATTGTGTCGGATACAATACTCGAGCTCTTCGTCGTGTCTTTTCTGGGCCCATTGCTCGTGCATAAGTCGTTCGGATTTGCGACAGTTGCGCTTAGGGATAGCCTTGCTCTGTTCGTGGAGGCTAGGGCCCATCGGCCTCTTCGCTGGCGTCAAAGGCGAAACTCGGATCGGTACGGTGGCGACAGGGACTTCGACGCGGGCGAACTGTTGATCCGCGGCGGAAAGTGGTATGGATGCATTGTCGGGGTGCTTCCATCTACTGATGAGAAACTCGGCGAGGGCTGCAGGACGCCCGACGATGTATTGGCTTCCTCCATTGGCAATTGAAGGGGGTCAGGCAGCAGGCGATTGGCGGGACAGGAGGGTCGACTTGATGGGTGCCCTGTGCTAGCTGTGCTGCCTAGGACAGGGAGGTCGTATGGGAAGGCGGACGCGTGACTACCCGACTCGAGCGAATAGGTTGGATAATCGATGTTTGCGAACGCGGGAGCGTCAAGCGGTCAGCGGGGCGGCGCAGGACTTGGATGGTACGCATCATATTGTTCGCTAGACGAAATGGCATTGGAAGAGAACATCGTGCAGGCAGAGGCTGGAAGGCGAACAGGGGAAGGTCAGAACGACACGGTGCTGCATCAAACCAATCAAACAGCGCGTCGACGACCGCGCAGCCGCACTTCCACCACGCACCCAGAGCCTTGTTTGTGAATGGTTATCCAGGAGGGAAGGAGCCCGCAATGTTCCGAGGCGACGCGATGAATCTATAGTCAAGACGTGGATGTCAGCAGGCCCTCAGAAGCTCGTTCTCTGGTAAAAGCCCGGAAAACGATCGCCGGACATACACGTGGGGCTTGTCGAGCGCCGAAGCGTGGAAAGTTGGTATGAGTTGGCGATGTGAAAGGATCACAAGATCAATGGACATCAACGAGGGACGTGACGTGTGACGTGTATGCGGTTCAGCGATCGAGGACGAGGATATTCGCGGCGAGACCAATGGGTCTTGTGTTGAATGTACGGGCGAAAGCGGGCCTAAGGACAAGAGCTGTCTACGTATCAACAACGCACAACACGCGTCGATTCCGTCAGGTTCGGACCGGTTCGGACGCGCGCCTGCGCGCGCAACCTCGCGCAACCCGCGTCAGATCACGTGTTGCATTGGGCCAGACATACCACGGCTTCAGCAGTGCTGAGGCGTTAATGGATATACTTGGACTTCAACAAGCTTTTCTATAAGCTCTAAAAGCTTCTCCCGCCAATGAATTACGTCATAGGGTCAAGCCGGAAAATCATTTCCGGATCAATTGTAATGACTTTAAACCATTGCGAGCTTGTTCCCGCGCCGAGTTGCTACCGGGCCCAGGTCGCCTATTTGCATAGGGTTTTCTGGCCGCGCGGCGGCGCTACTAAGACTGGTTACTTTTTAGTCTGCCTGAGGTGCGCACATAGCTGCCGGAGCTGCCGCAGAAGCTTGACACAGAGTCCAATTGGGACTTAGAGTCGACGCATCGCAGTAGCCTGGCAGCAGTGCAAAGGTCTAAGGGGAAGTATTGAAGGTGTTAGTAGACTTTGCACTGACATCAGGGGCCGGATAGCTTAGAGGTCAAAGCTTTTCCGATTGATGGAAGCGACCCAGGTTCGACTCCTGGTCCAGCCGTTCTTCTTCTTTTGTTGATCATTTTCGGGATCATCGTGGATTCCAACATATCTCACCAACGGTTGAGTAGGCATCCACAGGGAGAAACGCAGGTCAGCCAATGCTTCCATGTCCACCAGACCTGAGACCTCTCAATGACGGGTTGATGGATTCATATTTCCGCACGGAGGGTCTCCTACGAGGCTAAGCGGCGATCGAAAGTCGCCGGACGCGGACAGACAGGAGTGTCGTGCCACTTAGGCGTCCTTATAAGCACTGGGGGAGCATGTTCGGTATCCCACGGCTCTGTTTGGTGAGGCAAAAGTACAAGGAGGTCATGTTGGGTCGGCAAGGAGGCGACTTTTTACCTCAGATGTCCACCGTTGACTTCTGAGCCATGCGTGTTTGCAGACAATACAGGCCGAGTAGATCAGACGCTGACCCGATCAGATCGAAGCTACAGTGAGCTCTCGGTTGCTCTCAGCGATCGATCAGCAGAACTGAGGAGCCGGAAGCCCCGCGCAAGTTCGTTTCGCGATCGGATGGTTTTGACGGGCCGCCTGCCGCTCTAGGAGACCCTGCTCAGGTTCTCAACCCAGGATCGAAATTACCACCGGGGTATACTCTCTTGCCCCTGCAGGGCCCTGCTACCGCCTCCCCCATTGAAAGCTCCCAATCTTCTTACTGCAACCCTTCTCCGCCGCCGCTCAGCGAACTTTACGGCCGACTCTTGCAGCAAAAACCCGTGCATCGATCGACTGTCTTCGGAGTAGTACCCAACTGCCGACTGAGCGTTCGACTTGTGCAATCTGCGCGCCGAGCGGCCCGCACGACCGTCGGTCTCTCGAGGACCAGTCAGCCAGTTTCAGTCTCAGCTTACACGTTGTGCACTACAGCCATATCCGTGCCTCTAGTACCCCGATCTACAATCTTCCGGGAACCCAACCATCGGGACCCACCAACGCCCTTCGATCTCCCACAACGGAGCGGCGCCGAGTCGCTGGCCCCGCACCAGCTGGCAGGGTCCAGTGTGCCAGCCAGCAGCACCTTGTCTCTTAAGCTGCGTTTCGGCCACTGCCGGGGATGGAGTCGCTCGCAGGCAAGCAGCATCGCACCTCACGGTCGAGGGCAGCCTGTGCCGGATGTCGAGCCACGAAGCAGGTCAGTGTATCTCTTATGACCGGAGCTAGTCACCGCCTGCCCCAGGGTTGTGGAACGCCGCGGACAGCATGTAGCGGTGATGCCCCTGAGCCCGCTTAGCTGAGCTCAGCCAATGCTAGGCTCAACCACTCCGCTTCCCACGCGCTGTGACCGAGGCGTAGCGCACGCTATAGAGCCGGACGGTTGTGGTGTACCAAGCTACTGACCGTTATTATATCGTGCCCACTCCAACAGAAATGCGATGGGCCATCGCGGATCCCGTGTCGCCGCTGCGAGTTGTGAGTCGTCCCCTCGTCTGACCTCCCCGTGCGCCGGGCTCCACGTCACGTGCGGCGTGGTCGTCCACTGCCACTGCCCGACGCCCGACGATGGGCACTGCACATGTGCCAGCATGGGCGAACGTGGCTCCGAGTGGGCTCGTCGGAGGTCGATTTCTACGATCGTGTTCCGTAGACAGACTCCTGACGATCCTCCTTATCCTGTACTGCCAGGTACGGCTTGGCATGCGAGTATCCTCCCGTGCAACCGCCCCCCAAGCCGAGCGCCAACCCTCGAGCAGCAGGGACTGCCGCGCCGGCTGTGGCCAGCACCAGTTCGTCGCTTCCCCCGACCTCGCAGCTGTCACACCAACCACCCTTTGTGGCCGCAGGCTCCAATGAGAGTGTGTTAAACGACACGTAAGCCTTGGATGGTCTTTGCTTTATCGATCTAGCCCGGGGACACGGTACATATTGATGCTCACTTTCACTTTTGCTCGCGTCAGTCTTCGCGAAATCGTTGATCGCTTGCGCTCGCTCGAAACCTCGGTCACAAACTTGCATCTCAACTCGAACACGTTCGAATCTACATCGCAATCGGAGAAATCCCCAGACCCACTACTTATTGCCGCCGGACCGTATCCTGAAGCTTCGGAACCCACCCCGAGTGATTCGCCCGATTCCGGAGACGGCCAACAGATCGCCCCGAGCTCGACCCTACCTTGTCACGCGTTGCAAAACATCTCGGCCACGATCGACTTCATTGAGGCTTTGGAAACGTCCCAGATGGCACCCGCGTTGCAAGACCTCGATGGCTTTGCTGAAGCAGCACGCTCCACGTTCCCGACTCTCGAATCCATGCTTCCCGACACGATGAGACCCGACGCGATCGATCGCGGCATCCTCAGCATCGCCGAGGTCGAAGCGAACTTTATGGTCTTCTTCCGTATGCTCGCACCATGGATACTGGTGTTTGACCTCTCCAAGGACTCAAATGCGATGGAGGTCCGAGAGCGGTGTCCACTGCTGTTTCACACGATCCTGACCTCGACGGGTTACTACCTCATGGGCACAAGCGAACGCGGGACCAAAGTTTACAAGGCGCTGGTCGCTCTCACCAACGAGCTGATCGCACCCATCATAATCAGCACTCAGGTATACGACCTCAACAGCGACCTACTTCGAGCGCTATGTCTCCTCATGATGTACAAGCCCGTTCAACTCCCCGCATTCCACTTCTCTGGACGCGTTCACACCGCCGAGCGAGCCGAGCAATACGCCAAACTCAACACCACCTCCTCATTCGTACTCTGGGGTATCATTGCTCGAGTTTCGACGCGTATTGGGTTGCCGTCCGTTCCGAGCCTCTTCGCCAAACTTTATTCGCCTGACGTGCCCGTGCCTGCGAGTGTCGTTGCCGACTTGCGGTTATGGATGTGGATTATCGTCATCGATAATCATGCCGCGCTTACCATAGGACGACCCACTACGCTCGACATGACCGATGTGCTTCGCGTTACCCGACTTCTCGCCTCGCTCAAACTTCAAACCGGAGATGTCCGTCTCGCGGCCTTGGTGGAGCTCTACGCGATCTCGCGGCATCCTGTGTCCAAGGCTTGGTTCACCGACTTTACGAAACGAGCGCCGGCCTACGAGTTGCGCAAGTTTAATCGAGACCTCGACGAATGGGAGCAGTACTGGTCCGAGCCACTCGAGGCGGCGGCCAAGGAAGGCGATGCCCTCGCCATGCATCCGATCGACGTCATCTCCCACCTGATTCGCGCCATCATCAACTCGACGGTCTTCATGCGATGGCAAAAGGAGCGACGTGTTTCGCTCGCCAAAGGTCTCAATGAACGGCCCGAGATGTCGAGCGACGATTGGAACAGTCTCCAGATCACCCTCGATGCCGTAGAGAGGCAGATCTTTGCCCTTTCCGCTGAGTCATGTGTCGAAGGTTCGCAGCGTCGGGAAGTGCACTGGGCGAGCCGTCCGTTCGATATCCCGAAAGGAGGTCGACCGTTCTTGACGCTTGATCAGAAGGTCGTAGACGTCTATCGCACAGCGTTCGACCCCATAATTTGTGTCGCCTTCGTCTACCCGCTGCTGCTCGTCGCTCGGATGTGTAACGCGGCGTTGGTCAACTGCGAGCTGAAGGTTAAGGATCAGAACGCGTACGAAAGTGGCTCGCTTACGTTGAACAAGCCGCAGTTCATGATCAAGGGTGCAAAGGTCGCCCGGTTGCTGGACCTCGGTTCTCGCTTCCTTGATGCCGTGGCGCCGACGTCGTCTCATCCAGCGAAACGCCACGCCCGCATCTTGCGTGCGATGTTCGTTCTTGGGTCGGTCGACCTTTCTCAGCTCCCCAACACACCAAGACGCGATTCAGTGGTAGAGCCAGCGCTTGACGAAGCCACCACGATCGTAGACCTCAGCCACGGCGATTCTCATTCGCCTGCGCTCGCGAGCTCTGGCCAGCCTCCACCTTCCTATCACGGGCATCAACAACAAGATCCTACCGACTCGAAGTCCTCGCCCAGGACAAGATATCCTTCGGCTCAGACGTCGTTCGACCTCTTGGGGCCCTCGGCCGTCCAACCCATCGAAGCGGGAGAGATGTTGCAGTCGATTCTTTCTGGTATCGACCTGACTTTCTTCGGTCAAGAGATGGCATACGGTTTGGAGCCGGCGCGTTCGAACGCCGATCCGGTCGGAGACGGAGGCGCAATGATGGTTGATTGGGCCGACCTCGATAGCACAATCAATTCCGTTGAGCCGCTGCCGCAGTTCTTGCCTTCGCAGGCGGACTACTTTGAGATGTTGACTCGGCAGGGTCAGATTTGAGTCCGACAACCGGAAAGTCTGTCTTTTCACAGAATCGGATTTCCCTGAATCTGTTTATTCTACTCGGGGCCAAATTGTAGCTTTGTCTGCTCGTTCGCAATTGCAAGGAAATCTCACTCAATTATCGGGCGGGACCCATGAACCCCATACCGCCAGAGAAAGATACCCCAACAGTTGAGGATAGGATATCTGCTACGTAATAATAGATCATCAAGGGTCCCTAGCGGCTTGGCCTAGACCTTGATACCAAGATCTTCACCCAACAAGACGGCACCCTTTTCACCAATCGTCAATGCCGCCTGTGAAAAGAGAAAGATCTCGAGCCCGATTAATGTTGTTTCATCACGAGTATCCGCAGTTATAGCACTCACGGAGTAAGTATTCGTGCCGAGGTTCGATGGCGCGATCGAGAGATCGCAGACCTTGAGCCCCTTGGTACCGTAGACGTTCAACCGAGCGTCCACGACACCGTCTTGATTTCGCGGCTTCATCGAGCACGTCGACATCGAGTGCCACGTCGAACCAATCTGGTGACGAAGCAAACGTAAGGCTCAGCTCCTAGATAGTGATCACTTGAACGACGAGCATAGAAGCACTTACGTTGTTCCTGACCCAGTCCTCGATCGCCTTGTCATCTTCAGCAGTGTAAACGATATCGTCCAGTCTTTTACCGACGAGCTTTGCTGCCTCTTCCTTCGACAAGCAGCGCGCTTCACCTTCGGGGAAGGCGGGCGAGGTCGGCGCAAATTCGCCACGGTAAGAAGGCATGCGGCGGATGATCTCTCTCAATCGCTTGTACGCCCACACGTGGACGGGAAGATCGGCGGGGTCGCGCAAGAAGGCAGCATCGAAGGTCGGCATCGCGAAGGGGTCGCTTGAATTGATGTGCACGCTGCCACGGGACCTGTCACCACGATGATTGTCGAATTGGCAGATCATCGCGTACTTGTCCTTGGGTGGGAGATTGTCGTGACCGCCTAGGAACGTTCCGACCAGCACACCTGGAGAACAACATGGAACAGGTCAGGGACTGCGCAATCATTTGTGGACAATGCTGTCAAGCGACTTGCCACTCATCACGGTCTTGTCTTTTGCATCGCGAAGCTTGTCCTCCCAACGTTTCTGGAAATCTGGGCCCATCTTCTTCGCCTCTTCATCGCTTGGGCGAAGTTTGACCGCAGCATCAATTCCGTTGGTTGCGATGCGACCTGCGCCTCCGTTCGCCCACAGAGCAGACTCAGCTTCAACGACCTCGGGCGTGCCGCGCAGAAGCTCGCAAAGGGTATCAGCCTCATCAGCAAGAACATAGATCGCACTCGCGAGCTGATGGTCATTGTAGTTCTCTCCCACACCGTTGAGCTCGCTAACAACCTTCTCAACGCCAGCCTCTTTCAGGACGTCAGGTTTGCCGACGCCGGAACGCTCCAAGATCGCGGGCGTAGAGAGGGCACCCGCACTGAGGACGACATATTTCTTCGCCTTGATGATTTTGGGACTCTTCACCTTGGGCGGATTCTCGGGATCGATCGCCTTGCGAGCTAACGGGTTGAAGCACACTTCGACGCCGATAGCTCGGGGCTCGTCGCCGGACTCGTCAAAAACGACGCGGATCGTCTTGTGTTCCGTGATGAGCTTGAAGTTGGGGTGCGACTCGAGGATCGGGTGGATGAAACCATGGGCAACATCAGAGCGGTGCCCCTTTTGATTAATCCACTTGCCCGACTTGGACACTGATTTTGAAACAGGCTCCACTGTCAGCTCGATCAGACAGCGTTTGCACTGTGAATTTCACTCACCAGCGTGCCCCGTTTTGAAGTCCTGGCAATTCAGAAGAAATGGAGCGTTTCAGGAATGGTACTCAGACACTGCAAAATCCAGAGCCTACGAACCTGGGCATCATAAGTGAAAGGCAACTCGGGCCAGCACTCAGCAGCGGCCTTGATCCATTCTTCGCCAAGCGCGGATTCGCTCCCGCCGTACGACACGCCGAGAGGGCCATTCCGGCCATGGACTTCCCAGTCCTGGTCTTGCAGGGTATTGGTCTCCGTCTTGCAAGCGAGGGGCAGGAGGTCCTTGAAAGCCCACCCTTCGGTGTTCCAGTCATCGTAGTCTGAAGCTGAAGCACGCGTGTACAGTTGCTGCGGGGTTGCGAGCGCAAAATTTTGCCTGGTCCGTCAACAAGACGTCGCTGGATAGTATCAAGTAATCCCATGAGAATAGAGGCTTACAAAGTTGATGGAAGAGCCACCACCGAGCAAACCGCCTGCTGCAACGACCACGGCCCGACCGTTGGTCTCATCGTCGGGAACAGTTTGGTAAAAGCTATTCGTAGTTCGGAGTGGCGGTCGGTGGCGCAAGCGATCCGGCAGCGGGCGAATGAAAGCGAGAGGGAAAGGCATAGGCACAACACGGGTCAGCCAATGAAATCGAGAACTATTACCAAAAATAGCGAATGTGAGCCAACGAATTTTCACTACTCACGTGGCTGTAGTACCAACCGGGCCATCATTGAAAAGTCCCCGCATTTTTAAGTTCGGCGATCAGTTTCCGTGCGGGATCTCGATCATGGCATCGGCCCCCACAAAAAGCTGAGGGCTAGCACTAAAGTGGCAGCCTATGAGCAACGTACCATTGGTAGAGGTAGAGGCGATGTGGCGGGGATAGTACCCCGGTTGGTGAGAGTCGATCACCTTGTCATTGTTCTGCAGGCGTCATCGTTAAGCCTGAATATCACGCTCCCCACAAAGTGACTTGTTTGGCTTACGATGCCGTGCTCGATGAGAGCGATGGTCAGCTCAGGCGAAGCTTGAGCCAGACGACCAGCTACGACACAGCCTGCACTACCACCTGAATTTACGAGTACACGCAAGTGAGGGAGGTCAGGATCGTACGCTCGAGAGATGGAGAAGAGTGGTGGTGCGGGGCAGCTTCAAAGAAGGCCGCGACACTGCGTAATGCCGCGGGTGTGGGGTGTGGGTGTGGGGTTGGTCCTGAGCGAGGGCGCAGTCGAACTACTATTGCTCACCTCCGACAACAATCACATCGACCTCATCCGGAAGAGTCTGTTTGTTCGGTTCCGCTGTCATGTTGGTTGGAGAAGGAAAGGCAGCGAAGGAAGAGCGCTTGAAATGAGCAGTCGATGGATGTAGAGGTCGAAAGGCAACCAGCGGCGTCAATCGTCGTGACGGTGCGGTGTGAAAGGGGGGGGCCACAAGTAGGCCACACCGCTCGACACCGCTCGAGGCCAACTCACAAGGCGACTAGACAAAAAGTTGAAGCGCTTGATGACAGCTGATCGAAGTAGTGCTCAGTACAGGTTGCATCGCTCAGGTAATTTCATGATCCAGGCGAAATGATCGCGCTTGATGGTTCCCAAGGGTTGCAGCTCACTTCTTCTCGGGACTGCTCGCAGAAACAGGATGTGTGTAACTTTGAGATTCTCTTTGTTTTGACATTGTTAAAAAAAGCTATAAACAGAACAGGGCCCCAGAAAGGGAAACATGGTGCACAAAACGCAGATACGAGCAAGAGAACAAAGCATATGACTGAAGCAAGGAAAGAAACTGCCAGGAGACGATAAAAAGGCCGATCGCCATGCGAAAAAGAGTGATTGTCCGATCAGACCTGGACGCCCATGTCTTGCGCAAGAAGATCGGCTGCCTTCTCTCCGACAGTCAGAGCCACGGAGTAGGTGTTGGAAGCGACGTTGCGCGGGCAGATGGACAAGTCGGCGAGCTTAAGACCCTTGGTGCCGTAGACGTTGAGGCGAGCATCGACGACGCCACCCTCCGCTCGAGGCTTCATGGGGCAAGTCGAAATCGAGTGCCACGTCGTGCCGACGTTCTCACGAACCCATTGCGCGATCGCGGCGTTGTCGGCCTCCGAGTAGACGAGGTCCTCGATTTTGCCCGAAGCGAGCAGCGCCTTGGCCTCATCGGGGCCGATGCAGCGAGCGGGGGAGTCCTCGGCGAACTTGGGGTTTGTCGGAGCCAACTCTCCACGGTACGAAGGCATGCGACGAGCCGTCTCACGGGCGCGCTTCCATCCCCAGATGTGAGGGGCCATGTCGGACGGGTCACGCATGAAGCCGGCGTCAAAGTCGGGCGCGGAGAAGGGATCGGTGGAGCTGATGTGCAAGTGACCACGACTGCGACGGTGCATCTGCGACATTGAGATATATGGAGCGAAGTCAGCACACTGTTTGGTCTGCAGAGAGAGCTGTGGAAGACGGCTTACATCATACACACCGCACATCATGTACTTGTTGTTGGGAGGCAAGAGCGCATGGTCGCCAAGGAAGGTCCCGACGGCACCGCAGATGATGACAGGGGCGTCGGGCTTCTGCTTGTAGTACTCATCCCAGACTTTTTGGAAAGCGGGGCAGTTCATGGCACGAACCTCTTCCTCGGTCGGACGCATCTTGGTACCGGCATCGATGGCGTTGGTGGTCAAGAGACCGTTGCCTTCCTTAACGAACAGGGGACCGGCCTCGGCGTGAACCTCGGGGTTGCCTCGGAGCAACTCGTCGAGCGTGTCGGCCGATTCGTCGACGACGTAGATGTTGAGCGCTAGTTGATGGTCGTCGTATTGCTTGCCGACGTCGAGATCAACGACCTGTTTGACGCCAACCTTGTCGAGGACCTCCTTCATGCCGACACCAGATCGCTCTAAGATGAGCGGCGTGCCGAACGCACCCGCCGAGACGACGACGTACTTCCTCGCCTTGATCGTGGATGTCTCGCCGACCTTGGGAGGGTTCTCGGGGTCGATGGGGGTGCGAGCAGTAGGGTTATGGCAGTACTCGACACCGACGGCGCGGGGTTCGTCGCCACTCTCATCGAAGAGGACGCGAATGGTCTTTTGCTCGCACAAGACGTGGAGGTTGGATTGCTCCTTAACGACGAGGTGAACGAAGCCGTTGGCCGTGTCGGAGCGGCGACCGGTCTTGGGGTTGATCCACTTGCCCCAGTTGGTGACGGCATGGCCGGTCCTGAAGTCTTGAATATCGCGCGAGTAGGGGAGCTTGGGGTCGGCTTGCTGTGCGGCCTTGATCCACTCCTCACCAAGGTTCGATTGATGACCACCGTACGAGACGTGCAGGTTGCCGCTGTCACCGTGAACCTTAGGGGCTTGCGAAGGTAGGTGGTTCGTCTCGGTCTTCTTGACGAGGGGTAAGAGGTCATCAAACGCCCAGCCTTCGGTCTTCCAGTCATCATAGTCTGATGCGGAACCTCGGGTATACATCATGAAGTTGATCGACGATCCGCCACCGAGCATGCCACCGGTGGGGACTATGCATGCTCGATTAGCGACCTCCTTGCCTTCCTTGGAGACATCTGTCGGAGAGGAGGAACGCCACAAGGTCAGGAAGAGTTCAGCCGACGACGGCAGAAGATTCGGGTAATGGTGGTAACTCACAGAAGTTGGCAGTCGTGCTCGTGGGTGCCAAGTGGGAGAGGTACAGAGCGGGGGTGTAACTCGTAGCTTCGTCGATGTTGTCACTGCATCATCACACACCGAAAGTCGGGACGACAAAGTTTCCGAAACAGCGTGTCGGTCAGGGGTCAGTGTTCGGGAAATACACGCGGTTCCGAGCGCACTAGGCTTTCCCGCGGCGACCTATGCGCGCGCTTGGGGCGCTGCGGCGCCCAACTCGAGCGACTCGAGATTCGAGAAGGCAACTCACATGCCGGCCTCGACGATAGCGATCTGAAGGTCAGGGTTGGCCTTGGCGAGTCGACCAGCGGCGACACAGCCAGCGGCACCACCTGTAGCAAGTTAAACGACATATATAAGTACGAGGTCAGCCTGAGATCCCGCAGAAGCAGCGGTCGGCGTTTATACGTGGGTGGGACTCGGAGCGGTGGGGTGGGTCGCAGGGGTGCCGCCGGACGCTTCGCCGCTTCGGCGACTCCGCCCAAACCCGTGTGCCCTGACAACCCACCACGCCGCCTGAACCCATTCAGAACCAAAAAAAGAAAACTCACCTCCTACGAAGACAACATCAACCTCAGAGGGGGGGTTTTGGGCAACGGCGGACGACATGCTGGCGTTCAAATGGACGTGGCAAATTGCGGAGATGGAGGCTCAATGACAAAAGTGCAACGACGGCTGAGACTGAGCTAGTCGCGCAAGCGCGTTAGCGCGTTACGGCCAAGGTGAGGGTAAGAGCGAGAGGAGGTTGCGCCCTTTTTAAAGTATAAGCTGGTCGGTGCCGAAACTGCGGTAGTTTCGGCGAGTAGCTCAGGAGAGTGTTGCAAGCGTACTCGAGGGGGTACTCGATGGGAAGGAAAAGTAAAGTCGATGAGCGGCGTTTGGCAAGAGCCACAGCAGCAAGAGTGAGCGAGATGGCGGCTCTTATTCGACGAGAAGCGCGAGAGGCGACCGGTAACCGATCCGAGGATATCAGAGCGATGTGGGGCTCCGGTTCTGTTTTTGCGGGGAACCAGCGTGGGCCTTTGTCATCGAGGGCTGTGTGCCTCGGGGAGTCGGGTTGCATCCACCAATCGAGTGGAGCTCTCGTGATCAGACCCTCGGCTGGTCTTCGAAACCTCTCTCAAGCAGTGGCCCCAATTTAGACCCAATTGATATGTACACCGACCGCGGAAGGCTAGAACCAAATGACATGGCTTACTGGAGGTCGACCGATGAGAAGCTCTTCACACGCCGGGCGGGGAGCCGTGGCGCTTCCTCGGAAGGGGGATCAAACCCCGAAGCCTGCTCTTGTCATGCCGGGCGATCTGCAGTGGTTCGGGTAAGCACAGCTTTACTAATAGAGTAATTAGAAATTAACGCGCCCCCGGAGGGGGCGACGGGTCTCTGAACCTCTGACGGAGTAACACCGACTGACAGCGTCAGCTAGTATTACTAAGAACGTGCCATGGATCGGGTATTCAGCACCGAGTTCCTGAGTCAGTTCGGTTCACATGAATGAGGCGTGTAAGTGTGCCAAACGTTAATGAGCATTGCAGACAAGACGAGATCGAGCCACAGCCGGGGTGTAAATGCATAAGTTGAGATTACTCGACATCGCCCATGTCACAGTCTGCGTCTGCAGTGGACGAGTTTGTGTTCACATGTGGTCGTCAGCGCCGGGGACCCACATCGCGCGTTCACCGAAGTCAGCTATAAGAAGTGGTTTCAGTTGACGTTGAGAGATCGGGACTTCCGGGAGCGACTTGGGCGCGAGACGGCCTGGCTAGGTGTGGTGAATGTGTCCACCGCTGAGAGACATGGGAATCAAATGGCATGGAGTGTCAGTATTCCCCCACAAATCTTTCAAAGTGGGAAGAGCGTTGCAATCCACGATTAGATGACTTTTTGTCGTTGGCCCAAACGGTATCTGCTTGGTCGAGAAACTTGTCCTTGATGCGCCTAAGGCTGTGAGATACCTCGTCATCAACGGTGAGCGTAAATCTTCCGGGTTGATGATGACGAAGAGGGTGTACATACCGAACGCGTTGACGTATCCGCGGATCCCACTCCTCATGTCGAACATCTGCGCAGTTGTGCCGTGAAATTTGTCTCGGACACTTTGCAATTCCGCAAGAATACGGTTGGTATGCTTTTCTGCTTCTGTTGTTGCCTTGTACCTTTTCGTGTCCTTGGGATTTTTGATCATTTCGGACAAAAACATCCATGTCGATTTCGAACTGTGCTGCTGCGATTCGAGCCATTGGGGACCCGAAAAGCGAGTTGGCGAAATACTTCTCGTCGGCGGAGCATGTTCGAGACGATGACTGGGAAAGACGGGTCGCATCGAAAATCGCTGTCGTATAGATTGAGCAAATGTTTGACTTGCTCGTCCAGAGAAATGTCGAGGTCGCGCTCCACACAGGAACCGACGAGACCAAATGGATCGAGGTGTGGCCACAGCTTTGAGAGCACGAGCTCGTCCGAAAGTTCCCACAAAGGGGCGTCGCCTGTCGGAATGACATAGGTGGGCTTGTCCTGGTTGAAATAACGGAGAGCTTTCTCAAAGAGCAGCCATGAGTGAATTGGTTCGTCGGTAGGGGGTGGCGGCACATGTACGTGTTCGAATACTGGTTCATCAGAGTCGTTATGCGTTGTTGCGTAGCCTTCAAAGAGCGATGATGTTGGCTCCACTGTCTCTGCGGTCACCACATTCGCCAAAACTACGTCGGGCACGAGACAGTCTCCATCGGCGATTTGTAGATCCGATACTTGGGGAGCAACGCAGACGGAAGCCGAAGTCGAAGTCGAAGCTGAAACCGCTTCATGCTGAATTTGATGCTGCTGTGCACGAGTCGCCCCAGACTGCATTCTACAATGCCAACACTGGACTGTTGCGTAGGAGCGGACCGGAGTACACATACTGTGCGTGTTCGGTGCGGCGGGAGGATTGGCTGTCGCTAGCGGTGGAAGCGAAGCTTAACACGTCATCGAGATTCGAGCGTTCAAGTTGTGGGCTGACCTCGATGGTGCGGAGGGGTACAAGATCATAAAGAAGTGACAAGACGGCGGCTGTGCGATACGGGTCTTAGAGATGCGAGGAAACTCGGACCAAGTTAGAGCAAGGCGAGTACAGAGAGACGGAAAGGAGAGGGCCGGGCAGTGGCAACTTGCCAGCGGAGGCTGAGCCCGGGCAGCCTAAGTACTGCCTGAGTGCGCTCTGCCGCGGGGACTCGGGGAGGCTGATTGTAGGGGATGCCTTACAGAAACAGCCCGATAAGTAGCCTGAGTAGCTAGAACTGTCGAGTTCTAGCTTTTAGCCTAGCGGTCAAGAACGACAGATCGTATTTTATGCACATCAGAGGCGCATACCTTATACTGATGACGCCCAAGCTGAGTGCTAAGTGCGAGGGGCCCTCCTATCCGGGGGAGCATTTCAGCTCTAACGAGCTTCAGGGATTGCACTGATTAGTATGAAATGCATTGCGAACATTTCTACAACATGTCTTCGTCGCGCACCCTATTGATGAGAGAGAAAAAAAAGCATTTACCCCTAACCGCTTCTCATGAGAAACGTGGACCAGAGCGTGGGCTCGAGAACTTGGCTACTCGGCCATCTTTGCTACCACATTGAGAAAGCCCACGCCTCGACCATTGTTTTGCCAGATCATAGTAATATATCTCGTTCTTCATTCCCGCTTGACTGCTGCAACGATGTAGTCCCAATTGAACAGCCGAGGAAAGAGGCGGATCTCGATCAGGCGCCTCGCCTCGCGCCACCGTCGCTCGGTATCGAAGGCTTGCATCAATGCTCGCTCGACTTGTTGACCCTCCGCTTCGGCGGGTCGGTAAATGATATAATCGGCGGCTGAAAAGGTCGTAAATACGCGTCAGTTTCAATTACCAAGACCGAACCGAGTCGCAGCCCAACTCACGAGTCAAAAGGGAGCGCAGGAGAGAACCAAGCAAGAACGAGATGATCGCCACCACGAGCACGAACGAGAGCGAATAATTTTTCTCGGATGAGACGACCGAGTCGCGTGTTGCAGCTGCTGTAGTGACCATGGATGAGCCCAGTCGGGACAAGGGGTAGGCTCCGAGGATGCCCAACAGTGGACCCGAACCGCCGGTCGCCATCTCGCCGGTCGCGGTGGCTCGTCGAGAGATCTGTAAAGAGCCAGCGTGTTGAGCTAGGGAACACTATGGTGATGTGATATGCTACTCACCACAGGTGAAGCACTCGACTTGTCTGCGTAAGCGGGCGAACGGGCGCCTTCGTCCTCAGCTGGTGTGAGTATTCCGGGGGACTTGGGATCCGGATATTCGAGATCGTCGACCGTAGAGGACGCGGGCTTGGGGGTAAGAAGTCGTACAGCTACAGCGATGGGTCGGCGCAGCTCCTCGGGCAAGGTCGAGCTTGCTTCACCCGAGTCTTTGGCATGCTTCGACGAGCGTTTCCGAGGCACACTGTAGAAGATCCCTGGAGCATCAGCCACTACCGTCCCCGAGTTCGACGCCAACAGTTCCAGAGCGAACCTACCGACTGATCTTGACGGCTTGCGAAGGCAAATCCTCATCCTCGAATCTCGCCAACAAAGCTTTGCTATCTTTCTGACTCGCCACAGGAACCTTTTCCTCATTGAACAGAACGCGCGTCGTCAAACTCGAAGCGGCGCCCTTGACCGTAGCTTGCATTGCTGCCGCCGCTGCAGAAGCCGATGTGTCTTGTGGCAAAGGGACGATGCGAAGATCGATGAGCGCGCCTCGATCCATCAGCTTCTTATACCATTCCGGTTTGACCGCTTTAGTCGACCCATCGCGTAGCAAAGGGTCATGCAGAGGGTGGGTGATCGCCGTCGTCGGGATCAGCACGCGCACGAGGTGGTTTGCTCGCTTCCAAGAATCGAGGGAAGCCGAGAGGATCGAAGGCAGAGGCGCATCGTGGGCCGTCGCACGGAGGGGAACTTGACGGGCATCGGTGGACTCGATAGGCCCGGTCGAGATGGGATCCACGATCGAATCGCTACCAAGGAGCGAAGAGGAGCAAGTAATTGAATAACCGTAAGGGTACTGCTTGAGGTCGATAACGAGTTCGGCCACGAGTAGATCATGGGCCGTAGCCGCATACGCCGCATCGAGGGTCGTGGTCGGCGACTTGGATCGGGTTGACGGTGTCCCAGTCCCCGCACCCACTCCGACGCCACCAGCAGCAGACGTAGCAGTCGTCGCGACGCTCCTGAGAGATGAGCGACTCGACTTGCGCGCCAACTCGTGGTGAATCGGCGGCTTGTGCGAGGTCGCAGGGGTAGCAAAGTTGAGCGATGCCGAGCGCGGTAATTTGCTCTCGAGGATCGTACCAACCGGGACGGAAGGCGTCAAGATGTTCTTGACGGCGCTGACCATCTGCGCTTGCTTCTGTGACTTGGGACACACGCGGAACAACGATCTGAAAGAGCCGTCGGAGCTCTCGTGGTCGGCGATGAGGACCGTTGTCGTTTGCTGATCCGCGTTGCCGAGCTTCCACACGCACTCCTGATCGCCGTCGTCGTTCAGCGGGCCTTCGATGTGCAAGCCCACATCGGGTGTCCAGAGACGGGGCAAAGGTCCTTTCGTCTTGGCGAGAATCTCGACGGCATTGACCATGCGCACGATGTTGGCGTTCAGGACCGAGTTGAAAGCATGTGGGATCGAGCCAGCATGGTCGACGCAAGAGACGTACGTGCAGCGAGTCGACGGGATCGCCAACAGGCTCGAAGAGTAGGGATCGAGCGTTTCGAGGATCCACCCCTCTACGAGGATCTGACCAGAAAGGAGACTGCTGGGGTTGATCTTGCTTTTGTCGAATTGCTCGTCGGGAACGTAGGACGCCGAGGCGCAGAAGAGAACCTTGGAAGTGCTCAACGCACTCGACGGCGAAGGGACTCGAACCTGCGAGTTGACCGAAGCGACGTAGAAGATGCGGCCTTTGAAGGGGAACGTCGGCTTGGTAGTGAACGTCGCGGTCGAGGTCCCAAAGCCATATGATGCCAGAGCCGAGACCGAATCGACGCGTTCGTCCCACGATTTTCGACATCCGACGGCCGAGACTACGCTAGCGACTTCATCGGCCGTCAAGCCTTGCAAGATACGATCGCCGCGATAAACGGAGAACGTGTCCGAGATGCGAGGAATGAGCTTCTTGCGTACGACTGTGCCGGCTCGTTCAGAGACGATGGCCCATCCAGGTGCCGGGTCGGTCAACTCGGGCCCTTGCTCGGCATGGAACGTTTGGAGCCACGAGAGCGCCTCGAGAGCGACAGCTGGCGGGTCGAGGCGCGGCTGGAGGGCGGGAACAGGTACCGCAGCGTCCCCTTCAGTCTGTGCAGTACTGGACACATTCGCTCCTCCCGCAACGACCCCATTCCGCGAGAGCGGGGACGGCCCATGGCCTGAGGCGGGGACCGCGCCTCCGCTAGCAACTGCACCCGCCAATGGATCCTCGCTGATCGACTCTGTTGGAGTCGGCATAGGCGAGTTGCGACCCACCTGGGACGGAGTTCGAGTATGTTGCCAGTTCCTCGGTCCATGGGTCGAATATTGATCCAAAGGGATCGGGCTGGCCTTCACGCGCTTCCTCTTCGCGAGGAGCTTCACTTCATCTTCGGGCAACATCTCAACGTCGACCTTGGTCTTGGCGCCGTTGATCGTCACCGAGCCCTTCTCCCTCGCCGCACCCGAGTTACCCGATGTTCCCTTCTTGACGACGACGAGGATCCGATCATCGCCGACCGCGGCCGCGTCATGCTCGATCGTGATCCACAGTCCACCGCCCGAGGACAGGCGATGCCGAGAGAGGCACGATACCTTGGCGGGAGGCGGGTCGATGACGACATCGATGCTGGACGCCCATGTGTTGATGTCGCAGCGAATCTCGCATTCGATAGGACCGGCTTCCGACACCGGGGCGGTGGTTATCAAGGTCGAAGCAGAAGTAGGTGCGCCCAAGAGATTTGTCGAGGCAGTGGTTGTAGCCGTCGCAAAGTCGTCACCGGGCATCAAAAGTGTAGAGGGGGAGATTGCTGCAGCTCGGTACTCGGTCTTGAGCGACCCCTTGTCATGATCGTACTTGCTCAGCGTCGCCTTGGCACCCAACATCCTCGTAATAACGGGCGGACCGCCATTCTTGATCGAGAACTCACCGACGCCGGCCACGGCGTTGAGCATCTGCGTCGGCGTCCACGACTTGTTCGACCAGCCTTTCGGATCGGACTGATCGAGTAAAGTGATCTGGGTCGTCGTCGGACTGAGTGCCTCGATCGCCCACCCGTGCAGATCCGTCTGGGTCCTAATCGTCGGCGCCACGACTGCAGGGATGGAGGGGAACAAGGCGTTGTCGTCGGTCGAGAAGGAAAAGATGTGTACCGACGAAGGTGACTTGTACGCCGTTCGAATCGTGACCGAATCACGAGGTGCCACGGGCCAAGCCGCTTTGGTTTTGAGGTGCCACAGCGAGCTTAGTTCGCTGACGTCGTCGAGCAGAACCGCATCTTCCAAGGTCTTGTCCCACTGCATCCTCGCGCCGGGTGTGCAGATGGTCGAAAACACATCCCAAACCCCGACACCGACGAACGTCGCTTCGGCCCGATAGATGGTCAGGGTTGGGTCGATCGAGTTGAGCTGGGTCACGGTCACCCCTCTCGAGTCGGAGATGTGCCGCCATTTTGCCTCGGGCTCTTGCAGCAGCGAAGTAAAGTAAATGTAGTTCCTTCGAAGCAGCGAGTTGATCTCGCTTGCGGCGGTCGGGGGCGCAGGTAAGCTCCTCCTAGACATGGACGCCTTGTTCACGTCGATGCTCGAGGTAGTGGGAGATTCGGCGACATTTGACGCGGTGGTTTGGCTAAGGGCTGTGATGCTGCTCGCCGCATCGACATCGGTCGTATCCAAGAGCGCTCGAACAAAGTGCGACGGGTCCCTCGGCTCGATCGTCGTGATCGTCACAGCTTCACCATTAACCTTGATCACCTTGCCTCCGGCGAGTCTCTGGATCGCCACCGTCACACGCACGAGTTGTTCGGATTTGCTCAACTTGGCATGCGACAACCTCAACGTCATTCGATCCACCTCGCTCGCTCTAGTCTCGACGGTCGAGGTCCATGTGGTGTCGACTTCTTCACCCACCGCCGTCGGCGTGACACGCACATCCCATCCCTCTCCAATCGCCAACGACACCTCAACGGCGCGCTCGAGTCGCCTTCTCTCTTTGCGACGAGCTAATTCGTCAAGGCCGACTTCACCTCCGCTTAGGGTTTCGTCCTCGTCATCGGCGACGATGGAGTACTCGATCGTGCGCGTCTCTTGCCCCCGATCATAAATCGCGCTCGACAACTCGAGCCCACGACCGTACGACACGACCAGCGGAATCTGGGATCCCTTCTCGCGGACAAAGTCACCCAGACCAGCGAGGAGTTGAGCGACTTGTTGATGGTGGGTTGCAAAAATTGCGCCTTTGAGGGACCACTGCCAGAATAAGCTGATGCGTAGCTTCGTCGTGCCCGTCGGGTTCAACGAAAGCAGGGTCGAGGTCGAGGTCGGGGAGGTCGACAGAGCTGATGTCAACGAAGCGGTCGCCCCAGGCTGCGGCGATGTCGGTTGAACGATCTGGATACACCACGCGAGGAGATGCACATGCGATCGTACATAGGGTGGGGCCGGTCGGAGGAAGGCCGGCTCTTCGGTCGATCGAGGCAGCGACGTCGAGATGTCAATCAGGGTCGTTGGATCCGAGAAGGTTTTTGAAATTGTGATGGTGTCTCGGGGACTGTGCACGGATGTGTGCACACGTCAGCTACCACATTTTGAGCTCGAGATCACACTAGAACTCACCTCGCCGGCCATCCCAGTCTGTAGTCCGTCTTGCAAATCCTCGTCTGAGGGTCGAGTAGCTCAATCGTGTGAGCGTGTTCGACCATCTTGTCCCCTGAGCGCAACCACGCCTTGCCAATGGGTCAGTGTGCGATTCTTCTCGAGTCTGGGCATCCCATCACGTACAGCTACTCCGGACTTCGGGCGTCTGCAATACGGCTTTGAACGAGCTGAGGTCAACGCCGTCGGCGACGTTGATCTCGGTCATAGCCCTGACGACATCGGCTCCTTTGGCCGTCCTACGATGCACGCGCACATTGCCCAATTCGACCGAACCGATCCCGTTCAACAGTTCCTTGGCCTTGCCTTTCCCTTTGGCGACGGAGCCGTTCAGACCGGAGGACGTGGCCGAGTCCAACGAGGTGGAGGTGGAGGAGGCGGATGTTGAGGCATGGGAGAGCTGTAGCGGTTTCCAAGAACGCGAAGAGGAGGATGCGAGCAGAGAGCGAAAGTGGGATAAGGCTGCATCGAGGGAGGCTTGGTAGCGGGCATTGGTGCTGTTGTTGATCGAGAGAGTGGGCGAGAGGTCAGCGCTAATGAATGAGCATTCCAGGATGGCGAGCACCGTCACTCAGGCACGGTGCCAGGAAGTCGAGCATGCGGTGTGAGGTGCGACATGCAGGTGTCCAAGGCATGTGAGATCTCAGTGGCAGCTCGACTGCATGCAGCACAGACCCTCGAGTCGAAGGGGCAAGGCGTCAAAGGGCGGGGGGGCATACAGTGGGTCCCGGTGGGGGGCAGCAACAAAAACATGCCTGACCCAGTCGCCCAAATCGCCGACGTCCGAGTGTCGAGCGTCGCAGGGTGATGCATCTCCCGACGGGATGATGGTCATCGATGTGCGCCCTGTAGGTCGGAGTCGGGGTCCGGGTCGGAGTTGGTGCGACGTCGTACGAGACTTGGTCGGACCTGGTTGCGCGGTACGACCGCTGACGAGGGGCGGACCAAGCAGCCGACTGAAGGAGCAACTGACCTTGCTGTCGTCTCGGCCATGATCACCTAGCTGGGATAGTCAGTTCAATGTTCTCCGACGGTGTCACCCAAGCGGGGGTGGAAGGGGAGAAGAGCGTCGTACCGCAACCGTGCGCCGATCTCGGATGTGGGGAGGACGGAGAGGAGACGTGGTGCGACTCTGACCACAAAGCGTCATTCGTCATTCAGCGCTTCGGCCGAGACTCCAAGTCCGCTTTCTCGGAAATGCGGCGGGGGTAAAATCCAGCACTTGTGGGGTCGGAGGGCTCGTCAGGAACAAAACAGAACAGGGCTCTTTTACGAAAAACTTTTCTGCACGACTAGGGCTCACTGCCCGCTCTGTGAGTGACCGGCGCGGACGCGGGACTCTAGAACGCCGATGACCGACGCCCGACCCGATCGTCATTCGCCATCGCAGCCGGTCCTTTCTCCAAACACCCCTTTCCTCGCCCCCACATCGCCCGCCCGCCACCACCGACCGAACATGCTGGCCCTACCACGAGCGACGCCCACCCTTCGCCAGCTCCCTCGATCGACCCCCTCCATCTCCCAGTCCCAGCTCTGGCATCGTCGTCATTCCTCCTCCACATCGTCCACATCCTCAAGCCTCGAATCCCCCTCCTACCCAGGCTTGTACTACCACCCCATCCCCTCCTCCTCCCCTCCATCCTACACCCTTTCCTTCCTCCCCACCCCAGCTCCATCCCTCACTTTCTCTCCCACCACAATAGGCACCTTACATACCACCACCACCACCTCTTTGAAGGGCAACGAACTACCCGACCCAACTCCAAGACAATTCAAGGACAACCCCGAATTCTCGCAGGTGTTGCAGGAGATTATAAAAGAGGTGATTGCGAGAGAGGGGAACAAGGGGTTGGAGACGATGGCCAAGACGAGGCCCGAGGATGGATGGATCGTGAGTTTCTTTGTAAAAGGCAGGCTGAGAGAGGAGATTTGATAGTAGGCTCGGCGCATGCGATCGCGAACTGATCAATTGTACTACGCTTCACACATAGCATATCACGGACCAACGAACCCAATTCGACGTCCTCAGTCGAGTCCCCGATCCATCAGACATCATCGCCTCCCTCCTTGTTCAAAACGGTGAAATCATCCGCGAGTCGTACCAGCCTTCGGGGACGCATCGATTGGTCACGATCGATGGGATGATGAAACTTGAGCACGAGTTGTTCGAGGCGGTGAAGGAGAAGCTGGGGAGGGTGAGGGGCGTGGAGGAAGAGATTGCGAGGGAGGCTCAGAAGTAGAAGAATATATCCGCGGATAGATGTTTGAAAACCCAGCATTTGTATGCGGGAATCGTCGAAACGCGATCAGGGAGCTCAGGATTGATCTAGTAACAGATGAGAATCGTCGCACCGACAGCACAGCACTTCCATCCCTTTTCGATCGCACTTGGTGTCCCCACATGTTCACGTGATCGAAAGAGATAAAAGGTCAGATTGCCATTATTGTACATCAAACACTACCGTCAAGCAAAGCACTACTCGAAAACTAAAGAAAAGCGCAAAACCCAAGACGAATTCAAGTTGGAACGCGAATAGAAGAACGAACTGCCCCATGCCCCACCTCAGGCCCATTCATCCGCGAACCCATCATCCTCACCCAGCGTAGCGCCAAGCTGCTTGCGCCAATCATCCGCATCCGCATCCTCTTCCACAGCTTCCTCCTCCGGCTCAGGTTCGATTGCCCTAGGCGTGACCGGGACCGAACCTGCGCGACTTGAAGCGGGCGTGCCTCGCCTCGACGAGAACGTCGGTGCGGGCGTGAGGATCGGCGTTCCTTTCCTATACGCTGTAGGAGTAATCCCCCTCTGCGTCTTGGCGGGACCATGACGTTGACCAAACAAGATCCCATCGTCGTCGTCATCGTCCCTTCGATCGTCCCCACCGACGGACGAAGCGGCATCATCATCGTCCCTTTCGAACAAGGCATCGACAGCAGCATAGTTGATTTTCTTGGAGAACCTCTTCTTCGTCAAGAGTTGCTTCGTCGCTTCAGCCGCGTTGGCTCCCGTGGCAGTCGCTGAATCCCTCGGACGGTTCCGCTTGCGTACCCTTCGCGCTTGGGCAGGTTTGATTTCCCCGTCTGGACCCGTTTGTCGATCCGCCAAAGCTTGGAGGTAGTCCTTGTTCATCTGCATCCAGAGCCGTGATTTGGCCTGAACTTCTTCCTCCGTGAGGATAAAGGCGTCCAATTCGTCCTCGTCTAAATCATCGAGTCGATCCGATCCACCGCGATTTCCACCGCGGCTGAGGTTCGTCATCGCCGAAGCGGCTTCGAGTCGTTTTGCCTCAACCTTGTCCAGTTCGTCCGTCAAGGCGACGCCGGCTCTGGAACCTAGGGTCGTTGACAGTTCGGCCATGATGGCTTCGTCGAGATCGGCGTTGTCTTCGAGAAGTGGGTTCGGTTCTGCGTCTTTCTGTGCTTCTTCCTCTGCTTCATCGGCGTCCTTGTCGGATTGATCCTCGTCGTCGCTCTCCTCGGGGTTGAACAAGCTGCGTCGCTTCCCGAGCGCCTTACTTGAGGGCACCGCGGGTGGAGGCATGAGCTCCGCCGCATGCGCAGCGGTAGGTTCTTTGGAAGGAGACCGCGACTTTGTTCCCCCCGGCTCGTCGCCTTCTTCGTCCGCCTCCTCCTCATCGCCCTCCTCATCGCCGCCGCCACGATTCCGTCGCTCCCGATCCCTTTCACCCCCTTCATCAATCCTCTTCGCCAATTCCTCGAACGCCTCCTGCCCATCCTCCTCCTCCTCCTCCCCCAACTCCGTCGTCTCCCTCCTTTTTCTTTCCTTTTCCCTCATCTCCTTCTCCTTCTTCAAACTCATCAAGAAAGCCGGTGGATCGGCCGTCTCGTCCAACCACAAGGTCCTGAAATCAGCGACCGTCAAAGCACCGGAAGGTGTATCCCTGAATTCGTCCAAACGTTTTTTGAGCGTCGTATCCGCGATCTTGACAACTTGAACGACCTCGGCCACCGACCGACGAAAATTGTTCATCCTCGCAGCGAGGAGAAGACAGGCCCCACACACGCCCGCCGGTCGTCGACCGATGTGCATCCAATCCCTCCCCATGCGAGCGACGAGACGGACGGCATCTTGAGCCACTTTTTGCGTTTCCTCTCCGAATTCGAGAAGGGCTGCGAAGCGCGTGATGTACAGTGAGGGATCGACGGTAGGGAGTTGGAGTTGGAGCTCTTTGACGAGTTTGAGGTAGGTCGAGCCGAGGACGAAAACGTTAATCTGCTCCAAACAGAGAGACGAGAATTAGTACGCAACAAGAAAAGTGAACTAAAGTGAGGGTTCTATGCTCACCTCGAGCATGTCGGAAAAGTCGATAAGCATATGACTGGTCTTGTCCATACGGCAAGCGCAATAGAGGCACGCCGCGACAACGTACTGGGTCCTTCGACCTTGGACGAAGTTGAGGTTCACGGCCAGGTTGAAGTAACGTTGTCCAGCATCGGCGAGACGTTCGGGGATGTGGAGGGCGATGACTAGGGCTTGGATGCGGCGTCGACCTGCGTGTTGTAGCAAGAGAAAAGGTCACGTGAGGGGGGTAGAACTTTTTTGGATCGACTTGGCTCAGGACGGGACGTACCATTGATCATGGTCTGTTCACGCGACTCTTGTCGTCCACCGGCATTCCTATATCCCGCTGGTGCCCTTGCTCGAGCTGCATAGATATGCGGTATACAGCAGTTTGGTCAGCCTGAGCGTAATGCTTTCGAGCGTGAGAGCGGGCACTGACTTTGATCTGCGCCGACATAACTTCCTTGTACGATCGCGGCACCTCCTCCGGTCTCACCGAATGTAATCTCGGAAACGATGGCGTTCTCTTCCAAGACCTGTTTGAGAGACGGAGGTCAGGTTTCTTGTACAGGCAGGTGGACGCCCGCCCGGGGATGATCGGCGTGGCCGGCGGGGAAGAGATGGCCAACGTACTGTTCCACATCGCGTGCACACAGTCCTCGCACCATCGACTTCGAGCAAAGTATCTTTCCCACACGAGTAGCACGACATGATGCTTCGGCGAGCTCCGGCGCAGGATTGTGGATCTTGGCGGCGGCTTGTTGATCGCCGCGGCGGGGCTCGCAGCAGCGATTAGTACGGATCGGGCACGTGATCTTGGCTTGCCTGCCTGGCGGTCTCCCAAATCGAGTCAAGGCGGAGGTGTGAATGGGGTATACGCCAGTGGCAAGGCTTTGAGAGGGCGACCCGGGTGGCGAGAGGATCGCAGTCTGCAACGCTGTTTGCGACCGAAAGGCGATGATAGTCTGATGGAGCGAGGTCGGCTTGGGGAGCGTGGCCAACGAGCGAAGCGGATCCGCGGAGGCAAGAGGGACGGAGGCCAAGTCCCGGCGAGGCGCGCGAGCAGAAATTGCCATTAGCAAAGGCTAGGGGTGGTCTCCAAATCGCCAAATGTACTCCGCCGTCGGCCATCTCGACGAAGGTGCTGCCTGGCCTCCTCTTCACTGTTCCCTGTTTCCTGGCTGTTTCGGCACCGCTCACCATCCCCATCGACCTTGCCAATATCGCAATGCCTACTTGTCTCTCGATACTGCTCTAGGGGATCGACTCTTTGCTCGTCCTGCGTCACCCTGTCAGCTGGGTCGCCTGCAGCGCGTGTTGAACGATTCGACTCCTGTTGATCATCGCGCATCAGGAGGCTTCGGTGACACCATCAGCATGAGCAGCAGCTTTGAGCCACCTCCGATCGAGATGTACACCCAACGAGCATACGTATACCCAGATCCGCCCCCACCACAGCGTCAACGTGTGTCGCATACGACACAGCTTGAGCGAGGATTGACATCATCCTCCATGGCCTCGTCGTCGCACGCGCCTTCCAGTCGATCGGCACAGTCGGTCGTACGGCCGTCGTCCTCGTCGCCACCACCTCCCGAGCGACCACGCACCCAAAAAGTCAAAGCCGGATCGACATCTGGAAAGGCAACCTCGAGTAGGCACTCGGCCTCGACTCAAAGCACGCGTCGTCCCATCCCTTCGTCGTCGTCGTCAGCATCGTCCAGTGTGTCGATGGGCGCCTCAGTGCCGAGCTCGTCTCGCCTGTCCGCTCCCTCGTCGACAGCTACCCAGCGCAAAAGGTCAAGATTTCAGCCGGGTGATGGATTCGCCATGGACTTTGGCCAACGTCGGACCACGTCTTGTCTGCTCCCACCCCCGTCGCTCCCTCCAGCTCCATCGGTGTCGAGATTGACATCCGAGCAGCCCATCGCGTCCACGAGTCGGATCATAGCACCGCACAGATCCTCACCGCCCAGGTCTCCTCAGATACAGACCGTGCACCGAACAACCACCCCGACTCGTCCTCAAGCGGTGGACTGCGAACGGTCACCGTTGTCAACTCCACGAGCTTCTCAATACCCACCGCAATCGACCATACCCCAGCCATCATCCGCACCTCCAACGAAACCACCAATAGAGGTCATCTTCCTCTCTTCGTCACCTGAACCCAGTCCATCCAGCACGGGTACGATCCTTTCATTATCTACGCCTCGTTCCAAGCCAGCTCCCGCACTCCATCCCTCCGTATACGCCAAGCTTGCCTCACTCGACAAAGATCTCATCTCCGATCCTCACCTCGCTCCTTCCATTCTCTTTCAATGCGAAGTCGTGAACCATGGTCCGGCCACGTACGAACAAAGGGACGAAGCAGGACGTAAAATTCTCAAACGCACTCGCAGAGGTCGACGGCAGGAAGATGACTTCTGGCCTCGGAGGGAAGGTCCGACAAGACCTTGGGTCTCACCGAATTGGATCGACGATCACGTCAATGTCGATAAGCTCAAACGGAGGATCGAGGAGAAGGAACACTTTGTCGCGAATGTCAAGATCAAGGATGTTGTGGATGAGACGAGTGTTCAAGGGATGAGCGAACTCCTTGTTGACGGGGTCGAGATGTGCATCCTCGGCAAGGAGTTTCCGCTCAAGAGGGTCGTCGTCGTGGGGACCATTGTGGGGGATGATTGGAAGCATGACAAACCTGTCTACTATGGTGAGTTTGTGCCGTGGTGAAGCACCTTTGTTGGTAACAGCTTCTCATCTGCTGCTTTGCTGCTTTCATTTCATAGTCGATGACGGTACGGGCGTTGTCGCTTGCGTTTGTACGACCCAAGAAGGACTACCGCAGATCGCATTGCCCAGGGAATCTTACCAGGCATCACTAGCCTCCCCCACAAAGCAACCTCGAAAACGCAAAGTCTTGGACGCTTTACCCGAGGACGAGATCGATGCAACGTTCGAAGTTGGCACACTCGTTAGAGTGCTGGCGAGGGTGGAAAAAGCGAGCCTGAATTTTGCCGGGAGGAGATATCTGAGCGTCATCAAGATGGGTGGGTCAGCTATAAATGAGCGGGCGATCGAGTCTTCATACTCATCTTTGTATGTGACGGCTGCTCACAGAGTTCCTCAAAGACCCCAACGCCTTCATCACGCACCAACTGCTCGTCCACGAACTGCACGAACAAGTCTATTCTCAACCCTTCAACCTCGCACTCCGATTCGAAGAAATTCACCAAACCGACCTCTCCCTCGCCGATACCACGAGCGATGCGCTGTCGACACCTCCTTCAACGCCGAAAAAGTATCGACTTCCTCGAGCTTCAAAATTATTACCGGAGGATTTGACGCCTTCGACTTTTGCGCACTACATAAAGTTTCATTTGAAGAGACACTTTGTCGAACTTGGGACTCGGACATCGGAGGATGAGGATGATAGCTTTTGTGCGGCGAATTTTGGAGAGGTCCCTTCGGATCCCGAGGTTCCTATCGAGTTCACGTTGGACGACTTGAAGCGCGATCGGGATTTGATCAAATTCGCGACGAGGATGGTCAGGATTCAACATATGGAGATGAAGAGGGTTAGGATGATCAAGCAGGAGAGGATACTGAAGGGGAGTAAGAAGACGGCTTGGGTGGAGAAGGCGAGGTGGTACGAGGGTGGGGTCACGCTGTTGGCTCCTCCTGGCAGTCGGGGAGGATCGGCGTGGTTCTTGAATGCTGGATTGAAGAAGGGGGCAATTGGGAGTGAGAAGAGCTCGAGGAAATCGAAGCGCGAGCCCCAAGAGACCGAGGCCATGCTGGACGGTGAAAGGTTGGACAAGGCCATCAACTCGGCCTTTACGGCGGCGCTGATTCGGTTGAGGGAGCAAGGCGAGATCATCCTCACGCCCGAGCAAGAGGATCCGGACGCCCTCGCACGATTACTCGATCCTGAACCTGAAACCGAGTCGATCCCAGAGGATCTACCGGACCAACCTCAGTGGGGGAAACCAGGCAAGAAGAGCCCATCGAAACGAACAAAGGCACGGGATCCCTTGGCACTCGAAGGTTTCACCTCGCTCGAGCCGTCTCCCTCCCAAGCGCAAGAAGCAAGTCCCAGCCCGCTCAGCGAGCATCGAGCAAACAAAGGCAACTACGAACACAACGATGAACGATTCGTCATGACATTCGGTACCCCTGAGAAAGACGAGGAGGCATGCCCATATTGGAACGCTCGGGTAACGGTCCCATCTATCATTCAAACTCCTCCACGCAAGTCACACTCTTGGCTCTCCCCTCCCACTCGTCGCGTCCAAACATACCAACTCGTCACGACGACCTCCCTCCTCGTCCCCGTCTACCGAATCATCACCAACCTCTACACCGCTTCGATCGAATCCTGCGCCGCGACATGGAAAGCCCGCCAACACGTCTCGGTCATTGAAGAACAGATTCGAGGCGCGATGCTCCATGATGAGGTGTGGGAACAGGTGGGGAAGAAGAGTCATTTGGTCAATGAGGCGGTCAAGGAATTGGTGTTGTTGAACAAGGTTGAGTGGGTCAAGATGGGCAATGAGAAGACGGGGCAGTACTTTGTTGAAGGGGCGAAGCATGCGGTGAGGTTGAAGGGGATGAATGGGATGGGTGGAGTGGCCAAGAAGAGCACGGCGGCGCGGAAGAGGTAGATAGGAAATGAAGCGTATATGTCAATCTTGTTGTTTGTACTTCTGGAGCTATGAGTATGTGCTAGGTTCGTGATATGTATCGTTGTAGGAGGCGTGTGTGAAAGCGTATGAACAAGACTGATTGGTGCGCAAAAATCGGAGAGCAGAGACATCGCAACAGGACAAGTGGGCTGCCCAACTTATGGCGGCAAGGAGGAAAAGCTAGCGACGCTCAGGCAGCAGTGGGAGTGTCTGTGGGCAAAGAACAGCCACCAACATCAGATTGCGGGAAGATCTATGACCATCACTTTGGTACTCACGTTCCGTCCCACGACTCTGCGTCCACGTCTCAGGCCCCTTCCTATTCTCCGCCCTCTGGTTCGTAATCCTCCTCTTGAACCACGACCCCGCCGTCTGACCCGGTTCAATCGCCTTCATGATCGGGTTCTCCGCTGCAGCTCGGGCGATCTTGGGTGAAAGGTCCGAGAGGGGGAACAGGGCCGCTTCGAAGGTCGGGCGAATGAAGTAAACGAGCGACCAGCGCGTGTATTTGTCTTGGGGTGGGGGTGGGGGGATCACGCGATGGATATTGGAGCGGCTAGTGGGGAGGAAGGATTGGAATATGAGCACAATTCAATGGTGTTGATGAACGAATGTAAAAGGATTCGTCTCACAAGATACCGCCAGTGTAGACCGACAAGGTATCGCCGACGTTGACAACGGCGTGGCCGGCGAGGGGCTATCATTACCGAAGAGATTGCGAACTAGGCCGTTGTCAGCTGCCGGCGACCCAAACGACATCGACAATGAACCTTGAGTCTCCACTCACTTTGATATGGACCCACTTGCTCGAGCCAGGTGTCAAGACTTGAAGTCCACCAGTTCCTCGGCCGTGGAGCATCGACACTGCGAGGCAGCAACTCGAGTCACGAGTTGGCGCTTGGGTCGCGCCGACCAAAGAGTGAGATACTCACAGGAGCCAAAGTCGGTGTGGGCACCTGGGAGCAAACGAGTCGAGACACCATCAGGAACCAAGCTTTTGAATGCGCCAAGTGATTGATTGGTACTGACCGATCGCAGCCGCCGGCTCGTTATTCTCCCCGACCCCTTCAGCACGGTACCCCTGCTCCCCCGGAACGGCCTTCTTAATCACCCTGGCCTCGCTCCCACTAACCTCCTTATCGGTATGAAGTTTATCAAAGGTACCTTCCGGCAACTCAAGCGAGCTCTCAAGGGCCTTCATCACATCCTTGAGCACGCTATCGGCTTGACGGACGAAGCTGCGGATGGTTGCCATGTTGTCGACGCAGGTGGAGGGGTACGTGCGTTGGTACACGTCGGGGTAATTGAGCGCGTCGTGTTTGTTGATGTTCATGAACATGACTGGTGGACATGGGATGCATGAACCGGACCGACGGTTAGTAGCGTGCGATTAAGCCGGTGCTTTGAAGCCGTGTGAACGAAAAAGACTCCTCATCCTGGGAATTTGTTCGGGCGCTTCAAGCAGGGGCTCCTCTCGAGCTCAAGCGTAGGCTTGTGCAGGAAAAAGCTCGCAGCTGAACGTTGAACGTTGAACGTTGAACGATGATCTGGCAGTACTGACCCGTATCAGTGTTGCCCTTTGCATCGACATTGACCGCGCCCGCACGTTTGAAGCCGGCACTCATGCCCGCATTTCCTTGCTCGAACTGGTCGAGGTAGTCGAGGGGAAGGTCAAAGGTGTCCTCCCCGACGGCGAACATGGGCTCAGGGTCGACGCCGTGGTTCTTGAGGTAGAAGAATCCGATCGAGGTGCACGCCTTGTACAATTGCTCGATCTCGGCCTGGTCTCGGGAGGCGATCTTGGTGTAGTCGATCACGAGCAATGGGTGGGTCTCGAGGTTTGACGGGAACGGTTCGATGGGGTACACCGCGCGAACAGCGGTGGGCATGATGGCGATGCGGTGGGGCGAGGGAGTGGCAGTGCGGTACGTGAGAGGAAGCGCTTGTGCGGCAACTGCGAAGCAGGTCAAGTGTAGTTGGAGGAAGAGAACGCCGAGTCAAACCCTGTTGGATCTCGACTGTAGAACACAGAGTTACTGGTAAGTCGACAACGGACGGACACCCGGCGACAACGGTCGAGTCGTCGTGAGGCCGGTGACTGTCAGTCAGTGACATTGTGCCGGCCGGCATACCGAATGCGGGGCCCCGCGGCGGCGGCATCGTTTCGGCAGCCTGCAGGCAAGAGCCGAGTAGTCCGAGCCTCGGCATCGATGGTGCTAAACTACGTAACTCCCCGGTCTCGTGACAAGCGGCGCAGTAATGCAAGTACTTTACTGAGTCCAACGCTTTTCCCTCAACTTAGGAGCAAAAACAGCACTCTTTCGGAGTTCCCGTGACCCAGTCTTGGGGCCAATCATCACGTGATCCCGCTGGCTCCTCACAAGCCCCGGCCCTTTCTTTCCTCGGGTGCTCATCTCTTTTTAGTTTGCAATCACACACAAACCTCTAACCCAAGCAGCAGCCTACTTCTTCCTCTCCCTCAAAGCTTTCCCCTCCTTGGATATCCCTTCACTCAAACCCGTCGTCGTCGCACTCCCGCTCCCTGGTGCAGATTCGGTCTCTACCTCCAACGGCGTCGTAGGTGCTTGAGGTTCTCCACCGTCTTCCCTGATGGCCATGACGACGAACGCACCGAGAATCAAGTTCGCTACCGTTGCTGCCGTCATTCCTGCGCCGGCGAGGTTGGCTGAATCGAGAGAGAAAGTAGGACGAAAGATCCAGCGAGTCAGTGCGCCCGTTGGTCGATTGGATAACCTGGGAGGATACCGTACTGCCAAAGTAGTAATCCCTCGAGACGTAGTACGATCCAATGGGGAGGATGACCATGGCCAAGGTAAAGAGGCCCATCTTGATCAACACACCACTGTTGCACGATCGTTCGAAAGAGAGGCAGCGACGATGAACACGAGCGAGCGATAAGAGCAAATCCATTAGCAATCAGGCACCGTCAAGAAAGCAGGATCTTACCTACGTCAATGGTGCTGGAGTAGTGTTTTGATTTTCGGCAATCTTCATGTGTAGTGGCACGGGAGGGATGCCATCGCGAGGACGACCCATCGACATGGTGAGAGAGTGTACGGTGGGTGATCGAGGGGGCGGAGGTCGAGCAACGAAGGGTAGTCTCCAAGCTAGTTGTGCAGATGGCTTATCGATGTCTGGTGGAGAAGAGTGCGAGCAAGTTGGAGCAGCGAATGACGAAGGAAGCCAAGAAGCGAAGGCCGCCTGCGCCTCCGTGCGACCGATTGGTCTACGGGTGGGCCGCCCCCCTTGGGGTGGCGCGCATGCGCTTAGAGTGAAGTAAGGCGAGAGAAATGCCTGTTCGCTTCTGCACCTTATTCGTTTCGCTCGAACGGCAGTGCTCATTGCCTCTACACTCGCGAAACTTTTCAACCCTGTCAGTACCGGCAATGACGACTGCTTCGACCTCAACCAACGACCACGCCGCGACGGCCCCGCAATTGCCCCCGATGCAACTCTCCGGCGCCCTAGACACGACGGCGTGTACCACTTACGATGGCGCTTTGTTCCGATGTCGTGTCTGTCACGACACCAACAAGTCAAGATGAGTCTGAACTATGGTGTGGGTCTCAACGCGCGGTTGGAGGCGGGTCTGGTCTTCGACGGTTGCCTGCCGCGCACGCATTGGCTCGCATTGGCAGGACGCGCGCTGTTCCTATGTGCTCCTTATCAGCGGTCGCTCCGATGACGGCCTCGACCATCGTCCGAGGCGCACAGTTGCCTTCGGAGATGTTTGACCGCCACTCGGAGTCCGTTGCGATGCGGACCTGTGACTCGAACTGGTACATCATGCGGAAATACGACTTGATGGTTCGTTCTTTGTGGTGGTCGGGATTCAAGGTCTCGAAGATAAAGGGTGTCGGACCCTTCGACCAGTCAGTCGATCATGGCTCACGTCTCGGCTGCCCTCAACGTGCCCTCGAAGTGGGCTGAGCTCGCGGCCGAGCAACAGTCATCGTAGGCCCGGGCGATGGAGCGCCCGGTGGACGATCTCACCCAGGCGCGTGGCCGCATTCAAGCCATGGAGGCCGCAACGCTGGGGGACGAGGATTGGAAGCCGATTCTTCCTCTCCTCAAACCTGTAGTGGTGCGCCTGCAGCGGTAGTCGTAACTTCGGTGGTTCCGCTCAGCGCTGCGGCTGCCGCGAGCGGCAGCCTGCACCAGCGTTCGTGAACACGCGTGTTCTTTCTGTAAAGGCCAGCACGAGGCTTATACCCACGTCGGGTCCGCATGACCCAGTTGGCGCGTCTGTATCACCATCCTTTCCCTCTTCTCGTGTCGTGCCGTCACTTCCGCCTCATGTCCGCGTACGTGTAGATGCCTGGTCCCGACGGGCCCTGTGCCCCTTTCTGAGGTCGTTACCTCTCAGGCATCGCGTCGCGTGCCTCCGTTCTCTGGTTCAGGGGTCGAATCCCCCGCCGTTCGCGCCTCCTCACGTCCGCACCCGCTAACCGCTGCTCCGGCGGACTCCGAGCATCACCGAACTGCCCATCCACGGGGTGGGCAGGGCTCCACTCGAACCCGTCTTTCTCGACTCCGTCTCCGATTCTCGCTCCCGGCTCGCCTCGAATTTGGCCCTCACCGCACGGTAAATACTCGTTTCCCGAACGATTCGAACCGCTTCTGCGGCCCTTTGTGAGGTCGTTACCTCTCGGGCATCGCGTCGCGTGCCTCCGTTCTCTCGTTCAGGGGTCGAATCCCCCGCCGTTCGCGCTTCCTCACGTCCGCGTACGTGTAGATGCCCGGTCCCGACGGACCTGCTGGGTGTTGCCCCTTCCTGCGCAGCCGAGGGCTGACGTGCTGGATTTGTATTTCCAGACCCGCTAACCGAAAGGAGACGTCCCGTTCGTGTCTTCAATGCCCGCGCCGGGCTCGTCGCCAGCGCCCGAAACTTCCGCTCGCATGCGAATCATGGCTCGCGAAGTCGACTCGTTCCATGATGCGATGTACAAGATTGTTACGCCGCTCGATGCTGGTGCGTTCGAAGCCAAAATTAAGGCACTCGCAAAGGTCGCGCACGTCGCGCCGTACCTGGCCGCTATACCGAAGCAGATCCGAGAGGGCTTTGATTTCGGCATCAAGGACCCTCCGTCGGAGCGTCACATCGCGAAGAACGCACCGCTCAGTGAGGAGCAACAACTGGTCATGGACGGCGAGATGGAGCGCATGCTCGATCTCGGGTACATCGCGGGCCCGTACGACAAGGACGAGCTCGAGGCCGCGGTCGGTCCTTTCCGCACGAATCCGATCAGCTATGTGCCGAAGTCAGTAGCGCCCGGAATGCCGGTCTTACCCGAAGGCGAAACCGATCGTTCGAACCACAGACCCTGACGAAGCGAATCATCCGTCGACGAGCGGGCATGGACCGTCGCAACGGAATGGTTCGTCTAGCCGTCCGAAACTCGTTTCCATTAATGACGACCTGAAATCTGCGGATTTCCCTTGCCGTTGGACGACCTTGCCCATGTTGTACCGCAAGTTTCGCGAGCTTCCCTTGACGGCGGAAGTCTGCGGTTGGGATTTCGCCGATGCGTTCTACCAGCTCCCTTTGCGATGGGACCAGCGATCGAGCATGTGCATCTTGTGGCGCGGCCTCATCTTCGTACGACGAGTCCCATGCTTCGGTGGCAGGACTACTCCCGGTGTCTTTGGGAACGTTGCGGACCTGACCCAAGACTTGGTCGAATGGAAGTTCCCCGGCGTGTCAATCTTCAAGATGGTTGACGATGTTTGCGCGGTCCGAACGTCGGATGCCATATCGCAAGAAGCCATTCTTCATTTCGTACGATCCCTCGGCTGGCGCCTCGCGGAGCAGAAAGGATTCACGTGGACGCGTCAGTTTGTCCACGTCGGGATTGACTGGGATTTGGATCTAATGACTGCGAGGGTCACCGATCAGAAGCGGATGCGCTACATCGACGCCTTGGTGAAAGGTAGCTGCGCCGATCAGAAGGAACGCTCGGAGGTCGAGTCGGTCACTCGATCGTTGGGGTATGTCGCCTACATCCTACCTGCATTACGGACCCATCTCAACTGTCTATACAGACAGTGTATCGCGCACGGGGACCGGAAGGCGGTATCGCGGGCGCGTCGCCTGGACCGTCGCACGTACGATCAACTCGAATACTGGAGAAGGTCCCTCTCGTCGGAAGGCCCATTCTCCACGTCGTTCGAGGCCCTCCCGATCCCACTGAAGCTTGCGCTAGCGTGGGATGCCTGTATGCACGGACTAGGCATCGTCATCAACGGATACTCCGCGTACTTCGCTCTCCCCGAGGGGTGGACGGATCTGCCACCGCCTCGACACTCGGTCTCGATCACGAACGCAGAGGCGTGGGCGGTCGAGGCGCTGGCCGAGGCTGCGTTACGAATGTCTAAAGACGATAGACATTTCGTTCTACAATGCGACAACACCGGGGTTGTGCTTGGATGGAGGAAAGGGCATTCGATGAATCCCTTGTTGAACTCGTCGCTTTCAAACCTGCGCAGCCTTGAGGAAACTCAAGGTGTGAAGTGGTCGATTTAATACATCAACACGAAGGTGAACCCCGCGGACGTCGTGTCCCGGCAGCCAGACCGCCCGCGGTAGTACGAACCGTTCCCGTTCATGATCGCGCACCCACTGTCGAAGTTTCCGGCGGGGCGCGAGTTGCTGCTGGCGGCGGGAGAGCCCCTGTGGGCGATAGGCTGAGATATCTGACTCCCTTCGTGGAAGGTGGAGCCTCGTTCGTACGGAGTTGCGTATCCCTGTGTCTGCGAGGTCGTGTACCTTTGCTTGTTTGTGAGGTCGAACCCTCTTGCGTCCTGTTTTGTCAATGTCACGCTATCATGACTCAGAGCCGCGCTCTTATGCCTCGGTTGCAGCTGTGCGGTTATCCGGTCCTATCCCGTCTCCGCCGTGAGAGAATCGCGTGAGCGTAGGCGCGTGCTTGGCACGTTCGGCCTCCCCCCACACTTTGTCAGACGAGGGGGTCGCACGCCGTCTGGAAAATACAGATGTCTTTCGAGGATTCACGAGCCGCGTCGAGGCTTCGTCAACGAGCCGTTCCGTACCCGACGATGGCCGTTAGGGAGCGCGCGTTCAAGTCTGGAAGAGCGCTCACCGGTCGGGCCGACGCGTCGAGTTCGGCGCTGCGCGATGGAGCATCGGCTGCGGCGCCACCTCTGATTGTGAAACTAGATTGTAGTCCAGGGACTTGTTTGGGATTCACGTCGACGTCGAACCCAAGATTGCCGATGTTGCGCATTTCCCATTCGGGGGACATCGTCGTTTACCTACCTGAGGCAGACGGGAACGAGATGGCCCCGATGGCTTCATCCACGAATTGCACGCCGGAGGAGCAGCTGTGCGCCGCGTTCGCCAAGGCGTATCGAGGCATCAACCGAATCCTCGTTCTCACACCGACGACTCCGGTCCAACGTCCGCTCCTTGGTCGACCGGAGGGATCGATTCCCCGCACATCCTGACGTCGTCAGGCGATTTCTCACTCGGATCGCGTTGTCGGGAAATGGCGTCGGAGCCTATAGCGTCAGCCACTTCTGCCGATTCCGTACCGCCCTAGAATTTTGGCACACGACGCATGGCCTGCGTATGAACTATGATCCGAAGATGTGGACGATGCAACTGGCTGCGGCTGCGGCCACAGCTCCAGGCCCCAAACCGATTGGCGACGACTTTGGACGACCTCAGGTGCTTGGCCCCGGGGATCGATAAGTGCAGTCCGTTCGATACGGCCGTGTTTGCTGCAGCGTGTGCGGCGTTCTTCGCGATGGCGAGATTGGGCGAGTTTACGGCGGGTTCGGCGGACGAAGAGTTCATAGCCGAGCGGCATCTAGCGGTGGCCAATGCACGCCGGATCGATGCGACGAGCGAAGCTCCTCTCCGATACGAGTTGGACCTCCCGTTCGACAAGGTGCGCCGGCGTGTCGGCCGCACGCTGGTAGTCTCGGCGTGAGACGGCGAGCCCTTCTGCCCGGTCGGTGGCATCGATAACCATTTCCGCCTAAACGACCCTCCACCAGGGCGGTTGTTCTCATATCGGGCGCGCGAGGGAGGTCATCGACAGCTGACCTCCTCGGCGTTCTCGCGACGAATCAGAGACATTCTCGAGGCGAGCGGAAGGGCGCCCTTGAATAACCACTCCTTTAGGTCCGGTGGGGCCACGTTTTACCTTCGAGAAGGTGTACACACGGATCACATCCAAAACCTTGGCCGTTGGTCATCGAATGCCTTTGACAGGTATTGGCGGCGGTACAAGGAGATTGCGATTCAAGTGCTGAGCAAGGCTGGCAAGCTTGCATTCGATTCGGTTAGAGCCTGAATGCGTTGTAATGTAGGCATCTTTCGCTGTGTTTCTTTGGTTGTGAATGTGGGGGGCGTGACCTGTGGTACGCGTCCGGCGCCAGGGCGCCTGTCCGAACCGAGGGCTCGGGAATTGGGGTGTACGCATCATCCCAGGGTCTCGTCCAGGAAGATTAATCATCTTCCTCATCCCAACACAACCAAACAAACCGAAAGATACACAAGGAAGGTCGCAATTCCCTTCCCGCGCTCGAGAACCCCATTGGCATCCGATCGAGACATCGGAGGGGAAAAGCGCGATTGGCACAGATCTGCTCCGATCTCGGCGTGAGCCCGCGTCAACTATCTGAACCGGTATTCACAGAAGGACTGTCATAATGCACTGCGTATTTACTAATACCCCGTAGCCGATCACACGGCATAAGACCTCCGATTCCCCCAATACAATATCCCCACTGCGTCTGAGTCACCATTTCAACTTCACTTCCTCCCGCACACCCAAACCCCTAACCAACTCCTTGACAACCATCTCCGAGCTCACCAAACAACCTTCCAAAAGTGGGATCCCCTCCGCACACCAACTCCCCACGAACCAAAGGTTCTCCCTCCCCTGATAACTCTCCCCCTCCTTCCCCAAAGGGTCCAATAAGAACCTCGGTAAGACCCTCTTGGATTCCCTCGTGACGACCGCTCGTTCGAACCATGCTTTAGAAAGGATCTTGTTCTCGTCAATTTCGACGATCGGGTTCGTCGTTTGGTACAAAACTCGACCTAAGCTCGAATCAGATAAACGCGGGTGGGTTCTCGAGACGATATGTGTAGCTTGGACCGAACCTCGGCCTAAGCGGTTCGAGGTACCGATGTCGTTGAGGTCGGCTTTTGAAGAAAACGCGGAGCGTGGGGCCTCGTACGAGACGAGGTTCAAGTCGCGGTGATCTTGTTCCAACTCGGGAAGGATCGACGCGTCCGTGTGGTTCATGACCAGGGTGCGGACGTAGCCGATGCTTCTGAGTGCGGAAAGGATAGGAGCGAGTGCTGGAGAAGTGGGCAAGAGAGCGGCGGCTTGATTCGCCTGGGTAGCAAAAATGACGTGGTGAAACGGCCGCGGTTGAGAACCATCTAATAAGGTGAATTGATGCAAGGAGGTTGTGGGCGAAGTCGTGATGGATGTAATGGTCGAGGAGAGATGGACTTGGTCAAGGGGTATCGGCGCCACCAATCTCCGTACGACTTGCTGCACTCCGGCTTCGGCAACGTAGTGTGACGATCCAAATGTGGAGACGATATAGTCTACAACGAATCAAGGTTTCGGGTCAGAGAGACCGACACTCGCATACTGAAGCCCTACATGAATATTCACCGAGACACTCGGCAACCGGCATGTTCTGCGCCTGCTGCCTCCCCACCGTAGTGACCGCCGCATAAAGCGGTACCAGCACTTCATTTTTCATCCGATCTCCAATCCGATATCGCTCGCAAAACTCATCCACCGATTCGGCCGCAAGTCGGTCCATAGGTAGCCAATTCTGAAACCGAGATCTCGGCGACATTCGGGAGGTCAGACCGAGCCGAGAGTAGGCAAAAGCGAGCACCAAGAGGTAGAGGTAGCTGAGCGCAAATCCGACGAGGTCGATGAGGTAGGCTATCCGTGTTGTGATTGGGCCTCGTGCGATGTAAGAGGGGAGAGCTAGTGGCGGGAATTTCAGCCCGTTCGAACCCTCGTACAAGAATTGGGTCCGATGCCGCGGTCGTTCCTTTCTTTTGGACTCTATTGGCGGTGAAACGTTCCTATGTGTTGACTTTTCGTCCTTGATGTCCTTGGTCGCATAGGGTGGTGGTGCGTCGGCTACCGTACTGGGCGTATCGTCATTTCGTGACAGTCGGGCGAAGGAGTAGGAAAAATCTGCCCTTCGCAAGGCAACGTCTAGATGCTTGTAGAGTTGAAACACTCTGCTATGGGAGCCTTATTGCAGAGAAAGGCGAGAGTTCCTCGATGTCAGCCTCAAGGCCGAAATTGGGGAGCGCAACTAGTCCGAAGGTTCGGCCTTGATTAGGGGCAGGCTGAGGACGCACCTCCATTGATGGACCTCATTGGGGAATCAATCCGAAACGGCGTCGTGTCATCCGCAAAATTGACCGAGATGGACGTGCTGTCCATTCCCAACGCATGACTCTGTGTTGACGTAGACCGGACATAGATTGAGCGAGTCGAGATCGCCAAGAGGAAGGAGTGAGTGAGGGGGGGAAACGATCTACGTAGACGATTCGGCACCCGGCGAAAGCCCAACCAGGGATCGTATCAATTGCTGGTGCTGGTGGACTGACCTTTTCAAACAGCTCTACATGAAGATGAAGGGGTGTTCCGTCCGGGTGTGTGGCTTGCAATGTTTGTAGTGAATACGCCGTGACTAGACCGGCTAGACTGAAATGGACGATGACGGCGCGCCGAGTCCAACGAATGACACGACGATTTGACGGCAAGTTGCGCGTATCAGCACCAGACTCAGACTCACACCGAACCACACCCAAAGAAGCAAGATGACTGACCCGGAGCCAATCACCGCTATCCTCACTGGCTCTGGAGCCATCACAACACCAAGTTAGCCGCGTGGCAGAACGGACGGAGCGATGTCTTGGCCTGAGACTGCCTGAGAAGGCCTGCGATGGGGTTAGCAAGCGCGCGCCGGGCATCGGCCTGCATCGGCCGTAGTAATCGGCCATGCTTCCTCCCGTGCCTTACAGTCGTACCCACTTGCCCTCCATTCGCTGGTGAACGATCGACACACCTCGGGGGGTCGCCGGTAAACTTCCGCGAGTGAGCCCACTGTATGTGCTTACTTTCTTCTTCCCCTCGAGAAGGCAGCGTTCAAAGATTTACCAGGGAAAAAGGATACCGAAGAATGAAAAGCTGAACCTCTCAAATGCTGAGCCACTCTTTACTATCCGGCACTGGCTGAAGCGGCTGAAGATTCGCATTTGAAATTGCCCGAGCATCTCAAGCGAACGAAAAGTGGGGGCCACTCACATGCACTGACAAGGTGCTCCTAGTGTTGAGTCACCAAAAGCGGTCATTACACACAGTCATCGTGATTGAATTAGATCGGCGTATCGTACAAGGAGCTAATAATCGTAGCGCTTCAAAAGTATGCCCTCAGAATGCCCTCTACTCAACCCCCACCTCACTGCTCCCCCACTGCCGGCACCCCCGTCGACCCCGCCTGTTGCTGCTGCACCATCCCCTGCAGCATCTCATAATACTCCTGCCAAACGACTACAACCTCCCTCTGCCTCTCAGCCATCCCATCCGCATACGCCTCGATCGCTTTTTTGAAATCGTCAATCTTCTCCTTATCGAACCGAGCCATCTCGGCTTTGGTCAATTTGGACACGTCCTCAAAGTCTTGTTTGGCATCGAGGGCTTTGCGTTCCGCCTGGTCGCCCATGATCAAGCGTAAGTGGCCGTCCTGAACCGCGCATAATTCGGATACAGGAAGGTGGGTCTCATGGGGTGATCAGCTCTCGAGCGAAGTCAACGCGTGATTTCCCTCGCCCGAGAGCAGACAAGCACGGTCGAGACCGGCGACGAGAGGAGCAAGAGGCGGAAACAATTGTGAAATAAAAAAGAAAGCAAGACTCACATCAGCGACTTCAGCGACGGCCAACCCTAGACTAGCATCCATTCCCCTCCCATTGCGCTTAGCCTTCTCGTGCGCCGCCTTCGACTTCTTCAATCCCGCCTCGGCCACTTGCCACGAATGGAACGCCTTGATCCTCGCACCAAACACGCCGCGAGCGCTCGCGCATAACCGTGCATACATCTCGGCGACGTTGATCAACGCTCCAACTTGTTCGTCGGAGGCGAGATGGCGTTCACCGATCTCGAAGAGTCTCTGTTGTACGCGCGAGGCTTCGTCGATCGCACCCCTCAACGATTTCGATAGGTCGCACGAGGCCAGTCCTGCGAGAGAGGTCTGCAGCTCGGCCAGACTGTCTTGCACCGAATGTCGAACTTTGGACGCGTTCGAAAGTGAGGTGATAAGGGCACGAAGTGCTGCCTCGAATGCCTCGAGTTGGTGTCGTCGCTCGTCAAAGTAGTCGTCAAACTCGACAAAGCTAGGCCCCGAGATCGCAGAGCCAAGCGAGGCGAGGAAGCCCTTCGATTCAGAGGGCACGTCGAGTTTGCGTTGTTTGATCTGGAAACGAGTTCACGCTCATCAGTAGCGGTAAAGGCGTGCATCCAAAATACCGCCCGACGTACATCCACCGAGAACGAGTCACTCTCAAGGAAAAGCCTTAGATCAGGATCCCCTACCAGCATCGGGTGGGCTACGATCTTCATGAGGGCGGCCTGCAATCCTTGTCGTCGGTTTTCGACAAACTCGGAGCCAAAGCGACCTTTTCAACGCAAATGTTCAGTTCCCGGCACAAGCATATTGCCACAGCAGGGGTTCAAACGTACCCATCGCGCTCTTCTCCGGCATACCAGGAACAATGACACCTGGGTTGTTGATCGTCAAGGCGTCGTAGAGCCACAGGAAGTGGCTGAAGCGACGCAGGACGGAGAAGTCGGATTTTCGGAAAGCGCTCGAGGTAGTCTATACACAACAACCACAATCCTTTGTCAGCAAACCCTACCCGGTAATCACGAGGATGGAGTAGAGTGACGACTTACCCGTGTTCGAACGGTGTAGACGGTGTGCTGAGCCGCCGGGTTGAGCGGGTTGCCGATCTTTTGGGGATCGCCGACGGTAATGATGAAAGACGGTCCTAGTGACCCACCGGCGTGGCTACTTCGTGTTGGCGAGCTTGGCTTGGGGACTGGCGGTAATGGTGGCGACGAGGTGGGCTGTGAAAACCATGCAAGGACCAGCTCGTCAGATGAAACATTTTCACACCGCCATGTACAACCCAATACCCTCTTACCTCGACTCCAGACACTGGCTCTGAGCCATTCACATCCTCATCACCTGTGACCACACTCCTACTATACGTCCCCCGAACGCTATTCGCTTCCTCACTCGCCCCGGACGCATGTCCGATCGACGCCCCTCCTCGATCCTGCTCCTCCTCCTTTCCCTCCGCATCCACAGGCCTCTCTTGAAAGATGTATTGCGCGAAAGCAGGATCCGTCGCCGTATCTACATCCTGCATCTTGGAATCCGCTCTATTCCGGTCTTCCGACGTCCCAGTCTCTTCCGTCTCGACGCGCAAAGCTTCCAGTCTCTCCTCCAGGTTATCGACCCCCCACCACTCTTGTTCGCTGGCCAAGCGTTCGCGTTCGTTTCCGTTCCATTCACATCGCCCGTGTCCATAGGACTAACAATTGAATCATACTTGGTTCTACCTTCGTCGTCCTCGTGGTCAGCATCGTTCGATGCAACGGAGCGCATCGACGCGGCTTTGGAAGACACGCGCGAGATCGCTTTCAAAGGCTGCGAGTTGACCGTAGTCGTGGCCGAGTCGTGGTCAGTCGAGGTAAGGGGTTGTTGGGGCGTTTCCGGACGCGATTCAGGGAGGTTCGTCTCCAATATGGTCGGCGACAAAGGGGGTATCGATTCCGTCGATTCGGGAGGGATCGGTGCGGGCTCGGGTTCAACGGGAGCAGCCACTGGCTCGGTGGAATCCTTTGGCAGAGAAGCTGAGCTCGACGGAACTTTGTCTGTTTGCTGCTCAGTTGACTCTATTGTCTGAGCAGGTTTCTTATCCTCTACAGTCTTGATCGCTGTTGCTGTTGTCGTCGGTGGTACCACAGGTGTTGTCGCGGCAATAACGGCCGGTTTCCTCGCTGGCCCCTTCTTCTCAAACTTGGGCCTGACCTCCTTTTCGTCATCTTCCTCGACTTCCAAGCCCAACAAAGTCGCCAATGCCCCCGGAACGGTTCTTCTCCCGATCGAACTGACGGGTAGGACGGCGATCTTACTTCCCAACGGACCTGCAACGCCTTCCCCTCGCTTGCTCGACGCGGATGGGGTACTCTTCTTGAAGGAGGGGAGGATCGGCTTCTCCTCGCCCAATAGGGAGGAAAGATCAGGTTTGCGCGGGAGGGGTCGGTGCATCGTCGGTGGAGCGAAGGAGGACAAGGCAGAGGTGACGGTCGGGTCAACGTCAAAGACCGAGACGGGGAGACGGACGGGGGACAAGGGTGGGGGTGAGCCGAAAGGGGTCTGTTCTTCGACGGGCACCATCACGGACTGAGGTGGGGGCGAGTAGGTCGACTGAAAGGGTGACTGGGGACCTGTCGAGTCGTTGAATCCTAAATCGTCGTGTTGGATATCTTGGCTGTCGCCAAAGAGCGCTGTGGCCCCTATCGTCGTCGTCGTGGACCGCACGAGCTCGTCGTCGTACTGCGATGGATCGTACGTCCTCGAGTAGGAGGGCGTTTCGGGTTCGGGAGCGTTCTCGCGGGTGAAGGTTGACCGACTCGGTGTGGCTCCGGTGTAGTCGTGGCCGGTGCTGATGGCGTACGAAGGTGTCTGCTGGGACGAACTCGGCCCATCACTCGTCATCGTCGTCGTCGTCGTCGTCGTCGAGCCGAATCCACCGAGATGACCACCTGAAGCGCTGACGGGCGAGATGGGAGGAGAGCGATAAAACCCAGACGGTGCAGCGGGGGGGAGGTAGGTGCTGTTGGAGTGGTCGAGCATCTGCGACGTCGAGGGCAAGTCCGCGAACGGGTTCGAGTTGAGCTCCTCCTCGTCGCCGGACCCACCCGTCGTGAACAGGGTCGAGCGACCTCCCAGCCCACCGGAGCGGGTCAGTAGGTCGTCAAAGTTGTCATCCTCGTCGCGGAAACCCGACATGCTGCGCCGTCAGTCGCGGGGACCCAGATCGAGAGCGGGGAGACTGAGGCCGAGTGATGGGTGACGAGGTGACGAATGCGCAAAGTGCGGCGACGCGCGGACGGTCAGCAAAGCGCATTACCAACTTGGAGCATCATGTATTAGCCCCTCGATATCAAGCGCTTCTGACCTAATGCAGCACCTATACTTTGTGCACTTGCGCACTCTTATGGTCAGGAACACAGTCGATGCGAGTTCTGTCGATGTTGATATCCAAGACCATGCTTCACAGGATGTCACACTCTCATCGAATTGCTCAGTCAAGTTCAAGTGCATGTGCGCAGTCGTAGCCCACTGGCAGCTGAGGCAAGAATAGAGATCACCTCGCGCATCCTTCCCATTACAGCACGGGCCAAAAAGCAAGCAAACTTGAACTCAAAACGTCTCAAAGAAGCATAAGAGATCGTACTGGCCAAATATCGCTGCAGACCTCGTAACAAGATGATACACGGCGACGAGCGCAACAAGACCGCTCGATACTCAAAGGTGAGAATTCGAGGCGATCCCATGATCTCTGGAAAACGAGGGAAGGATTGTCCGTGTGGGGGGAAAGGGGAGGTTGAGGTGGGGAGGTGGGAAACGCGGAAAGGAAAAGAGTCGGACGAAAGAGACGACCGGGAAAGAAGAAAAGCGAACGAATGCTAGTTATGAACAGGAACCCATCACCGCGATATGCGACTGATTTACTTGGCTGTAGAGGCAGGTGAAAGGTAGAAGGTCAGCATCGGTGCGTGAGGCGGCTCGCTGAGGAAGGGAACGTACGATAGCTGGCGGGCGAGATGGTCTTGATGGCCTTGCACTTGCTCGATTTGCCCGCCGGGTGGGGGCCGGGGGTCTTGGCTTGGCCCTGGTGGAAAGTCGAAACGGACTTTTTCCCGTTCTTGCCCTTGACGTAGTCTACAGCCACAAGCGATAATAGATGGGTCAATACCCAGTGGTTCGCGCTGGTCTAGCAGGGCCATCGAAAAGATGACTACTCACACTCGCCCATGGGAAGGATCGTGTCGTCGGCCGCGCAAGTATCGAACGAGCCAGACTTGTAGTTTCCGGGCTCGTTCCTGCACACGAGATGACGGCGGATGACAGGCGCACTTGTCAGCCACTTGAACCGTAGATCCGCAAGAGTACACTAAGCTACTGACCAGAAGCAACCCATGACGTCGTAGATGTGCTCGCACCAGCGCTTGGCGTCCTTGCCGGGCAGGCAGGCACGGATGCAGAACTCATTGTAGGCGATGAACTCGGTCCACTCCTGGATCTGAACTTTGCGACCGTCGACGTTGGCAATGACTATGCCACCCTTGGGGTTACCAGTACCGTCAGCGCCGTGGGGGTCGAGCTCTCCACCCTGAGCGCGAGCGAGTGAAAGAGGGGCTTCGTTAGTCCTTGTTATACTCTTCCTTTGGAGCCAAGATTCGCATGCGGGTACTCACCTCGTCACCCTTGGGGATGTTGATCTTGGTGAAATCTCCGACACCGGTGATCTGGATGTAGTGGGGCGTGCGGATGTAGTGGGCACCCTTGATTGTACCCTTGGGCATGAGACGCGATCCGTGACCGGCGGCGGTGCAGTACGAAACAACGGTAGCCTCGGCGTCACCGACCGTCGACTTCTTGTGGGGAGCCCACAGGCAGAAGTCCGTCAACGAGTTGATGTACACTGTTGCGATCGGCAAATAATTTCACTCAGTTACGGTCGGCGGGATTGTGGTGCGAGCGGAGCGTCGCGACCCGTGACTTACGGGTTTGGCATTTGGCCGAAGGAGAGTCCTTCCTCCTGTAGCAATCATTGTATCTGTAACGGATATAGTAAGAGAGGCATCGTCAGTAGGTGTAATCGCGCCGACCACATGCATGTAGTGATGACTGCGAGGCGATTGCTCGTGCACGAATGTGTCGTGTCGTCGGAGCCCGAGCCAGAAATAAAGGGCCGCGTGTGGGTGGACGCGCGTCGGGTTCAGTCAACCGCAGCGCGTTGCACCGCCCAGGTGCGAGAGCACCACTCAAGTGTGCTTCGTTGGGAAACTCGAGCATGGCTTGACCACCGAAAATAACAATGATCTCACGCAGACGAAAAAGGTCCAGAGTAGCGAGTGACGAGTGGCGAAGTGTGCGCAAGCGACTCGGGTCGCGTCCGGGCTAGGCACACCGCAACCGTTGGTGGCGCGTGTCGCTTCGACGTGTTGCACTAGCAAGGTGACCCCCGTCACGCAGAAGATTGCGTCGACAGCCCCGAGGAGGAGATGGAAGAAATCCTCGAAAGGAGGGAGAGGAGCGTACCCAATTTGTCCAGGCTCGGTGCGGGCGGGGGGCTTGTTGGGGTTGACGACGACGTTACCGGCCGACACGAGGGTCGAGACCGCGAGGAGCGCGATGGGGAGAGCGGAAAGCATGCTGTGTCGACGCGTAACAAAATGATCATATGGTGACGCAGTCAGGTCGGATGGATGGCAAGGATGGAAGCGTGGAGAGGAGGGAGTATCGAGATCGTCGCGAAGCGGATTGCCAAGGATGCGGGTTTGTTGGATCAAACGCAAAACAGGAGGCAAGCGGAGGCCGATCGAGCAGGGGCAGAAGACGGAAGAGGATGGGGATCAGACATGCTCGAGTGGGGCAGATACCTTGAGGCGGGGGGTGGCGACTCACATGAAACCTATAAGGAACGACGAAGGGTGAGTTGAGTAGAAGGGAAGAGAGAGCGGGAGCATGTCTATCCAGACCCTTCCGGAGTGCGAGGCCAAATTCCGCCAAAATGTGACCAAAACCGCTCGCGTCCGCGAATAAAGACCCCATGGGCGTGCGCGTCAGCGATGCAGCCTCGCCTACGGTCGCCTCACGCGCCTTTGCAGAGTGCCTGAAAGCCCTTTTACGCTCGCTGTCAGTGTCACACCATGCGCGCCGGAAGGGCTACGGCAGCAGCGCGTCAGGGTCTTTTGACCGCCGCGATTCGGCCGTTTTTTTTGTCCCGACGCGCGGCGCGGCTGCTGGACGCGCCCGTCCGAAAACAGCCAGGTGCCGAGCAAAACGCCAAGGAGGGGCTCGTCCGGAACAAGAAATTCCTGAGGAGTTTTTCTCCTTTCTATGAGGCTAGGTGCTTGAGCAAGAAATTCCGTCTACGAAAGATCTGTTGGGTCGTCAAGTTCTTGATGTTGGGACTGCTCGTGATTCGGGAGCGACGTCGTGATTTGTCAGGCGTACAAGAGCGATCGGCGGTCGGGAAATCGGACGTCGTCGGATGCCGATGGCATTGCGCGCCGCAGATCCGCGCACGCCCACGTGTGTCTTGATGAAAGCGTTCTCGCGTATCGCGCCGGCCGCTTATGCGCCAAATATCCACTCGAGCTCTCCAGTGCCAGATTCAGACAGCAGCACCCGCTAAACATTGCGCGGGCTAGGCGGGAGTTTATCCCAACCCCAAACCAAGCCTAGTCATTTCGATTTGCTGGAAATGTTGAGCAGTTACGTCTGCGAAAAGCGGAGTGCGAAGAGGCGTTTGCGATTTTGCTCGTCGAGACGATGCACGGTACTATCGCCAAATCTGATCAGAGATCTTTCCATAGTAAATCCCCGCCAAGGTTCCTTACCTACCTCAGCCCTCGATGGTCTTTGCTTGACGCGTCAGCTCACAATCTTCACAGCACATCCCTCCGAGGCGTCCTTTCCAAAAATCGACTGAAGTGACATCGACATTCTCATCCTCAGCGTGCTGAAATCTACGAAGGGGCGTGCCAAGCAAGAGACGGTGTCGACACCGACATCAAGTGAAACAGGTCGTGTTACAACAATCTACACAGCCGAGGTCATGATAGCTTGGTGTACTACTGCGACTTCAGCGGAAAACGCGTCAGAGGTTGGGAGTGGCGCTGTAGCGGAGGAACTAGGAAGACCCGGAAGGGAAGAAGATGCCGCTTGATTTGGTCCGGGGCCCAACCGAAATTCTGGCTGGACGTGTGGAGAAGCCGTCGTAAGTTCAGCAGTTGACGGCTTCTGAAGCGGCGGCGCGAATCCTCCGTTAGGCTTGGTCGCAAGAGGAACCGTCGACGGCTCGGCTGGGGCGACGGCAGGGGTTGCGCGAGGCTGCGCAGTGGCCACGGGTAGGGAACTGGTCAGGGCCTGTCGATCGGTGCCCGATGGCTGAGCCAGAGGGGCTCTGTTCCACGTAATGATCGGTGTTTTGGGCACCATAGCAGGGTTTTCGGTCGAAGTCGATGATAGTCCAGCGTGGCCGTTGGACTGGGCTGCAGCGGCGAAAGGTGGAGACGGGGGGATCGGTGCTGCTGGCACGGTGACGCCATTCGACACGAGGGTCGCATGTCCACCGACGCTCGATGAACTCATACCACTGTCATCAAAGCGCTGGTCCACATCGAGAGGTGGCTTCACCTTCGCACTTGCTGACGCCCTCGGCTCGAAATGAGGAGGCGCACTTGTGTCGGTATCTCCTACTCTCTTGCCACCGATTGAGAACCGAACAACGATGCCTGACGTCTTCGAGGTGACGGATGATGCCGAGGGCGTCGATGACGAAGTCGAGGACGAGGCTTGTACTTCAAGGTTTTTCTTGTCTTCCACCGCAGAGCGCCGCTTTGGTGAACCAGCGCCCGTGTCATCTGCACCTCGCGATTGCTTTGACGCAGCAGCTGAACGAGAGGTTCCTGCCGCATCGGAGTGACGACCGCGACCTCCACGATGTGCCCCACGCGTCGAACCACCAGTCGATAACCTATGCACCGAATGTCGTGAACCGTTCATCGGCGTCACATCGATATCCGGATCGTCTCGATCAAGTTCTGCTAACGCCTTCTCGAACTCGATGGCGTCGCGTGCTGCCTCGGAAATCACTCGCTTGCGCTTCGATCGACGCGTTCCCGCGTCCTCCGAGTCTTCGGTCTCGTCTGAAGTTTCGGCTGTCAAAGTTGGAGCGGGTCGGTCCGAAAGCGCTGCAAACTGAGGATTGGCGATGCTGGCAATTGGAGCTGCAATCGGCAAGGACGACCCCGATGGCTCGGCGACGGGGCCAGCACGAGCACCGCTCGACGAAGACCCAGAGCCAGAGGGTCGACCACCAACAACAGGAGACGGTGGCGTATCCATTTGGGCTTGGGCGGTTTGTTTGTCACGGGCCTGCCGTCGCTTGATGGTCGAGGAGGGGGTCACCGTGAACTGCGACTTGCGGGCCGGCAGTTTTGACTCCACTGGTGACGTCGCTTTGCTGCTTGGACGTTCCTTCGACACCGGCAATGGACCGATGCGGATCGTCGACTTGCGAGACTTCGGTTTCGGCTTCGCCGCGGGTGTGCTGGAAGATGAGCGAGTCCCTCCGTTGCTCGGACCCACCGCGGGCCCCGATCGCTTCTTGGTGGACGACGCCACCAAAGCGGGACTCGGTGAGAGTTTACCGGCACGGTTCGGCGGCGGGAGAGGCGGAGCAAAGCCGAGAGCGGACGTCGAAGAGAAGTCACTGCCGCTAGGCTTGACCTTGATCTTCGGGGTAGACGAAGAAACCGTGGGAGACATGGATCGTTTCGATTTCGGCGACACTTGCGCGGGTGAGGGGCTGGCCAGCGTCGAACTTGGTTGTGGCGAGGGCGCTCGTATAGGCAGACCTGACAATCGCCTCGCTTTGTTCAACCTCGCGATGAGTCCCGCGAAGGAGAATCGCCAACTCGGAGGGGGATCCGTGGGGGTCGTCGATCCGGTCCACTCTTCTTCGATCTCCTGGGACGACTCGTCAACGTCCATGAGGGCATAGTGTGGTGAATCTCTCGCAGGCGTCGCACCGGTCGAGGCCGTCCAGCCGTTCGAGGAGGCTTCTGGTGAACCCGATGCGAACGCTGCTTTCGCACGTTTGGCCGTTGGTGGCTCGAGAGTCTCGGGGTGAACCTCTTCTTCGGAAGACGAAGACGAGCTGCGGTTGCGTTTGAGGTCCAGTAGTCGAGCAGACACCTCGTGCAACCTGAGTTTCTTGGGAGATGGCGACTCGGGTAGAGCTAGAGACAGAAAGTTAAACGAGGGGCGCAACGTCAGTTCGTGAACGTTCCTGGGCGTTCGTTGCTTCTTTGATAGAAATGACGTACGAGACAGCGTCGAATCGCGACTCCAAGAGGTGCCAGGCGGAACGCGTGGGAGGTTCTGCTTGAGCGGATTGAGCACCGGTTCGACGAGCGCATCGAGCCTTCGCGCCCTTCGCAAGAGCATGTAGGTATCATCAGGACCGGACTTGAAGGCGCGTGCATGCATCTGCATCGCCGTCAGGTTCGTTGCAGGGTCTCGGGCCGAGATGTCGTGAAGGACTTGATCTGGCGCTGTAGCACCAGAGTGCTCGTTGCACCAGATGACCGCAACGAGTTCACCTTCCTCGTCTTTGAACTTGACTGTCGGTGTCTCTTTAGGCTTCTTCTTGCGTAGAGGGTGAACTTCGAAACCGAATCGGTAGGCGGGCTTGATCCAGGCGCACGAAACGTGGAACATCTTCGGACACTGGGCGCACTTGACGCATGCGCCGACCGCATCCTTCTTGCAGAGAACACACGTCTTTATAACCAGAACACAACAGCATCAGCATTCTCATCTCCGCAATGTAAGTTAAGCATGTGCCAACTCACAGCCAATCGTCGCTTGGAAGGGATCAAGGAAAGCCCTTCGGCATCGCCCAGATCAGAGGGCACAGTTAACTTGATCTCGGGGTGCCACACCGCACAAAGCAAGTGAATATAGTTGTCAAACTCGGTCAACTTCATGCAGTCGAGCGCGGTGAACCTTTTCGATTTTTGGACGGTGCGAGGCGGGCAGAGCAAGCACAAGGGTTGGCGCTGCGAGGCAAAGCGATTCGTCTGAGGTCAACGAGGTGCTCCCCATGAGAACGATCCCATTCCACTCACAACTTTGAGTGACTCTTTCTTCCCCTCCTCAATATCGCACAGATCACAAATCCACTTTTTGAGGTTGGGGAAGTTGAGCCCGTTGATGCCGTAGCACGAGACGTGAACAGTCATGCCACAATTGAGGCAGCTCGCATGCTCGCGCATCGGTGGAACCCGCTTGCACAGCAGACACGGTCGCCATATAGGCTCGTGGGATCCACTTGCCGCCGCCGCCTTCGCCGGAACGACCGCACCCGTGGTCGCTCCTGCTCCCGCCTTTGGTCCCGCCTGGGCCGCAGTCGCCGTCGCCGTCGCCGTCGCCGTCGCGTCGGTCGATTTCTTGCTCTTGAAGTCTCGGAGGTTGTGGGCAATGCCGTCGGGTAACGGCGCCGTCTTGGCGAGATCGTCCGTGTCGGTCGGTGCAAACTGAATACCGTCTGTAAATGCGATTACTCGAGACTGTCAGCCAAAGGTCAGACTCAGCACGGTACAGAGTCATCGACTCACAATGTCGCCAGCGAATACCACATTCCTCACACATGACGCAAGGCTCGGGTGTGACGAGATCATCGTTGAGCGTGTCAGGGCAGAGATACCACTTGGGGGTCTTGGTGATATCGCAAATGGAGCACGTCCATTCCTTCTTGCCTACGACGACGGACTTGGGAGCATCGACGACGGACTCGCCATCGCTATCATTCGCATTCGAAGAATCCTGGCCCGACGCGACCCGCCCACCATTCTTGGCCGAGCTCTTCTTCTTCTTCTTCTCCGGGCTCGCCGCCGAAGCCGCCATCGCCTTCTCGTCCATCTGAGTGGGGATGTCCTCTTGCACCAAATGGCCCATGTGGATGTAGTATCGCTTGACAACGTCACGCATCTTCTTGTTCGGTAGAAGACTCTTGCGAATTTCTTCAATGTCGTTGAGATGTTTCTGGACACCGTCGGACAACTTCTTGCGATCGGCTTCGGTCCAGGGTGGGAACCCGAGATCGTTTTGGGTGAGCTTACGCATCGCGTCAAGGGCAGTCGCGACCTCGTGCTTTTCGTCCGAGACGAGAAGGGATAAGACTCGATTCAGCGCATCGACGCCTGCATGTCGGTACAAGATCATTCGCTTGACCTCCTCCACCACTTCGTCAAGCAAGTCGTCATCGATCCCGAGCTTGGGATCGGCGATAACGCCAGCCAATTCATCGACCTCTCCCCTACGAATTGTTTGCATGTTCAAGAGCTTCTTCTTGATCTTGGGTAGTGCCGACGTCGAGCCATCGACCTTGCGTCGAGGCTTGGAAGCGACCGCTCCGAACATGGGTGCCGGAGCCTCGGGCTCAGCTTTTGCGTAGTCCCATGCCGGAATCGTGATCTGGTAACGATGTCCGAGTCGAGTTCCGGTGCGCGGATAAATGGAATCGTGGGGATCGAGAACCGAGTTCGAAGGAGTGTGCATGCCGTAATAGCGGAAAGGCCAACCATTGAGCATACGCCACTGACGTGACTCGGCATAAGGACCCCGCTTGCCTGTCACGCATAAGAATGCAACGAATGGTCAGAAGATGAGAGCATACCATGGCATGAAAGCTATCAGATCATTCTGCACTGACCCAAATCCACTTCTTTGCCTTTCCCTTTGTCCTGTGCACTTGCGGCCGATTCGGCAGAGCATTCCGACCCCTTCGCAGTGGCGAGCTTGGTCCCACCCTTGAGGGCATCCTTCGAGGACGAGTCAGGAACGCTAGACCCTTTCCCATTGGGTTTGTGGGGTTTTGGAGCGATAGCGGCATGTCGTGTCGGAGCGATCCCGGTCTCCATGTAAGCATCGACCTCGACCTGATGCGCGCGAGCACAGGGCGCGCACGCCCACGCCCAGCCGGCTTTAGGTTTTTGCGCCAAGGGGGGGTCGACGCAGCCGAGATGAAAGACCTTGGCGCATCGAGCACAAATGACCGAATCCGAGCTATGGTATCGTGGTTCAAGGGGAAAGGACGGGAGATCAGCACCGTTTCGACGTGATGTGGCCTCAATGGCGGATAGGAGAGGGTCTCGCACCTCGCCGCCCATTTTGAGCATTTTGAACAGCCGCGCTGGGCGTCGCAAAGTTCGTTCGTCATGGACGGTTCGCAGAGGATGAACTCGAAATGTGTCGTCAGATGTTTGACAACTTCGGCTGTGTATGAGTGTCACAGTCGAGTAAGATCACTGAAACGTTAGACTCGATCCCTGTGGCGGCACACTGTAGAACTAACGAGGAGCGTTTTGGACCTTGTCCACCGGGACCGCGTCAAAGTAACGGTGCAGGTAGCGATCGTACACCTTTCAAAAGGAGATGAAAGGTTAGTCCAGGGATTTCAGAAAAACCGCGGCTTGATGGTCGTTCGAATGAAACCCACCTGAGACCAGTAGAAAGCATCGGGCAGCGCTTTGAAGGCACGCATGTCGGCAATGTGTTCCTTGTGCTGCACGGTGCAAACGTGTCGAATGTAGGCGATCGGAATGACGTCGGCATGCATCGTGGCTACGACTAGTCGAAAGTCGGCGACGTATCTTTTGAAACCCCGGAATAGCCGCGGGGAATGACCAGGATCGGAGAGATGACCATCGAGGACGAGGAGCGTGTCGCAGAAGCAAGTGTCAGCTCTATGGATAGGAAAGACCAGATGCGATAGGCTTGGTACGGCCCGATGATTCTCACCTGCTCGTGATATCCCTCGACCGGAGATAGTAGTTGACTCGGACGCGGGGGACCGTGTTGGACACCTTGGTCGACACGGGTCGCTTGGACGAGGACCCTTGGGTTGGCGTCGATGATCCCGAGCTGACCACGGGGGGTAGCACTTCGAGGATACGTGCGACGAGATAAGGTTCTCCCTCTCGATCGAGCCATGGCGCGGAAACGAGGACGTGGTCTGCAACATACCATAGCCCGATTCCGGTCAGCGACTTTGACGAGACAGACGGGGAGAGGGGACGGAGGAAGGGGAGACGACCAGCAACGAGCTCGGCGCCGAGCAAAGCGCAGGAAGGGAGGACGTACCATTGACCTCGAGCACCTTTCCCTTGACTTCGAGCTTGCCCGTGGATGCGTTGATGCGCGGCGCCATGCTGACGAAGCGATGTACCGCGTCCGGGACTCAGCGACCAGCGACCCGCTCCAGAGGCCAGCACGAGTGGGCTGCCAATCAGGGAGGGGAGATCGAGCCGATTCGAGGCGTCGAAAGAGTGGCGCGAGTCGCTACAGTGGAGGCCGACTAGGAATCGAGTTTGGACGAGACGTAACAAGTCCGAATCACGACCTCGCAAGGTGAAGGAGAAAGGGTCGATTCTTCGGTTGTAGAGGAAGAATCGACTAAGGGGCAAAGTGAGGCGCAGGAAGACAAGAAGCGCGCGTGCTCCATCTCGGACAGAGAGTCACTGCCATCAATCTCAGCCGCATCGGACTCGGCCATTGTCATCTGAACTACCGCACAGAAGTCTTTCAGAGCAATTTCTCCGCCGGCGGCTTGTCTATAGCAAGTGTTGCGGTCTCTGATCACCCACAGAGCCAGCACCGTCTTGGCCCGTTCGAGGTGTGAGTGGAAACTTGTCTCATTGACGGCGAGTCACCTCGATAGCAGTCCCACGCAACGGACTAGTGCGAGTTCAACGTATTCATTGTGCGGTTTTCAGCTCAAAAAACCGTCATGGTGGTTTGTTGCGCCTTTGCATCGCCCAAAGCTCCTCGGCAAGGTCAATGATCTGACGGGGCAAGTGGCGCCGACTATAAAAGAATCGCCAACCTAACTCTTCGCCTCTCTACAGACTTTGAACATCGTCACTAGCGCCGAGTGAAGCTTTCTTGTCGTTTAAAAGTGACTTTCCAACGGCGTCACGTCGAGTTTTACCGTTTTTACACGGCCGATGGCCTCTGAGCTCGAAAGCGAGTTGGCTCGACGGATCGAAACTTGTTCCTCGGCGCAGGCTGACGTTGGCGAGTCGATTCGCTCACTGTCGGTGACCTTGTGCAGAGCAAAAGCTATTTTCGTGTAAAGCCACGGTGTGTTCTCTCAAGGTCGTTTCGATGATTGAGTCACGCTTTGTCCCCCACGCCCATGCTCGGCCCAGCCTTGCATTCCGAGCAATCGAGCAAGGGGTCATAGCGGCAGCACTCGGTGCGGCCGAGGGGGGCAAAGAGGGGGCGCTCGCGCGCTCTCTCTCCTCTCCCTGCCGGCTCGCCATCACGTCATACCGCGCCGAGTCCTGCCGAGTCTGCCCTTGTTTGTGGCGTTGACGAGGACCGAGAGCAGCGCGGTCTTGTCGTTGTCGTTCTCGCTCGGTGTGCGCCGCTGTCGAGTGCTCTGGGTCGCTTCTGGTGCTGTGTGCTGTGACTGGTGTGCTGTGAGACTCCGAGACTCCGATCGTGTTCGACCCGGCTCGACCGCGCGGAGAGAGCCCACAACCCGGCAGCCCGGCAGCCTGGCAGCCTACACCCGCCAACACCCGCCAACACCCGCCAACACCAGCCAACCCAGCCAACGCGCTCCTCGTTCGACCGGCCTGACCCGCCTCGAGCTCGGCTGCCTGCGATGGACCTCGATAGACCGCCCCCCTCGCCCGAGCTACTGGTCCGACGAGCCGTGTCCGAGTCACGGAGGCAGTATGTGCTCGGCACGACCTTGTTGCTCGGTGTGGTCCTGCTGTGGGTCTCGGTACGTGCCTTTGTACGCCTTGCCTTGCGATCGCAGCGAGAACCGAAACGAGCCACGCGGATCCTCATTCGTATCACCGCCCGAGTCGAATATTGTCGCTGACTCATCCCGGAATTCACAGTCTTCCTTTCTCATGAATGTCAGTCCCACCGCGATCCCACTTGGCCCAGTGGCCCCCAGGTCACGCGAGCTCGACGACTCAAACTCGCTCTGGCTGGCTTGCTTGCTTCCACAGTCCATGTTCACCTCGATGAACTACAACAAGCCATTCCTCGTCACATATCTGTGCACCGCCACTTTCACCTTCTACCTCATCCGGCCAACATGGACCTATCTCCAGCTACAACACGAGAGGAAACGGATCGCACGGAGCGGGTCAACCACGGTCGAGACTACGAGTCGACCCCGAGGGCATGCCGCCACCAAAAGTGCTGAACGGTTGGCAAGGTGAGATATGCACCGGATGGAGATGGTGTCTGCGATGTCGGGATAGCTTACTGACCACGCGTGCGCTCCGTCGACCGGCCTCTCCTACAGCGTGCTCGATCCGGTGGGGTCCATCACCGATTCAGATGGGAACGTCTACATGCGGCCGGATGTGAGTGTCAAGTAGGCTTGCACTCTCCTGTTGAGGCCATCGAATTGAGTTCGTTCATTCGTCTCTACTTCAGTTCGCCTTCCGAGCCCGATCCCAATCCCGGTCCATCTCTCGACCTCGATCTCTGCTCGCTTCGAATGCGAACGGCTCGGCTGTTCACACCGCCGGTCGACCGCTTTCCATCATGTCGAATGATCCTCCCTTGACAATAAGAGAGACGGCCTCGTTGGCCTTGCTCTTCTGCGGTCTCTGGTTCTCGGCGAACTGGTCGATGAATGCGAGTCTGGGCTATACGAGCGTGTCGAGCACGACTATTCTGTCGAGCATGAGTGGTCAGTTGCGGACAGTGATCACGTGTTGGTTCGGATCCAGTTATTGACGCTGGCTGTGCGAACTATGCAGGATTCTTCACACTGGCCGTCGGGTCATGCGTTGGAGTGGAGGCTTTCACGTCGGGCAAGCTCGGCTCGGTCGTGTTATCGTGAGTTGCTGCTCTATCCGCCTGCTCACCCAACAGCACATTGACGGGATCGATGCCCTCACAGGATCCTCGGCGTCATCATCATCTCCAAGTTCGACGCTACCCTACCGCCGACCACAGCCCCTTTCCCGCTCCTCGGCGACTCGCTCGCTCTCCTCTCCGCCCTGGCCTATGCCTTCTACGTCATCCTACTCAAAGTGCGCATCCGCACCGAAGCGCGAGCCTCAATGACGCTCTTCTTCGGCTTCGTCGGCCTGTTCAACATCCTCCTCATTTGGCCCATCGGCGTCATCCTTCACCTGACGCGTATCGAGCGCTTCGAATTGCCGCACGGAGGTATGCTCTGGTTATCGATCGCGATCAACGCCATGATCACCTTCGTAAGCGACGCCTTATACCTTAAAGCCATGTTGATGACTTCGCCTTTGGCGGTCACGCTCGGCATCTCGTTAACGATCCCTTTGGCGATCGTCGGTGATTGGTGGAGAGGTTCGGTCGTGGGTTGGAAGACCGTGCTGGGAGGGACGTTGGTCTTGGGTAGCTTCCTCGCGAATGGTCTGATGGATTTGAGGAGTGCCAAGGAGGTCTTGGAAGAGGTCAATGCGGATTCGGGCTTGTCGTCGGATGCTGGATCGGAGCGGGAGAGATTGTTATCGGAACGGCGGATATAGAAAGTGATGCGGGACCTTGGGCTGGGGTATGTTCGTCTAGCACCCTTGTTGTAATGAGTACATTCTTTTCCTAGAAACCCTGGGATCATCAAGCGGAGAACGACATCCTTTTTCATGACACTCTTTTCTATTCGGATACTAAGATCGCCCCACGGATCACACTACGACAACTCGAGATTCAAGGCATTTTTCTAAGGGAAACTACTTTTGGGGGGAAACAAAACGGAACGCGATGTGACCTCTATAATCAAAACTGAGGGGCATGAGAATACCTATCAACCCGTGGAAAACTAGTGAGATGGGGAATCTTCACGGTTTCAGAAATCAAACTTGGTGATTTGAACCTCGACCGAAGAATCGAATTCGCGCGCTGCCAACCTAACTTCCTCATTCAAAGTATCCGGACCGCACGAAACGACGAGCGCGCGACCGAAACGTTGTTCGCCACTCTCGATCGCTTGACTCAAGAGACGGATCGTATCCGGTCGACCACGGTGCACGCGGACGAAAGGTCCGACAGAAGGATCGCCTTTGGCTTCTTCCCCGAAAGAGTATTTACGCTCAGGCATCTCCGAAGGGGTCGTAACTCCTGAATCGTCGTTGGAAGAAGAAGAAGCGCCGCCGGGCGATACGTCTTCGAGGGAGGGCAGCGTTCCGGGTTCGAGAGCTTCGGCTCCGTGACGGGTGACGTAGATGTCGATCGAGAGGGCGATGGATGTCGAGGAGGCGAGTTCTTGGCAAGCGGTCAGTTGGGGACGGATCCATTCGATTTGCTCTGCAAGTTAGGAGGTACGTTCTCAATTCGAGGTCAGTTCGGCCTCGGGAATCAAGCTCAGGTTCTTTGTGCTTTACCTTTGCTTTGGATAGCCCAAACGAGGTTGACCTTCTTGAGCACCCGAGAAGGTTGAGCCATCGCTTGACCCAAAATGGAGGAGACGTGCGTGATTCCCGAACCACCAGCGACGAGAACGAGCGACTCGACGGCACCTTCGTCCTTCAGGTCGGAGGAGGCCAGACCGCCATGGGGACCTTCGACCGAAACTAGAACCCCAACGGATTCGACACCTTTTTGAGCACACAGTGAGGCGACCCGTTTCGCGAGACTTTGGGTCATGCCTGATTTGATCCTCATGACGAGCTCGATGTGATCGATCTTATCGCCACTCGCGTTGGCGATAGAGAAAGGATGACTTTGTCCGTAAACCCAAGGGGTCTTCAGCATCTGAATACCCCAGAATGAGACGTAGACATGTTGACCTGCGGACCAGGCGTTGGAAGGGAACGGGATCGAGAGCAAGATGGCGCCGCTGACGACTCGGGCTTGTGCGTTGACGAGCGGTTGACGCAGCGCGAAGAAGCTCGAGATGTGCAGGACGAGTCGAGTGAGTCGTTCGAAAGCCCAGATACCGACAGCGGCCCACACCCAGGTGCGCATGATGGGACGGTCTGAAATGGTACGAAAACGTCCTCGCGGGGTCAGTGCCGAGTTTGTAGCGAAAGAGGAAAGCTTGCCACATTCTCCACTTACGATACCAGGCACCGACAAGCATGAACACGGCACCAATGGCGTGCATAAGGAGCAAAATTTCGTACATTCTCACGCGGAGGAATCTGAAGTAAATCAAGCAGTTGATGGCGCCACCCACTAGCGCGACGATTCCGAGCCTGACGATAGGGGGCTCGAGCGTGAGCAAGTTTGCGGCTCGTACAAGTCCAAAGGGTTACTTACTTGAGATACGTCTCAGTCCACTCCTCATGCAGTGCTTCAGCTCCGGGTCCGTTGAGATAGTAGCCGATGTATGAAAAGGTGTGGACGAAACATTGTAGGAACTGTGGGAAACGAGGAATGAAGCATTGGTTAATTGTGCCGAATCGCGGGCAGGCAATGATTTGTTCAAATACGTACCACAAGGAAACCCAAGATTTTGTGGTAGAATCGAACGGTCTACAACAAATTGAGAACCCATGAGCTTGAGCATAGTAACGGTGTGTTGGGCAAACCCCTGGACCGACCTGATATTCGAAGCCTGATTGGGGAAAGAAGTGATTGGATTACAAGTCAGCCGCAAGCACACAACCAGCTCACTATAGACAGACCGCCGTTCCAAACCATACTCACCAGTCAAGAAGACGACGACAGAGTTCCGGCCCGCAAAAAGATACCTGCGAGAGATAATCGTAAGCGGGTTGCTTCCTAGCTCGCTAACGAGGCGAAGCCTCCGCCTCGAGGAGGGCTCACAAGAGGGGGAAATTGGCGGCGGCCATTCGTCCACAGCGACGGGAAAATGCGCGGGCTACATTTGAGCGAAGAGTAGCAGGGGTGTGCAGTTTGGTGTCCACGACGAGACAAGCAACCTATGCATTTTCGAGAGAAGGCATCGTCAGGGCGGGAGAAGACCGATAGGAGACGTAGGTCACGTCAATGTGGGATCGAACTTGCAATGTTGAGCTGGAGGCCAAGATTTTTTGTGATGACGAGTCAGTAGAGATCGGATGCAATGTGATGGTCGGTGGATGGATTTTGGCACTGACCGTAACTATGAGCGTCACGAGCAAAGCTCGCATGCGAGTCCATTCCGGCGTGAACGGCCAAACGCCGAGGGGTTTTGCCATCCATGTATCGACAGTATCGCTGAGTCGAAGTAAAGCCGGACGGTCGACAAGAACCGCATGCGACCCTTTCTCGGATGTGGTGACGGCCGTTTCACGAGCAACTCGGGCTCGACGGGCAAGCACGAACCAGTGTACTTGTCGCAGAACGTGACGAAGTACAAAGAGGCCTAGAACACCAGCAGCAATGTAGTTGTAAATCCTGGTGACTCCTGTTGGTATAATTGAACCAGGTTCGTTTAGCTCCGATGTGTTAAGAAGAAGTTCCAACAGATCACATAAGATTGCTTACGAAGCGAGGCGATGACTTGACGGGCCTTCTCGGCCTTATCTGCGGCTGTCTGACCTCCTTTCGCTGGGCCGGCGCCGTTGGTTGCGGCGGCGGCGGCGGCGGCGCGCACCATCAAGCTGGCGTACGGCGTCATGTTGATGGAACTAAGGAGAGGGGCGATGATTGATCCGGAGATACTGGTCTTGCGTTATGGAGTTGGTGGACGGATGCAAAGAACTAAAACGGACCATGTCCCTCGAAGCTCCAGGGTAAACTTATGAGTCTGCGAGATCGACCGCTCATGTCAGTTGAATTCGCCGCTCCGCACCTTCGCGGGTGGGTCAAATGCCTTCGCAACGGATCTGATCGTCTGATGGGCTAGAATGTGCTGCGAAGTTCTGACAATAACCAATCAACGTGGAGGAGCGCAGCTCATACGAGCGCTACTTTCGCGGTGGGATCACGGAAAACCTTCATGAGCAGTTTTCGCTACTCTGCTCGAACAGGCCTAGTTGTCCGGGGCATGTCCGTGATCGGGCCCGTTGCCGCGTGCACAGCCCCTCTAAAGAAAAAAGCTGTAAAGTGCAGTGTGAGCAGCTCGAAATGGCGATGCTGATGTAGACCTTGTAAGGTAGGTCAAAGCCTTCAATTTCCACGTACCAATCATACCGGCTGGGAGGTTCTGAGGTACGTACGTACATTGAACGCTGTACCGCGCCAGCAGGCTTGTTCAAGCGATTTCCTGGCTCGGGGCCACCCCCGCGTTTCGGTCGCGTGGGGGGCGCGCTAGTGACAAGCCACGAACTCAGAAGCTCCAAGAAGTGAGGGTCAGGGGCTCAAGGTACTCGTCTACATATTTTTGAAGTTGTATTGTCATTCTGACCTTGATATTCTCGTACTCACCTAAAGCAGGTTGTTCGCGCCGGAGCTCCAGACCTTGACAGAAAGCTACTGCGGCGAGGCGAGGGCTAGACGCCGAGGCCGGTGTACGCAACTTGCATGTACAGCTGCAGCTTGCATAGGCGCAGTGTTCCCACCTCGATGGGTGCTGGTAGTCTCAACCCTGATTGGCCATCGAATGAACGATTCAGATGGGGGCCGACATGCCCCTCAGCAGTGAGCTGCACCAATTGCACTTCGGCTTCGGACTCCGCGAGCTGGCGAGCTGCGAGCTGCGCCGTTTTTGCGCCGGAACCAAAGCGCGGCATGAATCCCCCTTGATCGCCTCATCCTTCATCCCAATTCCCCCAATTTCCAACCTCACAGGATGCTCTACAACCGGCGGTACCGGCTTGATACCGCAGAACATATACTCAAGTAAGCCCCTTGTGTGCACCGCACTCAGATACCTATCCCGAGAGGCTTTTTTCCTCTTTTTTTGCACTTACCTGACACGTTAACGTAGGTCAATCTCCGATCTAGGCCTAGCTCGCTTCGACCTGGATATATGTGAACGCTCATGGGTGTTTTCCGGCCGGGGCAGGTGAAGTTTCTTCGCAAGGATCGGGATCGTTTGCTGCCAGATCTGTAGCGTGGTTCACTCTGTCACCGCCCGATTGAGATAGGAACCGAACTCTATGTCCTCAGTGCTTGCCATGATCGGCCTTCGAGCATGTGAGTCCCATCGTGACGTCGGACCCTGCTCCGTCGGACGACCCCTAGCGAGAGCTCTCGGGTATTTCTGTGTACCTGGCCTAGTCAGGTAGGTAGGAAACAAGTTTTAGAGTCAAAAAAGAATCAGGTAGCCTCACCCATATTGGCTGACACGCCTTGCCTAGAGGTTCAATCATAATTTCTTGAGCTTCTGTGATCGGCATCTATGATCGCCGCCGCATAATCGACGACGCGCTAACTCGGAGCCTAACCAAACTTCGCCGCCGACGGTGGTTCGGTCTCTCTGCACGTCGTTCTTCCTTGATCTTGCTGCGTCACACTGCTTCGAAACGGTGTCCACTTCGGTAAGTTCAGACACCTTCTGCGAAAGCTTGAATCCGCCTTATCTAGTAAGGTATTGCTAGTGAAGGGGAGACACAACGAACATTCAACTTCCCCGATATGGTACGGGTTTCCGATGGACCCACGGCTTTGGGCATATCACCTTGTGCGAATGTGCGCGAAATATGATGTAAGTACGTAGTGAGCACATCGCTGAAGCGATGCGGTGGTGTGCCCGAATAGGAGGCACTGACGAGACAGCCGCTCGCCGAAGGCTTTAGCCCCTTTACACACGCACGTCTGTTTGTCGAGCAGGCGTGCGCATCAGGAGGCTTGATGACCGATAGGGAATGCTAGGCATGAATTGCATACTCAGCCAGATAACCCTACGATGGTTTCGTCTTGAAGGCCTCGTGGATCACTCAAAGCGGCCAGTCCCACTCAGACCACCCTCTCACGCGGAAGGCTGAAGACGAAGAATTGTGGCCGAGCAGCCTGAAAGCTAGTTTCGAGCGTGGCTACCAGAGGTCATAGCACTTGCACTGGTATCGCGCCGCAGGGCAATAGTACCACGCTTATGGTGCTCTTAAAACCGGCGACTAAACTGCCGTTGGTCCATTTGAGGTACCGCGCGAGGAGGATAGGCCAAAAGAGGAGCTTGTGAGCGTGTTCCAAAACTGCGCTAAGGTTGACGGTGGATGAGGTACAGCAAGGTCTGGACGGTGACTCGCCTACGATCTTCGGCTCTCAGGGACATCCATGACATCGAAGTTCTTCAGGATCGATGTGCTGCGGTGACGCGGCCGATGTGAGCTCGGAGTCGCCGCTACGAAGTTGCGAGATAATTGTTATATGGCCAGGCCGGGGAGGCATGCGCGCAGCAGCATTGTGGTCTGGGCGTCCAGCGCTGCCCCGTTTTCGCAATCAAAGCAATCTTGTGTTTTAAGAGCTTAGTTGGATTACGTACGGAAATTTAGCAACGCGTGGTCACCGAGGCGTCAAGTCAATCAAACGAGGACGAGCAATCTAGCTCACTGCTGTGAGACCGGCGTATATAATTGGGTGCGCAATGTCAACGAAATACTCAAGATACAAAAAAAGTAGGTCGGAAACTGCCATTCTCGTTCTCAGAACGGGTACATGATGGGTTGAGGTGTCGTGCCCGTGTTCGAACCTGGCCTGCTCGTTGATCCGGCGCCAATGCCGTCGAGGTCGTTGCCCCAGCCCCAACCCCCGACTCGGTCCACATCGGATCGAAGCCATCCAGAACATTCGTCAAAGCCATATCGACGTTGATTGAACCGGGTTGCTTGCCGCTGGGTGAGCTCGCCAAAGAGCCCGCCGATCGACCTGGGCCGAGAGCTGCGTACGTCTCGAGAACTTGGTTGCCCGAAGCGGGCATCGCAGCGGGAGGGTAACGGCGTTGGCTTCGGTCTGCACTCGATGAGTCAAGTGAGGTAGGCCAGCGTGGACCATGTTGTTGAGGCGAAGTCGCGTAAGCGCCTGCCATGCGACCATCTGCCCCCGGCATCGACTGAGCGCCGAGATTGTAATGTGCCATCGACTCTGGCACGGCGGGGGGTCCGTTTTCCGTGGGCCTCAGAGGCTGAGGGGAGGGTGGTACACCCTTAATGCCCAATTCGAGTAGCGTCCGAAGTACGTGAGCTTGAGCGCGCGCGGGGTGATGAGGATTCAATGCTATCGAGTCGAGGAAGGAGGCGCCGAGCTCGAGCAGTCGCGGCAATTTCTGAGAATATCGCCATGGAACTTGGACAGAAGGATTGCGAGAAAGCTCCAAGTTGGGAGTCAGAATTCCCTATATAGAACCAGCGATTAGCTCGAGTCCACTCGCGCGGCCAATGCATCTTGGCTGACGACTTACCTCGTTAACGAGCTTGCACAAGAAAACCGCCGGGAAGATGTACGCGACACAGGTGATGGCTACAGAAAGATACTATTCATCAGTTACGATCCCTGGAGAGAAGGAAGATCGCACGGGTCACCTACCGTCCATTCCCCACTTCGACACCTCAACGATCGACTGATCCAATGTAAGTTTGCTCCACCCATCGGCTCTTTCAGCGCCTTCCCACTGCACTGTCCTCCAAGCTCCAACGACCCGGCTTTCCTCGCACAGCGTAAACAAAAGACCTTCGGCCGCTCGAACGCAGCGTTCCAAGCCATCGTGCTCGCATTGTGTCAAGCCTCTCGGCTCGATTCGAGCCCGCTTTGCTTTCGGTCCGCCTGCCCCACCCCCACCCCCACCCCCACCCATCAATCCCGGTTCCTGCTTGAGGTCCGGGAAGGCACCATCCGTCGAGTCGGTCGAAGAGAACCGCTTTTCCTTCCAGGAAACGTAAGCCGCCGCGTTGAACTGTAGCGTGATGAACCACGCAAAGGGGCACATCACACTCATTGCCAAAGGGTCGACAGCGAGCTGTTGCTGCAGCATGGGCAGCCAGAATTCCTCCCACGCGGCCATGCCGGTGTTGTAACGGTCCAAATCGACTTGGGCGATCCGACGGGTGCGTTCGTACGAAAAGGAGCGCAGGATCGGTCGCGCGACCTCGAACATCTCGACCGAAGCAGCTAGACGGACATCGTAAGGCTGAAGTTGAAGCGACGAAAACAGGCGAGTCGTCGTCAGCGCGGCCGCTCCTTCCATGTTGCACCTTCGTCCCGACTGCACGTTCCCGTGAACGTCGTTTGACAGGAGCCAGTAGTATAGACGCAAGTCTCGCAGCAACCGCTTGGGGATCGCTATCCCTGACGCGCTTGCGGAGTAGGCCCGCGAGAACCTTGACAAGGAGCTGGCGAGATCAAGCCTCTCGGCCGATCGAGCGAGAATGCCCTGTAGCATCCAAGAAGCGAGGCCGTTGACTTTGCTGGCCCGCATCGATTCGGCGACGTCCTTGCCTTCGGCCCGTCGGGTCGAAAACTGCGTCGGCTTGTACAGATTCAACAGGTCCATTGCTCGCAAAAAATCGGTTGTCAACTCGTGCGGTTGCGGGTTGAGGATCTGCGGTGCGAGGATGGCGTTGACGTAGCTGACCAAGGTTGTGTGCAGCGCTGAAGGGAAGGGCGATGAGAACGAAGTGGCGAGGCAAAGGATTGTATGGAAGAGCAGCGACGAGCGTGATCGCACGCCCATCGCGTCGCGGTCCTCGTCCAGCGAGAGCATCATGACCCAGGGGTGGATCGAGCAGAAGAAGAAGTCAAACAGTTCCTGACACTCGTGTTGGGTCAACGTGCCCCGCTTGACCACGTCGGGCGCCCCGTAGTCATCCAATCCACCATCGGCGATACCGCCGTCGCCGGCTCTGGCCTGCACCTTGCCTACGATCATGTCGATGCTGTCGTTGATCTCATGTATCGGGTTGGCCTTTTCCTTGTCGAGCTCATCTGCCGTAGCGAGCCCGTCGGACGACGCTGGAGAGACAGATCTCCGGGAGGGTGATCGCGAATCGGTCGCATTCATCGGCGAATAGCCCTCCGCAGTGTAGGTGGACGTGATGTTGAGCGCGGCCTCGATGTTTCGCAGTCGCGCGGCGATCTCGTCGAACTTTTTGATCGCGACAGGGGCCGAGCCATCGAGTACTCCCGAGCCTGAGGCGATGGTTGTTGCTACAACTCCGGCGCTGGGAGGGAACTTGCATTCGAGACCATAGCTGTCAACGAAGGAGATGCAGGCCAGCATCAGAGAGTTGGCGCACGCGGTGACCGAAAACCCGGCCGAGACAGGCGAGTCAAACCTGGGAAAGGGGCGTGACTCACAGTTCGCACCTACGACACGGCACTGTGTGGTTCGCAATCAAGAGAGGAGACGCCGGGTCAATTTCGCGTTCTCTGCGGATGAACTGAGACCGGCTAGTGCCAGGGGCCGAGCTAGCCGAAGGGGTGGACTGCTCCGACGAGTCCGTGCCGACACTTGCAGCGAAAGTGGCTTCGGAACGGGCGCCAATGCGCTTGGCGGGCGGGGCTAAGCGGGCTGTCCACTCGAGGCAGGCATGGTCGACGCAGAGTCACGCGCCAAAGGCACACCGCTCACCTCGTGAAGGTCCATCGCATTTTTGTTTGGTGCTCTTGCAAGCCAGACCTGAAAAAGCAAGAGTAAAAGGGTGAGCTCGAGTCTGATCGCGCGCTTGTGCGAGTGCGCGCTGCTGTTGCACATCATCACAGGGCCCCTGGTAGGCCAAGCGTGAGGACCACGGTCCGGTCTGGAACCCACAAGCGAGCCTCGATCTCGTTTTCTTGTCACCCTTGTCCTTCTTGTTGTTGAAAGCCGAAGCCTTGTTTGGTGCTTGGGCTTTGAACGGTGTTCGCCTCGGACCGGCGCCGGAATGGGTCGACGGGGGGCCGCCTACGGGGTGCGAGGTCGAGGTCGATGGACCCGAGAGGGGCACCGCAGGTGGGGCAGACTGCCCGCCGCCGTCACCGCTGCTGGTGTTGCCGTGCGCCGCTGACGTCGAGGCCGTCGCTGCGGCGGATGGCACGGACGAGCTCGACGGCAATGACACGCCAAACATACCCGTGTTGGCAGCCGCCATAGCAGCGGCGTGCTGCAGGTGCTGCGCCGGCGTCGTCATCGCTACCAAGTGAGCGTAAGGGGCAAGCAAGGCAAGCGTGAGCGTGAAGTGGTTGGTGCGGGCAAGTGAACCAGAGTGAACCCCGATCGAAACGGCAGTGCGGGCAATTAAAATCCCCGATCGAAACAGCAGTGCGGCGCTAGAGCTCGGTAGAACTTGAAGCCGAGCAGTTGCGACTCACTCGGAGCAACCGAGACTGGCATGGTGTCGACGGAATTTGAAAGTCGATAACAGTGAAATCGCACCCTTAATTCGGTGTGCTCGCCTTCACCTTCAAAAGGAGACCTGCTCGGCGGTACAATTAGTGAACCTCCGACGGCCGAACCGCCCCGAGGCGTAGGACACTGCGCCTCAGTTTTCGCACTCTCAGAATTGCAATTGCGTGCGTTCGATAAGTCAGCCGGTCGACCCACCTGCTCGACTGTGAATGTGATCCTCGTGATCCCGAGTAGCTGAATTGCGGGATATATCTTACCCGGTATTTCGGCAAATTTTGGAACTGTAGCCGGTAAGATTTGTTCTGCTTTTCGCTTCGAAGCTTTCTTATCCCGTCCGGGTCGCACTGCCGTACAGTGAGCTCGTACTCAGTACGCCCACCCCCGCGGACACGTTTTCCTTCTATGTAGTCTTTCCATTGCAACTACGGCTTTGCGTGCCAACCCCGAAGATGACATCGCCGTAGGCGCGGTCGAACATCGGGGCGCGAGCTCGAATGCGCCATGAAATCGATGAGAGCTCAGAGATCGACATCACCGTTCCGGCCGCGCCGACTCTCAGGAGCTTCGAACTCCCGAGCCTCGCGAATCATCAGCTCAGTACCCCCCGAGACCCGCAATAATCTGACATTCAACGGGCGGGGAGCGACGTACACTTCAGCATGGCTGGACTAGACTGTTTCGCGGTTGAAGCGATCTCCATAGGCGTGAAAGAAGGTGTTTCCTCTGCGCTCGGGGATTCGGGACACTTCGGTGCCGGTGCGCTACTTTGTGGCTCAGGGATCTGCGACACAAACGACTTAAACGAAGTATCGAGACACTGTTACGCAAGGGCTCGCTGCATCCTTGGCAGGCTTGCAACACCCGATGCATTGAGCCAGCTCGATTCAAGGCTCAGGGCGATTAATGAGCGAGAGTTCTGGGTAATGAGGGCTCATTGGTGATGAAGGGAGTTCGACGATTGCAAAACGACGAGTGCGGTAAATACAACAGGCTCAATGGCTATTTTGACTCTATACTTTGGTCTTCTTTGTCGCAGGGCCCCTTGACGATTCTTCGTGATCAGCCTCATCCCTCTCGATGAGTGTTCGCTTTCTGCCTGCGGTCGACGCTGACATTGACGTTGATCGAGTGGTCCTCCTCTTCGTCTCGGGATCGGTCGGCCCCGCCGTGTCTTCATCCTCTGCAGCATCTTCTTCTCCCTCGCCATTTCGTACTTCCTCCTTGGACTTGCCGACCCGCGCCTTCTTCCTCGCCTCCGCCGACCCCGACTTGATCGCCCTCGCCCACGTCAGCGCCTCACCAATCTCTTCAGCAAGCTTGGCCGCCGTCGGATGCGCATTGCTCATCTTCCTCCTAAAGATCAACCTCAAACTTGCATCGTACGTCGCCAACATCTCGTCGAATTCGTCGTTCGTACCGAGGAGCCTCAAGTCGTCCCTTTTGGCCCATCTCGAGGTACGATACGGGTCAAAGAAGAGAATTGGAACGAGCTCGTCCGCTTCGGCATTCTTGGGGCGATGGCTCCGCATCTGCTCTCGCGTTTCGGGGGTAGTGAAAGGGTAGTCGAGGACCTCGGCAGGGAAGAAGGGGAATCCGGGCGATCTGGCCCAGACGAAATCACCTTCCTTTAGTTGCGTGTCGGCGGTGACGAGCGAGGAACGTTCGACGCGTGCCAGATCCGTCTCCCATGCTTCAATACGAACCGCATCCTCTTTTTTCACCGCAGCTGGGTTGGGCACGGCGGGTAAGCCCTTGCTCGCCATTTCGACCTCGACGCGGCGAACAGTCGAGGCAATCGACAAGGTTCCATGAATCTTGGCGGGTGGTCTCGCCTTCTTCGTGGTCGCGCCTGTCGTTGTCGATTCTTTGGCCTGATCGTTGCCCTCCGCTGCTGCATCCTCTGTAGGTTCGGCGAGTGTCGGCGGTGCTTGCGGAGGCCCCGAGGCCTTCTTCGGTGTATCAAATGAGGCCGACTCGGGCCTGGTCGACTTGGGAGGCTGCACCGGTGCGGGTGCAGTTGAGGGTTGCGGTGCGCGTTCGACTATGGACTCTTGAACCTCCTCAATCGGGATCTTGCGAGGTCGGCCTCTCTTCTTCTTCGGAGGCGCGTCCGGGTCGGACTGCTCCTGCGCCTTTGTTTCGACTTCCTTCGCTTTACCCTTGCCCTTTGCCGGCCCCTTATCATTCATGTCCTCCTTCTCCTTTCCCTTCCCCTTCTCCTCAACATCAGATGCCGTATTCTGTCCACCCTTCCCCTTCTCAACGACAGCATTCTTGGCCTTCCTCGACGCTCCTTCAGGTAGGACCCACCCCGAGTCGAACATCTTGAACGACCTCATATCATCAACGTCCTCGACTTCCCTCTCGAAATCACTTTCCGCATCCTCGGATTCCGCCGAGCCCGAGTCTTCGGACTCCGCTGAGGATAAAGCGGAGGACAATTCGCTCATCGTCGAATCTTCGGAGAAAAGTGGAAGCGGTGTCGGTGAACGAGCTTTGCCGATCTCGCCCGTCGTGGCTACAGTCAAAGTCGGCGTTGATGCAGCTTCGACGAGAGGACGATCCGGAGCGGGCGTTTCCGCCGCGGACTCGGACTCGGGCGGATCAACTTCCATAGCAACTATCGCGCTGGGTCCGGCCTCGTCGCGAGTTTCTTCGACGACCGCCTCGGCATTCGCTGGTTTGCTGGTAGTCGACTCGGTTGTCGTCTTGGTGATCGCTTCATCCTTGGCACTGCTCTTCGGAGCATTCGGCTTCGTAGGAGGAGCAGCCTTGGTCGACGACGCCGCCGCCTTGGTAGGCGAGGTCGCTTTGGTCGGTGAAGTCGCCCTTTTCCGAGCCGCAGCCTTCTTCGACGAGGCGGGAGCAACCTCCTCCGTTGCCTGTGCGGGAACTGCTGCACTCAAAGCAGTTCGAGTCGAAGGAGGTGTAGGTTCAGTCGAATGCGGGGCAGGATCGGGAAATGCCGAAGTCTCCTCAATCACGACGTCCTCCCTGGTGCTGGGACCCTTCGTCGCGGCCTTCGGTAACGGATCGACTTCGGCAACCGCTTCGGCTTCGACGGCGGCTGCGCTGTGATCATCGTTTGGCGTGGTTTTGGTCGTCGCTGGTGTGGGAACGCTCGACTCTGCTGCTGCGCTCGTTGTCGTCGGAATGATTGCATCGTCTGCCGCCTGCGTTGCAGTTGTCGTGTCAAGCTCCTTGGTCGTAGCGCCTTCTCCCATCGCATCCTCCTTCCTCGCTTCCTGAACGGCTGGATCCGCTTCAGTCGGCGGCAACTGCATAACGACGTCCGCCACCACCCCCTTACCCTCCTCTAACTTGGCCGGCTCGAATTCGAACAAGGCATCGACGACCTCATCGGTCAAGACGAGGTCCAAATGCCTGCCCAAAATATTCTCATCGCTCATCGGATCATCCAACCTCTTCAAATCCTCGACGAGCGACTTGGACACTTCCAACAACTTGGACGCGGCGCGGTGCACGGTCGTTTCCTTCTTGTTGTACAAGAACGCGTTGTCGAAGATGAGGTGGAAATCGACGAGCAACGATTCGGCACTGGCGTATTCGCGACGGGCGAGCTTGTCCGTCATTTGGGAAAAGTCCATCGGGTTCTTGACGATGTCGTAGTAATCGGGCGCATCGCGGCGTGAGACGGGTTTGGCGAAGAATCGATGTTTGTCAAGTCTATGAAAGTGCCGCAAGATCGTATCAATTCCATAGCTCTCTTTCCTCCACACACCGTATTTCGATCCTTTTGACTCACTCTGAGACCCTGCGAATGAAATCACCCATCACGCCCTCCCTCGCAAAGACGTGCTGTTCGACGAACCGACTCAAGAGCTGCGCGCGTTCGAGCTTCTTGCGCTCACGTTTCCGCACGCGTTCGGTCAACATCCGAACGTTCTCCAAGTCCTCGCGCAAGAGTCGCATCAATTCGAGTTTCTTCGCTCGTTCCACATCGGATTGTTGTCGCGTCGAAGCAGAGGCGGTCCAAGGCTGTGAAAAAAAAAAAAAAAAAAAAAAGGCACGACGTTTGAGAGATGAGCCAAGGGTCCCATCATCTCTACTCGAGATCAACCTCACCTCGAGATGCAGTCTCTTCAAAAGGGGTGCGCCCCTCCTCGACTCGCGTTTCAAGCTCCAATACCGACAGAGCTGATTCATGAACTGGCGCTTGTTCGCAATCTTGATCCTCGAAACGTACGCGTTGACTCGATCGAGTATATAGGACGGGACGAGCGGTGGACCAGAAGTGTAGCTCTTCTTGTACGCGCGTTGGGTTTTGGTGGAAAATGACGCAGCTTTCGGGTTCGCGAGGACGACTTGGAGAGACGTAGAAAGCGAAGGAGCGTGAGCGCCGAGGGAAGCTCGGCCAGGTCGATCACGAGACGTTCCGAGTGGGGTGACGGAGCCAGCAGTGAAACCCTGCATGAAAGCGAGGTCAGCTTAGTGTCCTGCGTGGCACACGTAGTACGTGGAGCGTCCACTCACCCCACTGTGCTTCTCGCAGTAGGCCCTCAGCTCGCCGGTTCCCGTCTGCTGTTTCATCTTGAGTTCTAGACCATGATCACGAGCGCATGTGACGTGGAACGCAGTGAAGCAGTTGCGATTCGCACATTGGATGCAGGCGCCGACGCGTTGTCGACAGAGAGAGCAGATCTGCGCCCAAGTGAGAGGCTCAGCGCGAACGTTCCCCCGGGCAAAAATGTGTAACGGGGCAAAACACTCACAAGCCTCCACCGACTTTTCGAAATGTTCTCGACTCCATCTATCGGTTCCATGTAGACCGTATTGCTCACGCCCGTATCGGGGATCCAGATCGCGCACAGCAGGTGGGCCCAATGCGCGGTCGTCGTCTGCTTGAACGCGCCGTACGAATTGGGGCACAATACGCAGCGGACTGGTTTGTCGGGCGAGACGGTGCATTTTCGACACAGCCATTGGCCTTCGGGGATGTAAGGCACGCCATAGCAATCTACCGAGAGGGAGGGTGGAGTCAGCTTCTCATGTGGGGATCGGGTCGACGTGGGGGCAGGGACAAACGAACCTTGGTGCACGGCGAGGTTGCAGCCATCACAAAAGACGATCGCGTTCGAGTTTTCGCATTCTCCGTCGTCACAAATGGCGCACTTGCTGTCCGTGTCGAGCAACGGGTTGGGCTTTTTGGGGATCGACTTCATCTGGAGGAGGACGAGTATCTTAGCTGAGCCTGCTGGGATAACTCATCACCGCGACGAGAGCACATTTACCAGATCGAACCACTCTTTTTCGAGCTTGTCGACGATGATCTCAAAGACCTCGTACGAGACGGGCCCTGCTCCATCGACCTTGCGCGAGGCGTTGATGCCGTCGAGCCACACCTGGTCTACGAAAACACAAGCCAACAGGGAGCCGTCAGCGGTCATTTCAGAATGATGCTCTTGAGCTGGGCTGACCTTGCTCATCCATATCGTATTCGACCTGATGGGCGAGCTCTGATTCCATGGGTTCTGTGGGGTGGGGCAGCACGGCGTTGAGTGACGAGCACGATGCGGAAGTGCTACGTCGTCAGGTCTCCGGATCAAGGAAGACGCCCGATCATAAAGCGAGACGACGCACGCAGCCATCTGAGATATCTCGAGTCGTGGGTCGGCTCAAAAGTGAGGCCATCACTCGCCGTCGCACCGTCCAAGTCGGCGTCCAAGTCGGCGTCCAAGTCGGTCGTCGTCGTCGTCGTCGTCGTCGCGGGCAAGGTCGAGGTCGAGGTCGAGGTCGAGGTCGAGGCGACGGGTTCAAGGGCGGGATGAGCTGCCGGAATGGTTTCAGACGGGATGAGCGTCCATGGCTTGCCGTCATTGAAGCCAAAGTGCTCGAGCAGCTTGTTGTCGACGTGCGGTGGCAGCAACGCCTCGCTGTCGACGATCGAGAAGTGCACCTCCGGAACAGGCGGCCGCTCGTTCGAGTGAGCTCCCATCGTCCTGATCACCAAGCTGTGATGTGAGGAGTGCGTGGTCCAACAGAGAGAGAGGAGCTACGGCGCGATCGACTAGCCGTCGCTGACGAGTTGCGCGCGTGAGCTCGCGTGGTGAGCTGTGGTGACTCGGGCTGGTGACTGGGCCGACTGGGGCTGAGCACGCCGAGGCGGGATCGGTTGATCATTCGATTTGCGGAAAATTGAGCATCCTGCAGTGCCTCGGTCGAGTGATGGTCATCTCGAACATTCATTTTCTATACACCTAGGCCACGCAACTGAAAGTAATACAGTGGCGAAGCTGTTCTCGGATCTGGCCACAAGTTTCGGTTGGCCACATGGTCGACGTCGCCGGCAAATTTTCGCCACGAGCTCGTCAACTTGGTGATTATTTGTAGACACAACGAGCTCGGTCCATGTAACGAGAGATGGCTTCAGGAACGCGCATGCATATCTCTGGGTTGCACAAAATCTCCAGTCACCTTGACATTTAACAAGGATTGCAAGAACCACACCAGTAGAAGCGCACGTCGGCGCGCGATCGGAACCGCGAGCAAAAGGAGCATTTCGACTGACCCAAAGAGCACGATTCGTCAAAGATCAAGCGACGAGGAATGAATGGATTGAGACCGTGCTGCCCCAAAACTTGGGCCAGTGACAGGTGCAAAGCAATGCGGCGTTCGTGGCAACTCTCCTTGACACCAACCTCAGGAATCCTCCATGCTGAGCGTGATCGAGTAGTGGCTCCCGTCAACGCAGCCGATGCCGACAACGTCTTCGAGTGCGCGGCCGGACCTCGGGTGCTGCGCCTGCTCGATAATTTTCAAAAAATTAAAGTTTGTGCAAGCAAGGGGCAGTCAGCATCTCATTCGTCTCGTTGGCGGCTGCGAGCGAGCCCGATGTGGCGTTGACGGCGTAGAGGATCGAAAGCTTGTCGAGCTGCACTTGCGATGGGAGGTGTTCGACGATCGTCTTGAAGTCCGATGTGGCGAGGTGCAGGTGTCGGAGGGCGCTGCACGTCGCCATAACTTGTCTTATCGTCGCCAAGGAAGGTCGGAAGCGTGCGTAAGTCGCCACGGTAGATGCCGGCGCTAAGGCGTAGTCCCTCGGTGTGGGCACATAACGCGGCGTGCAACTTGCGACGTAGTACGATGGCATCATCGAGGCGGGATTGCTCCAGGTCATTGCGTACTTGGCGGCAAGGGTAGGCGAGGTCGAGATGCGGAGTGATCAACTTGGGGTCGACAGGCGCGTGTCGTGCGGTGGCATGGAACGAGGTGGTGGTGAGACCAGGGCAGTTTCAGCGTGGGATGAGGAGCTGTTGGCCTCGACAAACGAGGTCAACGACGTTTTCGGAACTCTCGTCGTCTCGGACGAGTTTCTCCCACCGCGCGCTCACGACTTCGAGTCCGAGTTCGGCAACATCCGAGATCTTAAGATCCAGGAGCTCCTCTTTCGATGCCCTGGTCGCGCCACCTCCGCTTTCCGCGTCACCGCAAGACACGCGACTGTCGACCCCTCATCGATCACTCCGATCACCTCGCTTACCCCTGCCGCCGAGTACTCTATGAGAGTCACATGGGTCGAGCAATCCCGCCTCGACGATGTCATCGCACTACGTCGCAAGATGCACGCCGTGCCGCGTCGCGTACCGACACCGAGAGACTAAGCCTGACGGCGTCGGGCGTCGTCACCTGCTCCGCTCAATCGGGGCTCGAGCTCGATGTAGCTACCCGAGTTGTCGCATCCGACCAGATGTCAATCGCCAATCTACAGCCGCTTGCATCGATGATCGGGAGACCATAGTCAGTCATACCCGTACGGTCGAAGCCAGGCGATAACAGCGGGGCACTCACCACATCCCTGATCGCCTCAGCCATGTATTTCATCGCACCCTCCGTCTGCACTTTTCTAGTGGGCTTGGGGATCTTGGCCTCGTGTGCTGGTACTGGCGGTCCTGTTGGTGCCGGTGCTGGCGGTGCTGGTGCCGCTGATGCGGGTGCGAACGCGTCTGGTGGTGGGACAGGCCCACAGGACCTAGTGGCCTCTTCCGGCCGCGAACTCTACAGGAGTCTCCAGGCGGGAGCATCGGACTCCCATAAGAAGTCGTTCAGTTCCTACAACGTCACCACGTCCCACTCTCGTGCCAGTTTGGTTTCGGCTTACACTGATTCGCCCGTCACCGTCTCGTCGGAGTTGTTTGACATCGCGTCCAACGCGTCCAGATCAGAAGCGATCCCCGTCGCGAACCGTCCCCCGTGCGGCCGATGGACGGCGTGTCAAAGAAGTACTTGTCCATCGCCTTCGAATGTGTAGGGTTTACCCATTTGCGCGAAGAGTTGTCGCTTCGTATACTCTGCTCTGCCGTGGCCGTCATCGACACTGCGGAACTCGACTTGCGCGGGCTCGATCGATTGAAAGCATCGTCAACGCCTGCAATGCCTAATAAGCCGAAGCCATCGCGTGCTTGTCTTGTTCGTCCGGGTTGAGTCTTGTCTGGCTTTTTCTTCCAGGTTGAGTCGCGCCTATTGACCATGACAAGACTCAACCAGGACGAACAAGACGTGCACGCGAGGCCCTACGGCCTACTAGGCATATCGCACCTCGACGATGCTTTGACACAATCGAGCCCGATCAAGTCGAGTCCCGTAGTGTCGATGACGGCCACGGGGGATGAGAGGGTACGAGATAGGCCCGCGCGCCGGCGCCCGCGTCGATGGGGTGCGAGCCGACGAGTTGGGCAGGTGGGTGGGAAGCGATTGGGTGGGTGGTGGGAATCCTAGAGCGCAGTGCTGGCGTGACGGTCCACTGCCGAGTGCTATCGATCAGGGTTGAGGGGCGTAACGAAACCGGTCAAGGCCGCACGTAAATCTGTGATGGAAGGAAAAGCGGAGAGGTTGGTCCAAAGCCGACCTAGTCTCGCCGAGGAAGAAGCGTCTGAAACCATGACCAGGAAAAGCCGTGTCCCGTTGAGAAGGGTCCGCAGGATATATGTTTGATGAAGAAGTGTCTGTAGAGGAAAGACGGCCGCACCGGCGATGGGGATCGCTTCTGATGTGGACGCGTTGGACGCGATGTCAAACAACTTCGACGAGACGGTGACGGGCGAGTCCGAGTGGGCCGAAACCGAACTGGCACGAGAGTGGGACGTGGTGACGTTGTAGGAACTGAATGACTTCTATGGGAGTCCGATGCTCCCCCCAGGAGACTCCTGTAGAGTTCGCGGCAGAAAGAGGCGGCAGGCCACTAGGTCCTGTGGGCCTGCCCCACCACCAGACGCGTTCGCACCCGCATCAGCGGCACTAATAGCACCGCCAGCGCGGGCAACACCAGCACCGCCCGCACCAATAGCTCCGCCAGCACCAACAGCGCCACCAGCACCACCAGCACCACCGCGGTAGGCGTTGGTCACGCCGCCTGCGAGATTGAATGGGTATGGAGATCGCCGCGAGTTGGACACCTGCTCGAGTCGGAACGAAAGATGTGGAGAAAGGGAGGTTTGTTGGCGCGGGAAGGCGCGTAAAGCAAGCCTTTCGAAGTTGCGAGCGAAAATAGTTGGTTCTAACAAGAGGGAGTAATCCACATCGCACTCGCCTTTCGACTCGCTCGGCGCGCCCGTTCTCGCCCGTTCGCTCCCGTTCGTCGCCTTTTGGCAAACGGCCAAGTCACCCGCAGAGCAGGCTAGAGCAGGGCACCACAGGGCACCCACAGGTCGCGCAGAGGTAGTGCAGACGTCACCCAAACGCTCCCACACGGTCTTGCTCCTTCCTCGTCGTCGGTCGTACCCGAGATAACATCCACTTCGTCATCATGGCTGGTCACCTCTCGTTCGGTCAATCCGGTCTCAAGGAACCCTACCACGAAATCATCGCCGGAGGTCAGTACATCCCCTCTCCTCTGTAGCTGCCCGCCGATGTCTTCCCCGCGCGCCGAGCCGTTTGTCCCAACCGACCACGTCATCGGTCAGCGCGGTCAGCGCGGTCAGCGCGGTCAGCCCCACCTCGGCTCGTCCGGCGCCGCAGCGGTACGACCAACGGACCGCCTCGCCGTCGACGCTCGAGCGACCTCCTCGTACGATTGCCCTCCAATCCCGCTCCACGGTGTAGCGCCACCCAACACCCTTCATTGATGGACGCCACGTGGACCGCACACGCTGCTCAGATCTAAAGAAGCACCGACCGCGACGACGCTCCAACGCTCAGCACCGCCTCGGCGTCTGATCAGTGCCCACGTGCCCACGTGCGGCACGATCGCCCGCCCGCAATCATACACTGCACTCTTGAATCTACTCAAGTCCGTCGTAGGTGCTGAACTCGTCTTGAACCCGCAGGTGATACCGACTATGCACTCTACACGCTCGCACACCCCACCCCGTCCGTCAACGAGCTCAAGCTGGTGACCTCGGGTCAGTCATCCTCACTCAGCCTTGTGCACGCATCATCACAGCACGAGTAGTTGATATCGAACGTGTCCATCGTCCCTCAGGCTCCGGAGGACTCGAGGAACTCGAGGATGAGTTCTTGGACAGCAAGGCCATGTGGGCCTTTGTTCGGGTCAAGGATGCAGGATCGGGCTTGCCCAAATTCGTCTTGATCAACTGGGTGAGTAGCAAATGTATCCGAACGAGTGTGACACTAGCTGACGATACAGCTCCTTTACTTTGCACATTTCTAGCTCGGCGAAGGATCGCCTGAATCGCGCAAGGCCTCCTTCCGCGCCCATTCGCTCGCCGTCGCTGGATTCCTCAAGGGAGCCCATATCAGTATCCATGCCCGTCACGATGCCGACGTTAGCCCGGCTCTCATTCGTCGCAAGGTCGCCGACTCGTCGGGTGCAAAGTACTCGATCCACAACGAGCCTGCGCAGCGATACGTCGCGCCCAAGCCGGTTGTGAGTGAAGCATCTGCGAGCGAATCGTCGATGCTATCAATCGATGGCTGATAGTACCCATGAATGTACAGTCATCGAGCTATGTCCCCATCGGCCGACCCGAGATCAGTCACTCCAAGCCGGCGCCCCCACCCACGCCCGTTGGTACGATCTATCAGAGCAAGGCGAACGAACTGGCCGAGATCCGAGCCAAACAGGCTGCTGCAGCGAGCGCTCCCAAGCCGTCCTTCCCTCGTGACGAGCCATCATCGGATGCGTTCGCACCGCGAGTTGTTGCTCCTGTAGTTCGAGCACCGGTCAGTCACGCTGCGCCCCCACATGATATCGTGTTGAGGATGAAGCTGACTCGTTGCTCTCTTGGCAAGCAGGCTTTTGCTACTGCCCCTGCCCCGCCTGCTCCTGCTCCACCTAAACCAACTCCGGCGCCTGTTGCCCAAGCTCCGGAGAGGGCACCGGGTGGAGTCACGTATGAACGCCCCGAAGCGGTCGGCACGGCCTACACCCCCGTCTCGCTCCCCAAGCCCGGCAAGCTCGCCAACAGGTGGGGCGCGAACGCAGCAAGCTCGTCTCCCTCACCCTCACCAGCCTCGTACGGCGCTTCACCGCTTAACCCTGGGGCTGGAGCTGCCCAGAAGCCTTTGACGTGGAGTGAGAGGCAAGCACTGGCGAAGAAACAGAGGGAGGAAGAGGACGAAGCTTCGGCCGCGGCGGGGCAGAGATCACTTGGCGCTGTGGGGGGCGCGACGCCTTCGTCTGGGTTCAGGCAAGGTGGCTTCGGTGCGGCGTCCGTACCTGCCGCCCCTGCTGCTCCTGCTGCTCCTTCGGCACCACCGGCACCACCTGCACCACCTCGCGCACCCCTCGCCCCCGCTGCACCTGCCCGACCTGTTCAACAAGCCGTCGATGACGATGATGATGACTTTGCGACGCCGAGCCTGAAGCGAGGTGATTCCGACGACGAGGATGACATCGTGCCAGTACGAGCCACGCCTGCTGCACCAACCGCTCCCCCTCCCCCTCCCATGGCCCCCGTCGCACCTCCACCTCCACCCGTCGCGCCTCAAGCGCCACCACCACCACCAATGGCACCTCAAGCTCCTCCACCTCCCCCAATGGCTCCTGCCGCAACGCCAGCTCCACCTGCTCCACCTGCGCCACCAGTTCCCGCTGCGCCTCCAGCTCCTCCAGCTCCTCAAATGAAAGAACTTTCGCTCCACCCTTCAGGTCCCCAAGCCCGCGTCTTGTTCGGCTACGACGCCGAAGAGGAGAACGAATTGAGCTTGGTCGAAGGAACGACGATTTATGGGGTCGAGATGGTCGATGAAGGGTGGTGGCAGGCGACGGATGAGGAAGGGAAGCAAGGCTTGTTCCCTTCTAATTATGTCGAGTTGATCGAGCAGGGTCGGGGTGGGGACGAAGTGGAGAGAGAGGTACAGCCTGAGCGCTTTGCGGAATCGGAGATTGAGCTGGAACGGGAGTTAGAGGTTCGGACGGGAGATGTTGGGACGGTTGCGATCGCGTTGTACGATTATGAAGAAGCGGAAGAAGGCGAGTTGTCGTTCAAGGAAGGTGAGACGATCGTACGCATCGATAAAGTTAGCGAGGAGTGGTGGCAGGGCGTGAATGAGCGTACGGGACAGGAAGGGGTCTTCCCCGCGCCTTATGTTGAGGTTCAATAGTGTGGGAGATTGGGACATGGGAATTGAGATTACGTATTGCCATGAAGGAAAGCTACACGAGTGAGGAGGGCTTAAAATTTGGACATTCTTGAACCACCATCGAGACGGATCGCTGCGAAGGGTCACGCAAAGGAAACATAGTATCAGCATTGCCCGAAGCGAATGTCTACCAGCCAGCCTCAGGGGGGACGTACTAGATCCATTGAGCATTTGATTCCCAATGATGGCGACGGCGAGGTGGGCGTACTCGTGCGACTCGCCAAAACGAGGCGGGAACAAGGTCGACGAGAGTAGACCTTTCTTGACTTTTTCGGGCGTGCCGGCCCCCATCGCGGTGGCGAAGAGTGAAGGAGCGATGCAGACGACTCGAATACCTGATAGAGCAGAATACTTGTCAGAGCGGGATATTTCACTTGTGACCGATTGGACGAAAAAAAATGGTAAGAATTTGTTTCGACGTTTCGACGTACCGTATCGAGCCAAATCTCGAGCCATCGGCAAGACCAGCCCTTCCACGCCCGCCTTGGAGCTCGCATAGGCGACTTGGCCCATCTGACCTTCCGTAGCAGAGACACTACTGGTCATAATGATGACTCCGCGATCCTCGGTCAGAGGGCTTTCGGATTTGGCCGGTGGTGGGGGCGGGTGCATCGACGCGATCTTGGCGGCGACCAAGCGGGCGACGATGAAGGAGCCCGTGAGGTTGATGGCAATGACGTCTTGGAAGATGTCGAGAGGGAAGGGAGAACCGTCGCCTTGGATCGTCTGTTGAGACATAATGGGGGCGATTTGCCTAGGAAAGTCAGCTTCTGCGTCCCCGGACTGAAATTTCCGGACTGCTACTCGCCGAGCCAAGATCGATCCGAAACGCACCTTGCCGGCCATCCCCACACCACCGCAATGCACGACCCCGCCAACCTTCTTCCCTTTCCAATGCTCGCACGTCTTCTCAATCGCGGATGAGACTTGGTTCTCCTCCCTGATGTCGACGAGAGCGAAGAAAGCACGGTCGGCGCCGAGCTCCTTCGCCAGAGCTGTGCCCGAGTCTTCGTTGTAGTCCATGATACCGACTAGAGCTCCTTTTGATGCGAGCTCTTTGGCTGTTGCCAATCCCAGGCCTGATCCACCACCAGTCTGTTGGCGAACGTGGAAGCGGCGAGTCCATGCGCGAGACCAATTGAAGCAGCGAGGATGATCATGTTGGCGACGTTAGCGTTTACGAGATGTGATGTATGTGCGAAGGGAAGTGAAACTCACCACAAAGAAGATGTTGCCCTTGATCTGCATCGTTGCGGTTTCGGCGTGTGAGGATGAATAGATGCAGTAGGAGGCGCGAGGCGAGTCGTTTCAATAGGTGCAAGGTCACGTGGCGCTGATTGCAGACGAACACCGGGGATGATGCACTTGAGGGATTGCACTGCAGTGGTGATGTGTTACGAGGCTTGTGTCGAAGATGCGTGCGTAAAAGGTGTGCTGGTTCGAGTTGAGGACCGAATGCTAAGTGCCAAGTCTTTCCCGACGCCGAATCCCGATTGGGGCTCGGTCTCGTTCTGTCCGGTCCGGGTGTCGCATCAACCGGAAGCGGCAGCGGCACCAAATTCTCATAAATGCTACAATCACGCTCGTAGCTAGTCATCAGTGGAAGATGTTTCTTTAAAAAGACAAGTGATGACTGCGGCTCGGGTCGAGCACCTTTATTCTACGCGACTTTCAATATTTCTCGTTCGCGCATTACATTCCGAGTCTCCGTTCGATCGACGGAGCGGCCCAATCGACCGGACGTCGACGGACGTCACGTGGGACCCGAGTCTGTCCCGCAAACTCCGCGCGGTGTGGATTTTGCTCGGTGATGGTTTACCTAAGCTGGACCGAAGATAGTTTCGGCGCCTTTACCGATCGAGTAGAGCGAAAGCATCGTTGCAGTTGGAAGGAGCGGCGAGCGGTCGAGGAGGTCTGTGCGGCGTACGCGCGAATACAAGAGTGCCTGAATAGAATTTGGTAGGCCTGATCCCGCGCGTGCCAAACTGGGTCTTTGCCTCACGTTTGGCTCTGCATCGGATCAGGTGTGTACTTGCGTATCCATGTCCCAGTGTGTCTAATGATTAACTCAAAACTTTGGCTCTGCATCGGATCAGTCAATTATTCGATTTGGTAGTGTCTGTCCCTGCCGCAAGGCAAACAAAGCCTCGCGCGATAAGACTGGACCGTTCAACCATTACGCCTCAGCCATGTCACACATCAATGTCGCCTGCACCAAGGCCATACTCGGAACCTTTTTCGGCAACATTCATGCTGGCAATTGGTCGATCGCCAAAGAGCCACTGGAGATGGCACTCGACAGCGACGGTCACCTCGTTCCACTCCAAACGGTCACCACCCTGCCCACGATGCTCGCTGTCAACGCCTTCACCAAAGCAGGCGTCCTCGACGCAGCCGGCTGGTACAACCACCAGCAGACTCATCGTGACGCCAAGGCCAAGCAGGACGCGATCGTCAACAGTGCAAAGGCTCATCTGATGATGTGTGTCGGCCAGGCGACTTACGTCAAGGTGAAGGACCTCCCCGCGCACCAACAATGGGCCAAGCTCGAATCGGTCTTCGCCACGACCTCGAGCATCGCCGTCGATCGCAGAGCGCGTCTCGTCGAACTAGTCTCCATGCCTCAGTTTGTCGTCGGCGACGACTTTGAAGCTTGGCTTGCCACCTTCCGAGCGACCGTCAATGCCATCAACAACGCGGTCAAGCAGGCCCAACCCTCGACGGCGGCGTGTACATGCGACCCTCTGCACCCGATGATCGTCCGGGACTGGCTGTGCAACCTGATCCCCGAAGCCTACGCTCTCACTATCAGCGCACTCGGCGACGACTTCGACATCGGAAAGTGGGAAAGCCGAGCTTCGAAGTCGTCGCCGACGACGAACTGAGGCATAGTTCGACGAGGCGTGCGCTGCGATCGACGGCGATGCTCGAAGTCGTGGTGAAGACCGACTTGAGTTTGGCCCACTCTTTATCCGCGGGGAAGTCCTTCACCTCGTCGTCTCGCCGCTCCTTCCAACTGTTGCAACCTCCTATCTCTCTCGCCGACCATTGCGTTCGTCGCACCTCGGCCCGGGGTTTTTCCGAAACGGGACGCCTCAGCACGGTGCATCGGTGAACAGCACACTAGCAAATCACCCCAACACACTCTGGAGGCAGGTGGCCAGATGGGCCCCCAGAATTGAGTCGAATCGAGGAAAAGTGGTCGTGTGGGTCCCTTGCGCAATGCATCACAAGGTGTGCGAGGAGAGCAGAGATGATCGCGCTGTGGCGCTCGGGAGGCGAGGTCGGCACAGGAAGACAAAGTTAGCATGGGTGCTCGCAGCTCAGTGATTTCATCCTGCAAGTATCCATTGTCGTCCAAACAGCGAGATTAGTGCCTTTTGTATCCACGACATTCGTCAAGGTGGCACCCGACGTGAGGTACGTTAGGTGACCAATCCCGCCCGTGTCTGGGTATTGGCCGAACGACGGATAATCACGTCGGCGACAAAGTACTTCGAAACCGAAAGTCGAGTCGAGCTTCTCTCGAGCCATCCCCTACTCTCTTCTTTCCCCGACCTCAACACCATCACCCTCATCTACCTTGCATCTCTCCCTGAAGAAAGCGATCGTTCTCCAAAAGTCGCCCTCGTCTTTACTCGGCTTTTTGCTCCTTTTCCACCCTTGGTTTTCATGGGTCAACATTGAGCGGCCAATGAACACGCGGAATCAACAGTAGGAGGGCATTTTGACTCACTGTTGATGCAATATGAGTCGATTATTCGTGGGAGAGACAATTTTGAGGCTGTTGAGAATTGGTTATTCGTAGACACATAGGCTCGGTCCATGTAACGAGAGATGCCGTCCGGAACGCGAATGCATCTCTACGGGCCGCACGCGTGTTGCAGTCACTGCATCTTCACTGTTGATGCCAAAAGTCGTAACCTGGGAGGTCCCTGCCTCATTCAAGTTTCTTTCATAGGGGTTTCATTTTTGGAAAGGTGCAAGATTTATCGTCATGTCGTACGTATCACGCAGGGCCCTCTGAGGTTATAACTTCGGCTAGAAACTCTGCGCAGTTGAGCCGAATGAAGGCACAGCTGTCGCAGTCATTTGTTCTTCCTAGAATTATACTGGAACAGACGGAAATAACCTGGGGTATCTATTGCAAAAATCAGACAATCACCAGGATTAACAACAAACAACGGTCTATAGCCCAAGGCAAAGGTAGTCACTTCAGAGCAAGGGAAGCAGCTGCTCAATGTCCGAGATGATAGCCTCGTGCGACATCGTCCCGGACGGACCCCACAACTCCCCCAGTTGGTCTTCTTCCATAGCCACCTCGACATCGAGGAATCGAATGTCGAGCCCACAATTGCTGCGCAAGATATCAACCAGTTGCTTGATGTTCGTCCATCGTTTTGCGCAGCCCTTCAACAGCTTGTGATAGCGGGTGTTTAGGCGAAGCATCTCTTTGAGGGCATAGACTAGGTCCGCTTCTTGCCGATTCCAGTAGCCCCAGAAAGTCTCACCATCTGGTGTCATCACAAGCACTTCATCGTCGCCCATGTACGGCTCGCGGAACGAGATTTCCATCACGACGTAGAAAAGCGATTCAATATCGTGCCATCGTTCGTGGACGACACGGAGCGGCTGTTGCGGCTGGGCGAGGATCGAGCAGGGGAGGTAGGGCCAGGTGCCCTGTAACACGTCGTATAGTCCAAAGCCTAGCGCTGATCAGAGATATCCTTCGGAGAAATATACACAGCGGAGCACGCACGGATCGTATTCTGCGGCGCCCCTCGGTGCAGGGCCGATCATGTGGGACGGCGAGGTGATAGTCGATGAGAGCGCCGACGCCGTCACGGTCGATGACGACGCTATCGTACGAGATGTCCCGGTGGATATAGCCTAGCTTGTAGATATTTCGGAGTCCTGGACGGGCATGGGAACGGATGTGTCGGCTAGGGAGCGCAAACGCCAGGCCATCGCACCCAGTTGATCCATGTGCTTACCTTTGACGACTCCAAGTACGGCCTGGGCGAGTTCCTTGGTCGTGGTCGCCGTATTGACGGGCCAGTAACACTGTTGGATGAAAACCACCTCGAGTGCCCGGGGCTCGATGCCGACAAAGCTTTCATCGTCGCCGAGGAAGGTCGGAAGCGTGCGGAACTCGCCACGGTAGATGCCGGCGCTAAGGCTCAGTCCCTCGGTGTCGGCACGCGACGCGGCGTGCATCTTGCGACGTAGTGCGATCCCATCGTCGAGGAGGGAGTGCTCCGCCCATGCGAACGTCATAGCGTACTCGACGGCAGGCGTAGGCGAGGTCGACGTGATCGGAGTGATCGACGTGGGGTCGACAGGCGCGTGTCGTGCAGTGGCATAAAACGCGGAGGTGGTGAGACCACGGCAGTTTCGGCGTCGGATGAGGAACTCCTGGATCTCGAGATCTCGAAGGCCGCCAAGGTCGGACTCGAGGTCGTTCGCGCGGGGTGGAAGAAGCGTGTCCGAGACGACAAAAGTTCCAGCATCGGCGACCTCGTTCAGCGAGGCCAGCATCCCGAGCCCGTCGTCGTCGTCGTCGTCGTCGTCGTCGAGTTCGATGAGGCGCGACAGCACGCGCCGGAGCAGCACGGCTTCCTCACCGCACTTGCGGGCGTTCGTCGTGAACGCCCCGGGCCACTCGCGTTGACGAGGTAGTGTGGTACTCGGGATCCCGTCGGACTCGTCAGGTCAAACTGTCAAGAGTTTAGGAGTTATTAACGCACCGCGGGGCGGCGACGAGTCCCTGAACCTCCAGTGCCCTCTATAAAGTCACACTCACACAACACCGCAAGACAAGGCTAGAGAGAGTCGAGACTCTAACGACAAATCCACCCATATTTCATTCAAGAGCCAGCCGCGCGTGCCGAAGACACTTCACGATCCTTGTCGGCGGCCTCTGCCAGCTTGCAGCTGCTCCGAAGTCATCGACGCCGTCGACGCCGTCGCCTGCGCGTGAGCCGGACTTCTTCGGCTGACGAGGCCCGCATCTACGAAGTCGAACCTCTACAGGAGTACGAGTTAGTATCTCAACTGCGTGTTCCTGGCTGGGAGCAGATTCCGGCTCTATGGCCTGCTTCCATTACTCAGGAGCCCTGAGGCGGGTCCGGCTTTACGGCCTGCTCTCATTCCCGAGCCTGGTGTGGCTTTACCGGCAGCGCTCCCTCTACTTCCTCGTTTTCAACGTGCGGACGATGGCGAGGTTGCTCCTATTCCTTTACCAGCTGTCGGCCCGTTGTGAAGACGAAGAGGAGCCTATCGATCATCGACGCGAGGAGGCTGTTGAGGCTATCGACAGTTACGAAGATGACGACCCTGCGGAGCGTGCTCCACCTCTATCTCCTGACGATGGTCACGAGTACCGGCCTTATCGTGTCGGTCGAAATCCGGGTCTGCTCGAAAACATTAACGAGGGCAACATTCTACCGGTTCGCATGCGTGCTCAGCGTCGCGTCGCCGCCCTCAGTATTGTGTCCACGCGCCAGGTCCTTCGTCGTGAACCAGAGCTCATCGCGACGGTCTCCACTCGTCACCCACTGCTTCCCACGACCTTCAAGGATGCGATGGCTTCGCCCGAGTCCGAGTCCGAGTCCTAGTCCTAGTACGCTGCGTCCGTCAAGGAACTCAACTCCATGGGCTTGCACAAGGTCTTCAAGCTTTCGAGGCTACCCACCGGGGCTCGTGCCCTGGGCTATCGTTGGGTGTTTACTCGGAAGGAAGACGCCAAAGGCAATATCATCAGCCACAAGGCTCGTCTAGTCGTCCAAGGCTTTGCTCAACGGCTGGGGTTCGGCTACAACGAGACGTTTGCTCCTGTCTCGTCGATCACGACGATCTTGTTCCTCATCGCCCTTTCTGCCGCTCACGGACTGATTCTCGAACAGTTCGACTATGATTCTGCGTTTCTCAACGGGATCTTGGAGGGGGATGTCTACGTGAAGGTTCCCGACGGATGGCCAGGAGGTTCTCGACCCGGCCAAGCCCTCAAGCTCCTCAAATCCATGTACGGCACCAAGCAAGCTCCTCGACAATGGAATGCGGCTCTCCACAAGCTGGTGACGGATCACGGCTATATGCGCTCCAACGTCGATGCTTGTCTCTACTTCAAGTATCACGGCAAGTCGTTTGCGATCATCCCTTTGTACGTTGATGACAAGCTTGCTGCATCGAACAACCAGGCTTTTCTGGATTCCGAGATTTTGGCGTTCGATGCGCTTTACTGGCGACCAGTTGGAGGAAGTTGGCCATCTGCTCGCCGAAAACCGACGTATCAAGGAGAGAAACCCTGTCTATGTCGACCCGCGACTCGAAGAGCTGGTGTAAGGCAGGTGTGCCTTACGCACCTAATGTGGCACCCGGTATTTGAATTACATCAATTCAAATTGCTTTACTTTTGGATCACGCGTTAGGGTGCCGCGCGCCTTTCAGCTGGGTCTCGATGATCTTGCCCGGTTCCCTGGCACGCTCGTAGAATGGAACACCACCATCACACGCCCCGGATGGCTTCCCGTCGTAAAGTTCAAACCTGCTACGAATGTGGAGGGTGTGTATCTCCTTTACGAAACGGGTGTGGCAAAGGATGGGGATCGGCAAAACGGCGAAGTCCGCGGGGGCAAGCGCCGTCTGGATGCTTGCCACAACAAGCTCACTTCGTTGCTGTAAGGTACCATATCGAGATGGAACCCCTTCCACGGCATCGTTGATGAACTTCAGGACCCTGTTTATGCGAGTCCATTCGACACCGGGTGCAGTTTGACCTGGCGCACCGCGCCAGCGAGTTCCGAAGCGGCGCTCCATTTCGCGCCAAGGCATCGACGGGTTTCGCCGATCCCCATCCTTTGCCACACCCGTTTCGTAAAGGAGATACACACCCTCCACATTCGTAGCAGGTTTGAACTTTACGACGGGAAGCCATCCGGGGCGTGTGATGGTGGTGTTCCATTCTACGAGCGTGCCAGGGAACCGGGCAAGATCATCGAGACCCAGCTGAAAGGCGCGCGGCACCCTAACGCGTGATCCAAAAGTAAAGCAATTTGAATTGATGTAATTCAAATACCGGGTGCCACATTAGGTGCGTAAGGCACACCTGCCTTACACCAGCTCTTCGAGTCGCGGGTCGACATAGACAGGGTTTCTCTCCTTGATACGTCGGTTTTCGGCGAGCAGATGGCCAACTTCCTCCAACTGGTCGCCAGTAAAGCGCATCGAACGCCAAAATCTCGGAATCCAGAAAAGCCTGGTTGTTCGATGCAGCAAGCTTGTCATCAACGTACAAAGGGATGATCGCAAACGACTTGCCGTGATACTTGAAGTAGAGACAAGCATCGACGTTGGAGCGCATATAGCCGTGATCCGTCACCAGCTTGTGGAGAGCCGCATTCCATTGTCGAGGAGCTTGCTTGGTGCCGTACATGGATTTGAGGAGCTTGAGGGCTTGGCCGGGTCGAGAACCTCCTGGCCATCCGTCGGGAACCTTCACGTAGACATCCCCCTCCAAGATCCCGTTGAGAAACGCAGAATCATAGTCGAACTGTTCGAGAATCAGTCCGTGAGCGGCAGAAAGGGCGATGAGGAACAAGATCGTCGTGATCGACGAGACAGGAGCAAACGTCTCGTTGTAGCCGAACCCCAGCCGTTGAGCAAAGCCTTGGACGACTAGACGAGCCTTGTGGCTGATGATATTGCCTTTGGCGTCTTCCTTCCGAGTAAACACCCAACGATAGCCCAGGGCACGAGCCCCGGTGGGTAGCCTCGAAAGCTTGAAGACCTTGTGCAAGCCCATGGAGTTGAGTTCCTTGACGGACGCAGCGTACTAGGACTAGGACTCGGACTCGGACTCGGGCGAAGCCATCGCATCCTTGAAGGTCGTGGGAAGCAGTGGGTGACGAGTGGAGACCGTCGCGATGAGCTCTGGTTCACGACGAAGGACCTGGCGCGTGGACACAATACTGAGGGCGGCGACGCGACGCTGAGCACGCATGCGAACCGGTAGAATGTTGCCCTCGTTAATGTTTTCGAGCAGACCCGGATTTCGACCGACACGATAAGGCCGGTACTCGTGACCATCGTCAGGAGATAGAGGTGGAGCACGCTCCGCAGGGTCGTCATCTTCGTAACTGTCGATAGCCTCAACAGCCTCCTCGCGTCGATGATCGATAGGCTCCTCTTCGTCTTCACAACGGGCCGACAGCTGGTAAAGGAATAGGAGCAACCTCGCCATCGTCCGCACGTTGAAAACGAGGAAGTAGAGGGAGCGCTGCCGGTAAAGCCACACCAGGCTCGGGAATGAGAGCAGGCCGTAAAGCCGGACCCGCCTCAGGGCTCCTGAGTAATGGAAGCAGGCCATAGAGCCGGAATCTGCTCCCAGCCAGGAACACGCAGTTGAGATACTAACTCGTACTCCTGTAGAGGTTCGACTTCGTAGATGCGGGCCTCGTCAGCCGAAGAAGTCCGGCTCACGCGCAGGCGACGGCGTCGACGGCGTCGATGACTTCGGAGCAGCTGCAAGCTGGCAGAGGCCGCCGACAAGGATCGTGAAGTGTCTTCGGCACGCGCGGCTGGCTCTTGAATGAAATATGGGTGGATTTGTCGTTAGAGTCTCGACTCTCTCTAGCCTTGTCTTGCGGTGTTGTGTGAGTGTGACTTTATAGAGGGCACTGGAGGTTCAGGGACTCGTCGCCGCCCCGCGGTGCGTTAATAACTCCTAAACTCTTGACAGTTTGACCTGACGAGTCCGACGGGATCCCGAGTACCACACTACCTCGTCAACGCGAGTGGCCCGGGGCGTTCACGACGAACGCCCGCAAGTGCGGTGAGGAAGCCGTGCTGCTCCGGCGCGTGCTGTCGCGCCTCATCGAACTCGACGACGACGACGACGACGACGACGACGACGACGGGCTCGGGATGCTGGCCTCGCTGAACGAGGTCGCCGATGCTGGAACTTTTGTCGTCTCGGACACGCTTCTTCCACCCCGCGCGAACGACCTCGAGTCCGACCTTGGCGGCCTTCGAGATCTCGAGATCCAGGAGTTCCTCATCCGACGCCGAAACTGCCGTGGTCTCACCACCTCCGCGTTTTATGCCACTGCACGACACGCGCCTGTCGACCCCACGTCGATCACTCCGATCACGTCGACCTCGCCTACGCCTGCCGTCGAGTACGCTATGACGTTCGCATGGGCGGAGCACTCCCTCCTCGACGATGGGATCGCACTACGTCGCAAGATGCACGCCGCGTCGCGTGCCGACACCGAGGGACTGAGCCTTAGCGCCGGCATCTACCGTGGCGAGTTCCGCACGCTTCCGACCTTCCTCGGCGACGATGAAAGCTTTGTCGGCATCGAGCCCCGGGCACTCGAGGTGGTTTTCATCCAACAGTGTTACTGGCCCGTCAATACGGCGACCACGACCAAGGAACTCGCCCAGGCCGTACTTGGAGTCGTCAAAGGTAAGCACATGGATCAACTGGGTGCGATGGCCTGGCGTTTGCGCTCCCTAGCCGACACATCCGTTCCCATGCCCGTCCAGGACTCCGAAATATCTACAAGCTAGGCTATATCCACCGGGACATCTCGTACGATAGCGTCGTCATCGACCGTGACGGCGTCGGCGCTCTCATCGACTATCACCTCGCCGTCCCACATGATCGGCCCTGCACCGAGGGGCGCCGCAGAATACGATCCGTGCGTGCTCCGCTGTGTATGTTTCTCCGAAGGATATCTCTGATCAGCGCTAGGCTTTGGACTATACGACGTTTTACAGGGCACCTGGCCCTACCTCCCGTGCTCGATCCTCGCCCAGCCACAACAGCCGCTCCGTGTCGTCCACGAACGATGGCACGATATTGAGTCGCTTTTCTACGTCGTGATGGAAATCTCGTTCCGCGAGCCGTACATGGGCGACGATGAAGTGCTTGTGATGACACCAGATGGTGAGGTTATCTGGTTTGACTGGAACGACTCATCTGCGCGCATAGTCTATGTCCTCAAATTCATGCTTCGCCTAAACACCTGGTATCACAAGCTGTTGAAGGGCTGTGCACAGCGATGGACGAACATCAAGCAACTGGTCGATATCTTGCGCAGCAATTGTGGGCTCGACAATCGATTCGTCGATGTCGAGGTGGCTATGGAGGAAGCCCAACTGGGGGAGTTGTGGGGTCCATCCGGGACGATGTCGTACGAGGCTATCATCTCGGAGATGGAGCGACTACTTCCCTTGCTCTAAAGTCACCACCGTTTGCGTTGGGCTTGTTCTTCATGCTTTGTGCTTTGTTCTATTAATTGCAATCGATACCCAGTGTGCTTCTCTTTCAGTTCAGTGTGATTGCGGGAGTAGCATGAGACTGCATCTGCGGTGTTGCTGCGCTCGAATGCCCAGACGATAGTGGAGCTTCCATGCCCCTGTGCGACGACTCGTTCAAGACAGGTGCGCGACTCGACTGGTCTTCCAATGGATGGAAATGAATACCATACAAGGACAAACGCGCTTCATTCGGCAGGCCCAATGGCCACTCATTTGGAGGAAGCCTTTGTAGTGTACCGGGGTTCCTTACGCGTTAAAGATAAATCGATGCCAGAACCGGGTCGCTGAGCTTCTCACGACACCACAATAGATCAGCTCGGATAGGGGTAGCGCATGAAATAAAATCAGAATACGATCTAGTGTCTCAAATACAAAACTTCCACCTTGAAGGCACGACGCGAGGCAAAGATCTCCTGTCTCCCCTATCAGCTCGTGCGACCGTGATTCTCGTGCTACGCAACTCGGCCGAGGCCGAGCCGTCGGGCGAAGCGGCAGCGGCCACCTACCGGACGGTCGATAACGAACCTCTTTCAATCATGTCTTTAACCCCCTCTCGTCCGCTTTCCTCCTCTTTGCGCCTCTTTCTCTTTCCACCTCGTTCAACGACACACACCACCATCTATCACATCATCTGTCCCACCCAAGTGCGACCAATGATGACGCCCACCTTCGTTATCCCGGAGCTCTTCTGCGTAAAGGGGCTCGTCGCGCTCATCACCGGTGGCGGAACCGGGATCGGGTTGATGTGCGCCCGAGCGTTGGCGGAGAATGGAGCGAAGGTCTACATCGTTGGAAGACGTAACGAAGTACTCGAAGCTGCTGTCGAAGAATTTCGCAAGTTGGGAACGACGAGGGAATGTGGGGGTGGGGCGATGGTTCCGATCGTGGGTGATACGAGTGAGAAGGAGACTATTGTGCGGATCATGAAAGAGATGGAAGGGAAGGAGAAGTGGTTGGATCTGCTGATCAACAATGCTGGGGTGTCAGGTCCTCGATGTACGGTCATTGATCAGGATGGTGGTGAGTGGAATCGATCGCTGCTGCGCACTTGGCCGAGCAGCGAGCAGGCGTCACGGGATTGAGCTGACATAGCAAACCCATTCAATGACAGCGGAAGCAATTCGAAACGCCATGTTGGCTTGAGATATGGAAGAGGCGATCAAGTTGTTCAAGATCAACACCTTGGGGTCAGTCACTTTGCAGTGGATGAGCAATTGATCCTTCCACAAAAGTGGAAAATTTTTCTTTTGAGACGCTCACTATCTTCTACTTGTTCGGAAAAGGTACTACTATATGTCCGCTGCATTTCTTCCCATGCTGAATCGTAGTCCGAATGGCAGTCAAATCATCAACATCACGAGTGAGTGCGTAGAGCATCACTGGCTCCTCGCCGGTTAGCAGATGGAGCCGATCACACTCTTACTCTCCAGTTCAACTCGAATGCCATCAGTCAGGTAATCTCAATTTCGGTCGAGAACCTGTCGCAGGAGTGCTCTGTAGGTCAACCTTCGCTTGATCCCCTGAGACATCATCTATTCATTCATTAATCTCTTCCTTATCTTTTCGTTGGTTCAGACGCAATGAGTAAAGCAGCGACCACGCACCTCACCAAGTTGCTTGCGACGATTCTCGAAGACACGAACGTGCGCTGCAACGAAGTCGCTCCCGGTCTATTCCCTTCCGGTAAGAAGAAGACTATGGGATTGCTAGATGGAGATTTCAACATTTCATGTTCATTCGTTCTCGCATTCCTCGTTTTGTAGAAATGACCGCACCCCTCTTAGACCAGCGACGCCTGAGCAACGCACTGCAAAACTCGGAACACGACGGTTCAGAACGTCCAAGCAAATGGTTGAAACCAAACGCTGCCCGAACGATGCCATTCGGGACCCCCGATGATATTGCTAGCACTGTTTTTTGTGAGTCGCTTTCTTGGGTCGTTTCTTTGGCTCAAAGGGAGAACGGAAAGTGGACAAGGTCTGAGTTGAAAGCTGATCGATCCCCTACGGATGAAACGGCACAGACCTCGCTAGTAAACGACAGCGCTACCTCTCAGGTTCCGTCGTGATGCTCGATGGGGGGATGTTGAACAGGATGCCAAGTTCATACTGAGAACTTCTAGAACCACAGAGACCTTTTTCGATTCGAAAGAATTCCGTCGACCCGGATTGGTCTGTTAGCCGTCGCGAAATCGCCCAAAGCTGAATGACGGGGAAGTAATACATTAGACAATACATACACAAAATGAACCCAACGTACATCCGAGCGACTATTCTATGAAATGCTCCTTCGTGTGGGTCCTCCATTTCTGTTTGGACCTCCCTCCTTCGCCCCACTTCTCAATCAAGAAGGCCGTCATCCATTGTAAGAGTTCCGGGTAGGCTTTTCTCATCTGTGCCAAAGGAAGCGGAGATTCGGGTCAGATTTTGAGGGGGGCGTTTGTACGAGATGAAGGAAACGCACCCCTATCGAGTGATCCGAATCGGTGAACATGCGGAATCGGAAGGTGCTGAGTGAGGTCCAGGAAGAAGATGGTGTCAGCGCGATGCTCGTCTATACGTCCGAGAGCCTCAATGACGACCTACCGAACTGAAGCAAACGTCAACTTGTCGAGTAAAGCTGCCGAGTTGAGGAAGTGGACTGCGTAGCATCAAAAGTTCAGAACAGGGGGCCTCTTCCGAAAAAAAAGGGTACGCTGGTCGTGGTCTTACCATTGTCATCTCCCGAGCCATGCGCCAACAGATAATCAAGGTTTCTGAACCCCTGCATTTGCACCACGGCCGCTTTGTCGTACCCGGGCCCATTCAATTTCGGCGTCGACATGTATCGCTCCGTATAGACCGAATCATAATACCTCCAATCCGTAACCGGCGCAACGGACATCGCCAACGTGAACAGTGAAGAATTGGTTTCGGCAACCTTGGCCGTCAGATAACCGCCGTAAGACCATCCCCAAATACCAAGACGTTTCGAATCGATGTAAGAGCGCGAAGAGACGAGTTGGCGAGTCGCTTCGACGACGTCCGAGGCTTCGAGAGAACCGAGTTGGTTGCGAATCCCGACGCGGAAATGCCGTCCTTTGAAGCCTGTTCCGCGCGGGTCGATACGTACGACGATGTAGCCCATCGAAGTGACGAGGAAGTGATGCCAATCCCTCTCGAACGCCGTTGATACCTTTTGCGAGTTGGGTCCACCGTAGACTTCGACGAGGAGGGGGTATTTCATTCGGCCTGAGGCATCGATCAATGGAGGTCGGAGCTCCTGGATATTCACACTATAGCCGCCTTCAAGCTCGAGGGTCGAGTAGCTGATGTCGACGTGCTGAAATGCCGCATCTATTTTAGCCAGGGCAGCGTTGTCGGTCAAAATTTTGGTGAAGCCTGAGTGAGAGTTGGGGGCTGTCGTCGATCAGCTCGCGGGATCAGCTCCAGAATTGAGAGGGCCAAACTCACTCTGATCATCGACCTTGTACAACTTTTGCCAAGGCATATCGGGTCCCCGGTAGTTGACGACGTAGAATCCGGCGAAGGGAGAAAAGCTGACCGTGTGGTGTCCCATCTTGGTTACGTCCGTCAACGGCGTCGGTGCCACAAGCTCAGCACCCGCTTGACTGAGGGCGTTCAGTTCGGCAGTCGTCTTTGGCAAAGGGATCGAATAGAGATGGCGCTCGATCGAGGGGTTTGCAGCGATGAAGTAAACGAGCCCCCTCGAGAGATCGATCGCCGATAACGACTCGACGACTTCCCACTTTCCTCGGGTGAGGAAGATAGGTGTCGCGGTGTCGGGCGGGGAGAAGTAGGCGACGTGACGGAACCCCTCCGAGTCGGCGACAACGTCGAGATAGCCCGACGGGAAAGACGGTCTAGGCCGAATGGCATCAGCGGACGCGTCATTCTGGTGAGAATGAAGGAGAATCGTCGAGTCGATCCCCACGATCGTCTGGGTAGGTTCGATCCATCCTCCGTCAATCTTGCCGAAATCCTCCTCGCGCACCACCTTTCCCACGATTCTTCGATCGGTAACCGCTTCGTCGAGACGGAAGTGCGCAGTACGCTGGATCTGCGCCGTCCGGTCTGTGACCTTGATCATGAGATCATCCTTGCCAACCCAAGTTACTTCGCTGACGAGCATATCGTTGGGATCGAAAGGCTTGGAGAGGACGAGTTCGTACGTCACTTCGAGTACCCTCGGATCGACAACCGGTGGATTCGCCTCTGGTTCGACCGGTGTGGGGCGTTGAGGGACCGCTAAGTAGCTAGCGAGATCGAAGACGTGGATCGTCACGAGGGGATTGGCATACCCCGGTTTGGGGTACCGCATCACCGTTTCGGTCGGGTAAGGTATTCCGCCACCGGGACCCCATGCCGCCGGATTGTAGATCGGAAACGAATACTCTGGGACCCGTTCCTCGTCGAACGAGAGAAACGCGAGCTTGCTCCCATCGGGTGACCACCAAGACGCCGAATCGGAGCCAAAGATCTCTTCCTCGTACACCCAATCGGGCACACCGTTGAAGGTTGTAGGACTACCCGAGACGGTGACTCGAATAGGCGGTCGAACGTCGCCAACGCTTGGCGGAGATTCGAGGACGTAAAGGTCATTGGCGTGCACGTATGCGATGTGGTGATCTTTCGGCGAGAACGAGGCGATCGCCGTGTGGGGCGCCGCCGATGGTGGTCGAAGCGCGACAGTCTCGCCCGATTGAACTGTATGGACGTAAAAGTTGGCGTGGGAAGAGTGACGCCATTGACTGACTTGGTTCGCCGCAAAGAGGATGTATTTGAGGTCGGCAGAAACGGCGAACTCTGACCAGTAGAGCGGCTGTCCCGAGCCCTGTTTGCTCGTCGAACTCAGTATCAGCACCCTACTGACGAATCTGCAGTGGTTCGGGGACTACTCACGTCTTTGATCGCGTCACTCTTGACCAGCACCCTCGATGTGCCCGAATTGATGTCTTCCAGAATGAGTGATCCGTCATTCGATCGATGACTGTAAACTCCATCCCCAGCTGCAAGATCGAATACGCAAGGTCAGATCGCACCGAGATGAATCGCCGAGTCCTCGGTAGCGTTCACTCACCTTCTGCCAGCCAATCCAACTTTTCGGTATGAATGGAAAAGGTTCCGTTCATCAGGTGTTCGAATGAAATGGGTTTGAGTCCGCCACCGTGGAAGGTATGTCGGCCTCGAAAGAGATGCGAGAGCGCGAAGGCCGTCAAGAGGCAGGCCAGGAGGATCGAGAGGAACAAGAAGCAGAACGTTCGACGTCGCTGCAAGCGTCACGGTCGTGTTGGTCAGTCACATCGATAGCCATGAAGATGAGATCGAGGCCTCACCGCTTGCTTGGCCTTGGTAGGTCTGTACGACGTATCGGCCTCGGCCAAGCTCCCTTCGATCATTATCCCGACCTTCTCGGCCTCCTCTTCGTCGAGGCTGCTCAGATCGTCGTCGTCGGCGTCATCATCGTCATTGTAGGCCCCGCCCTCTACATTCCGCGAAGAGGCTGATGTCGTAGGGGGTGCGAACGGTGTGGGCATGATCGGCCTCAGTGACCGTGGCCACGTGACGTCTGACATGCTTGATCGCTCGGCTACCGTCACAAGATGAAGGGAACGACGATGTGGGGATAGTCCGGTCCAAGATCAAGTTTTCCAGATGGCGAACCGACCAATCCGAGTCGCGTTGCGAGTGTTGTATAGGTTGCAGTTACGTCGTACCGAACTCGTACGACGTCGCACCGGCCACGGACGAGGTGGGGGGAGCGAGGAGCGAGTGGAGCGACAGCCGGACGCAGTACCAGAAACGCAGATGCAGTTGCTACAACGCCTGGGCAAGTTGCCGAACAGAGCCCGCTGACTATCCGGGTCAAGCCAGGCCGAGTGCAGAATGAAGGAGTGTTGCGCCCAGAGAGCAAGGTCGACGTCGGCTCGTGAGCCGGGAAGCGCACGAGGACGACTCGCCGCGCGGTCGGTCACACGGACGCACGGACGCACGCTCCACTCGCACCAAATTTAGCTCGGTCCGATCCCCGGTCGAAACAGCTCTTGTCGAGCAGGAACACCACAATGACCTCCTTTTTTCTTTCTCTATTTCTTCGTCATATTCAATACAGCAACGTGCGGAAACAGACATGCACTCTGAAACAAAGACACTCTTACCGAGCTAAGCTTCACACAAAGACGACACACCATTCAAATCACTCGAACCCTCTTCTTCCCTTCGCCTCCCATGTCGACACCCAAACGATGCCCACTCTCGGATTCGGTCCTCTTCGATGAAGGAGCCGCCGAATGGCCCGTCGTGGATACCGTCCCTTCACTCGAATTCGAAGTCGACGTCGTGCGATCATTCGACAACTTGGGTGCAGCGGACCAATTGAGGCCTCGAGGTGCATCGTCGTCACGAGCCTCGCCTTCGTTCGGGGAATGCGACGAACCGGCTTTTCGGTCACGGCTTCGGTCGTCGTCTTCATTGCGATCGTAAGACCCGTCCAGCGGGTTCGACGGGTTGAAGTCGGTCGAGGCGAAGAAAGTTGAAGGTGAAGGCAACATCTGGTGCGACGACGACGAACCCCCCAGACTGGACAGTAACTGCGACCCCTGGATCGGAGCAATCTTGTCGGGCTCCGAAGTGAAAGGTTGTCCTTCGTGGATGAGCAAACCCCGGCCTCGAGGATTGTTGTCGAGTCCGGGCGTCGAAGTCGTCGATCCTGGGGGTCGGGGTATGTTGAGGTTCAGGTGGGGTTTGGGTAACGAATTGCTTCGACTGGGCGGACCTCGACCTTGCGAGACACCATCAAAGCTTTGACCGCGCGTGAGCTCCGCTGTCCTCGTTGATACGGGGCCGGGTGAAGCACGTCGAAGCGACGTTACCGAAGCTGAGCGATGGATCGGAACGGGAGAGACTTCCGACGGAGCTTGCCGAGCCGATCCGGGATAGAGCGGCGAAGGAGCCGACGACGTCGATCCGGACGACGAAGGACCGCCAGGAGGACCATTCGGGTTGCCCAACGAGGAGAGTGCCAAGCTCGGCAAAGCCGACGAGGATCCACCTCCATTTGCCGGGCTAGCGCCAAAAAAAGGGGGCATCGGACCTCCCGCGCCGGGATTGTTCATCATCCCCATCCCATATGCGGCTTGCAGTGCTGCAAAGTCGCCCGAGAAGCCGTTGGGTGGTCCACCGGGACCTCCATTGCTGCTGTTGCCATTGGCATGTCCGAGAGGGCCGGACGGTCCACCTCCCGGCATACCTCCATTCAGAGAAGCGCCGTACGTTTGAACAAGGTTTTGCATAGCCCAAAAGGGGTTCTGGCCCATAGGATTGCCCCCCTGTCCTGGACCGCCTCCCGGATGCGACGGCATCTGAGGGTTCCATCCACCGCTCGAATTGGGAGGTCCATCAGGGTACGACTGGCCGGCGAAGGAAGGAGGTGGTGCTTGCGGGAAACCGGGGAACGAGGTGTAGGGGTTGTTGAAGACGGGCTGAGGGAAGCCGAGATGAAAGGGCCAGTTTCCAGACGCCGCAAGCGATTGAGGCGAGGGAGGGCCTTGTCCCGATTGGAAGCGTTGTTGTTGCTGACTTGCATGTCCTCGATCATTGTAAAATGAAGCCTGTTCCTGATGAGACGGGCAAGTTCAAACCCGTAAGTGCCTAGTAACAGCAATATGGTCGAGTGCCGCGTTTTGGAGACTTGAACGTACCTCTTCCAAGCTGTCACTCCTCGGATCACTTCTCTGATCGTCGTCTCTCTCCACCTTGGGCCTCTTCCCATCTCCGCTCCCACCTCTCCCTTTCCCTTTACTTTTACTCCCCCCCGGTCCATTCTGCTTCATTTGCGCTCCTCGAGCGTCCTCATCCTCATCCTCATCAACGAGCGAGCCTTCTTCTTCTTCGTCGTCAACTTCGTCCTCCTCGGCTCCTCGTTCACCAGCGTTGCGATGAACATTCTTATCTCCCAATGCGGAGGTGACAAGTCCTCCCGGGTATGTGGCGCCATAATACTCGGGGCCGCGTTTCTCGTGAGAGGGGCCGGAGTACTACCGGTCGTAAGAAAACAATGGTGCAGGAAGAACGGCGTGAGTAAGAGGGTCCGTTTGCGGATGACCAGTAATTCGAGTGTTACTCACGTGTGCATAACGAAGTAGTGTCTGATCCATATCCCCACTATGAAATCTGTTTCAAGACGAAAACAAAGTAGCGAACATCAGCACCTCGGCTGATTCGTAGCTCCGGACCGCTGGGGACTCGTTGAAACCTACTCGAAAAGCTTGTTCGCCCCATTGAAGACGATGACCGCGACGTCGGCCTTGCACAAGACTCCGAGCTCGTACGCCTTCTTGAAGAGACCGTTCTTGCGTTTGAGGAACGTGACGGACCGGTTGCGGTCGTCCTGGATGGGCGCGATCGAGATCTTGCGACGACCCATGGTGTCAGGAGTGCACGGTGAGAAGAGCGAGATCTGCAGATGGGTGGGAAAGGGTAGAAGAGCACGGGGCGGAAGCGAGGGAGAGTTCAAATCTCAGCAGTCGTCGATCACTCCTCGATTAGATCCGGTGATGTCCGCTGAGATGAAAACGATGTGCCCTCGCGGTCGAAAAAGCACCCAAAACCACTCGAGTGTTCGCCGCACGACGAGAGAGGAAAACGCTAATCGACCCATCCCCTCTCTTACATCTCGTCATCTAGAGGGGAAGCCAATATCGCCCCAGAAACGTGAAGCACCTGCCTGCGCCGAGTCCCTCGATGGCGCCGGAATCGCCTCCTTTCCTGCGCATACATCCACCCCGTACACCCCGGGTCGACTCTGGGCGGACCGTGCCTCGCGTTGACGAGGCGGAGATGCAGTCGATCTCCTGATGATCGATCCATCAGGAGTGAATGCACCCTTCCCCTGGGTCGCAGTAGCGGAGAAAAGTGATCTTGCCGGAGGTGGTGCCGAGGCTCGGTATTACGGAGGTGACACCAAGGACGCCCGTGACCCTCTCGATCGCGAACCCCTCGACCGCGACCCCGGACGAGACAGTCCCGGGGACGAATGCGAAGCGAGCCAGCATCGACGCTGATGGATGGAAATGATCAAAGGGAAGGAGGAGGGAGAACTGACCTGATCGAAAGTACGAATCAACAGTCCGAGGCGAGGCCGGTCGGGGATCACGCGGTGGTGGGATCTGAGCAGTCAGCGAGATCCGAGTCGCGCACCGCCTGTGGCTTGCGGGCGGCGCGCTTGGAGATGCAACGTGAGACGGCGCAAGAGTCCAGATGCAGACTTGTAGATCTCCTCAGAGAGGTATCAAAGTCGACGATGACGAGATTCGATGAACAAGGTTCCAACGCAACGGGTCGTTCAATGATATACGAGCTTGAAGGGATGTAAGGGAGCTCCGTCGAGGTGCCAGCGAGCGAGCGGACTTGCCAGCGCTTTGGCGGCGAGGAGGGTACGAGTGCGTGAGTGCGTGAGTGCGTGCGCCGGCGTTTTGAAGAGGGCGATCCGGGTTAGGCCGGCGATGGCGGGGGCTGACCAAGTTGATGCACGACAACAATGATCACGGACGACACCAGCAGAGTTTCCGGTCTCGAAAGCAAGGCTGCAGACCGATGACGATAGCGATGAGCACGTCCGAGGCAGTCAAGATGAGGTGCGAGGGGGGAGGGGGGCAGCAGCCTGGCAGGGAAGCGAACGGACGTGGGTTATAATCGGAAACCCGGCTCGGCAGCTCGAGGAGGCGCTATGAATAAACGGCGACGCCTTCAGGGCAAGCAACGGGCTCAACCTTTGACAATGAAGAGCTGCCACCAAAACTGGCGGCATCTATTACGATGGGCGATCCCACAAGCGAATCTGATTTCTTCCAGACCCAGCTCACTCCCTCTCCAAAGCCACAGCTTCTGCAGAAGACCTCTTGCTGTAGGCGATGCTGGCCGCGAAAAATTGAAAGAGCTGTTCATCGGCCTCCCGAGCCAAAGGGAACGTTCTAACGTCGGACTCGATTTTCACCGCCCGACCAACCAAAAGTCGACAACCAACGCCAGCTTGGGCTGAGCAGACCAACGGGCCCCGATCGCGCCGACGACTGGGAGCCCCCCCACTTTTGTGCCTTCGTGTTTCATCAACCTCTTCCGCCCTTGTAATTTTGTGTCTTGAGGGGCAAGGATGAGGGTTTTTTGCTTCGCTCACACCGGGGCAATGGTTTGCAGATGATGCGGATGCTGGTGATGAAAAAGGGCCGCGGCGATTGTGGTGATTTGTGAATCGACAAGTGGTGTACTAGTGTTTGCTCGCGTAGGCTGAGCCTGGTGGTCCGCGGATGCGGTCAGCGCGAGTGGGGGGCGGCACCAGCACGGGTCCAAGTCCCGCGCGCCTCGAGGTACAAACGCCCCAAAAATAGAAGGTAGCCAGCACCGCTTTTTGTGGACCACGGGTCACAACTTGAGTCTAATCTGGGATCCTTGCCCCCCCCCCCACCGGCTGCCTGTAATAAGGAAATGCCTGGCAGCCATACAAGTAAAGTCTGAGTAGCTAGAACCATCGAGTTCTAGTTACGACTTGCTTATAGCCTAACTGTCAAGATCGACAGCATATCAAAGGCGCATGCCTTTTACAGTGGCAGTCGCTGCGTGGCTATATCAGGACCTCTCACTTTTGAGAAAAAGAGCAACGTTCTCTGCTGAGGAGGACGTCGGCGTTTGAGAACGTGCAATCTGCAGTCGAAGATGATAGGGGGTCCTCGGTGGCGTGCACGGTGCCGGATTTGGTCGCCGATGTCATGTTAAGCAGCAGCGCGGCGCGTGCTGTCGGCCGTCGAGCGGCCGTCGAGCGGCCCGCGGGTGTAACTCGAAAGCACATGCAAGTTTTCCAAGGGTGCCGAAAATTAGTCGATATTATAAGAAAACATTGCATTTCATCTTCCTATGGCTCCGCGTGAATACAAGCGCCGCGCTCCTGGTCCAAACCTGAGAAAGGGGTCCGAGTCTGAATCGAAAGCCAGTTCGATCCGCTTACTTCTTCGCAGCTTGTTGCTCCTTCGCCGCCTTGACTTCTTGACCGATCTGCTCGGCCTTCTCTTTTCCGTGACCTGCAAGTAAGGCCTCTCCTGTAATCTTCTCGTGTTCCTGCAGAAGAAAGTCGAGGTTGAGCGATGGGCGAAATCATTTTGACGCGCAGTTTCTGCTTACTCGTCCGAAAGCTTGGCCAGCAAACTGGTGAGATCGAATGCCGATTCAACATTATATTTCGTCGCGCGGTTTGTACAGCGTCGCTTACCTTCTTAGCATTCCCCATGACTTGATCCTTGAAACTCGGCTGCGTGGCTAATCAAGTTTTGACGACGGCAATTAAGGAGTTCGATCCGAGACCATCGTCCAAAGCGCCGAGAGTTCGATCAGCGAACTTCTCAGGCCAGAGCTTGAAAGGGCGAAAGCTTACAAGGCGCAGGAATGGTCTTGACACCTGGTGCAGAGGAGTGGTCGTCGTCGCCGGGGAAGGTCGAGCCGTTCTGCTCGGACGAGACGACGTGCGCCGAGTCCGCTTCGAAGCGCTGCGTGATGGGGCTGTACGATACGACGAGCAAGTCAGAACGAATTAGGTAAAAGGGAGCTGAGGAGTTTGATGGGCACTCACTTGAAGTGGCCGGGTTCCTGGGCGGGTGCGGACTGTAGTGTGATATAGGTCTATCGTCAGCCATGACACAAGTCGGATACAGAGTGGTTTCGAACACGGTTCAGAGTTTGTCGATTTACCATGATTGAAGATTGAGGATAGATACGCAGCGTTGGATAGTGATGGTACGGAAAGAAGAGGAGAGAAGCAAGACGAGGAACGGGGCCGCTTTCGAGGTGCCCGAGGCGGAGCCATTTACGTCATCGCGCGTTCGGGGTCCGACGCTCCTTCGGGCGATAGCGCCTTGGCTTGCACTTCTCCCGTTCTACGCTCCCGTTCTACGGAACGGCCGAGTCTGACAAAATTGCATGAATTTACAACAACGCGAATCGAGATTTTATCCGAAAAAGAAAAAAGCAGCACCTTATTAGCTACTACTCAGAACCTGTTTTCATCCATCCAATCCATCACCCTCTGCCAATTCTGCTCCTCGATCGGCCCTTCGATCCACGCCTCGACGTTCTCTTCTCCATCGTCGCCAAAGTCTCGAAGGAGGCGATGGCGCTCGTGCAGAGGAGATGAAGGTGCAGTCGAGTGGGGTAGGGTGATCGCGATGGGGAATCCGGGTTCGTAGTTGAATAGGTCTTGGGTCGGCCCCAAGGGGGTACTTGATGCCGAAGTAGCGGCCGTTTCGAGATCCTGTCTCTGCTTCTGGGAGGGGTGGAAGGGATCGAATCGACCAAAGTCGGAGAGGGAGGGTGGGGAGCACAGGACCATACCGGACAGTGGATGGGAGGAGACGTACGTCTCGGCGAGGAGAGTCGACGTCGAGTGTGCGAAGAGAAGGGGTGGGAAGGGGGACGTCGTGGAAGTGCGTAGATAGGCGATGTAGTCTGTTCAAAGAGGGAGGGCATGTCAGCTTGGGTGCTTCTGTAATGCTTCCAATTGAGGGTTCAGAAGGGACATGAAGGCTGGAATGAGGAAAGGCGAGGAAAAAGAGCTTGGGGCTGGGGAAGCTTCCGTCCGCCAAAGAAGTTAAAAGCTCAGGCTCGTCTGCACTTTACCTTCTTCTAGCTTTTCCAAATTCTTTCGAATCGTCTCGATACCCAGTCTACCCATTTCCTTGAACGAAGCCTGCTCCGCCGAGGAGATCACGTGCGAGTGGGGGTGCATGATCTCTACGAGTTGCGACTCGTAGCCCTGCGAGGCAAAGCGGCTCGACCAGTCTGCGAATTTTCTGTGCAACACGCGGTGACCATGTAGGTCAGAACAAGGCGCGCACTAAAGGTACTGTTACAATGTACGTACGCTCTGCCGATCGGATCGTTGTTGAAGGTGAGGAACGTCAACGGCTGAGCTAGGATCCTCGCCCCGGCCGGTGGTCTGATCGTCTTTAGGATAACCCGAGACTGTTTTGCGCTCGAAAAGCATCGTCCAAGTAAGGGCATGTGAGTTGGAGGGAGGTGAGGGGACGGGGGCCGGGTGAAAACTCCGGAAAAGGGGCTATCGCTGGCCGTTGCTATTGCGCATCACTGAGGTTCAAGCTAATCTGGTCTAATGGTCAATTGTTGGCCATCGCAGCGGGGCGCGCGCTTCGAAAGGCTTCGAATTAGCTTCCAGTTTTTGACCTCGCTCATTCACTCGCGCACTCGCACGCGACTCGTCATCGGCCACTGCAACCACTCGACCGGTCGCAGTAGCACACACCCTTGTCGCTTGGACCACCAGAACCTCACCCCTCGATCGACGATGCCCAACGCCAAGCGGAGTGGTGCGGCTCAACGGACCAAGAAAGCGTCAGTCGTCAGTTGTGGCCCCGTCTTTCACGCGCCAAACGACTCACGAGCGAGCACCCCCCCCAGCTCAAGTGTAGCCTCGTACGAGATCACAGTCGAGGCACACACCGTGTAGTGCGAAGGAGTCTGCTCCAACGGTGCCGAGACTGAATCTGCTCTGCCCGGTACTCGGCGGCATATCGTCTGATCGAGTCATCCCCGTTTGCACTCCCGCCGGCGATCCCACCACCATCAGCAACATCTACTTGATTTGAAGTCTTCGGAATTGACTCTCTTCACCCTTGTTCCCACAGCGCGAATGCCAAAGCCGCCGCCGCCGCAGGCACCTCGACCTCTTCCTCGACCACGAACGGGGCTTCGGCCTCGTCCTCCTCTTCACGTTTCGGTCACTCGGGCGAGTTCACCTTCTCTTCCCCGCCCCCACGCACCTCCAGAAAGAATACCAACGGCGGCAAGAGCAGTCCTTCGGCGCAGAAGAGAGGGCATCTGTCCCCCATCGTGCTCTCGTCCGATAGCGACGACGACGGCGACGACGACGACGACGACGACGACACCAGCAGCGAGGAAGAGGACGACAGCAACGACGCCAAAGAGGCCGACAGCGATGTCGATATGGGCGACAGGGAGAAGCCTGATCACGAGTTGACCGCCGAGGAGAAGCTCGTCAGGGCCGCGGAGAGGAAGGAGACTGGTAATGAATATTGTACGTCGAGCGCAGTCAGAATAGGGTTCCAGTTTATTGACGTCTGTGGTTCCTCGAGGGTACAGACAAGAAGAAGGATTACCCAACCGCGACGCGATACTACTCTCAAGCCATCTCGCTAGACCCGACGAACCCGACCTACCTCACCAACCGAGCCGCATCCCGTATGGAATCGCGCGTCTACACTTCAGCGCTCGAGGACCTCCTCGCCGCCGCCGCTTTGCAAGCCAAGGATCCGCAGGTCAAGACCTTGTTGCGATTGGGCAAGTGCCAGACCGCTTTGGGGCTCGTCAGTCAGGCGCAGCAGACCTTGGACCAGGCGTTCAAGATGGACTCGACGAACGTCGGCGTGCAGAACGAGCGCAAGAAGGTGGCCAGAATCCAGAACGCCTTGGCCAACGTCAAGCGCGACCTGGAGAAGAAGGATTGGTCCATGGTCCTACTGGGTATCGATGCTGCCGCGAGGGAGGTTGAGGAAACGCCGAGAGAGTGGAGGACGTGGAAGGTCCAGGCATTGGTGGGGAAGAAGCAGTACGACCAAGCTGCTGGGATGGCCGCGTAAGTTCTGATCTATATCCAAGTTGCTGATGGTCAGGCGCTGATAATTTCGATCCAATACCTCCTTGCAGTGATTTATTGCGAGCGAACCAGAACCAGCCCGAAGCGCTGTACTACCGAGGGCTTTGCCTCTACTACGCCGGCAACCACCCCCAGGCGATTGCTCATTGCCAGCAAGCTTTGCGTAATGATCCCGATTACGTTCTTGCTCGGTGAGGAGTTGCTCCGCCTCTTTCATGTATCACTTGCCCGGAACACCCCCCACTGATGTGCACCGAGAGCATCGCACAGAACACTGCTGCGCCAGGTCAAACTTGTGGATTCGCTCAAGGATGCGGGCAACGAAGCGTTCAAGTCGAACCGCCTCGACGAGGCCATCGCCAAGTACAGCGAGGCGCTCGTTGTCGACCCGGAGAACGACGTGCTGCGCGCGACGCTGTTGTCGAACCGCGCGACGGCGCAGCTCAAGCTCAAGAAGTACGACGAGGCGTTGGGCGATTGCGAGGCGTGTTTGACGCTGCAGCCGCAGTACTGGAAGGCGATGAGGACCAAGGCCCGGATCTGTCTTGCGCAAGAGGAATGGGAAGGCGCCGTGCACGCTTTCAAGCAGGCCTACGAGATCGCTCCTGCGGGATCGAACGACGAGGCCGCGTTGAAGAGGGAAGTCGCTGATGCGGAGGCCAAGTTGAAGAGGAGCAAGATGAAGGACCATTACAACACTTTGGGGATCAGCTCGACCGCGTCCGAGGACGAGATCAAGAAGGCGTACAGGAAGCAGTCGCTCATTCACCACCCCGACAAGGGAGGGTCCGACGCGAGCTTCAAGGAAGTGGGCGAGGCGTACGCCATCCTCAGTGATCCACAGAGGAGGAGGAAGTTCGACATGGGCATCGACGAGAACGACCCTCATGCTGGTCATGGCGGCGGGGACGACTTTGGGTTCGGCGGCGGCGTCGATCTTTCGGATCTATTCGGTGCTGCGGGTGGCTTCGGTGGAGGAGCTGGCTTTGGTGGAGGTGGACGACGACAGTACCATTCTCATCAGCAATACGGGTTCTAGGCAAGCGTGTAAGAGCGATAGAAGCCGACGCCCGACAGTCTAGTCGCAGGTCATGCAATGCAGTTCTTCCTTTTGGACACAGCCTACCGCAAGTCTCTTCGTTGTCACGATCATACCGAGTTTCTCCGTGATTCAGGAGATGCCGAAAAGTCCGCAAAGAAGAAGAAATGCAGTTCTTCCTTTTGGACACAGCCTACCGCAAGTCTCTTCGTTGTCACGATCATACCGAGTTTCTCCGTGATTCAGGAGATGCCGAAAAGTCCGCAAAGAAGAAGAAGAGCCGCACAAGGAGTCGCAGTTCAGAAGACTCTGATGTGTTCACCGTTCAGAACGGGCAGCTGAGTCGCTCACACGAGAATTGGTTGACACAGCATTGCAAACTCTATGAAACTCGAAAGCTTCTACCATTATTACGCCTACCCGAAACAATCCTCTTTCTCCACTTCAGTTCTTGACGACCTTCGCATCACTCGCAACTACACCCGGCGCGCCGGCCTTTCGACCGGGGCGTACGATCGGAGATATAGTTCCCCTCCTCGTCTCTCTCGATCGAGCTCGAGTCCGTCAATCTAACGTTCTCGAGGAAGAGCGCGGCGATCAAACCCAGTGCGGCGATGCACGTTCCGGCGATGACGATGATACGTTGCGTTTCATCGTGCGCTCGGGAAACGGCGAGGCGTTCGGGCGTGCCCGGTGCGAAACGAGCGATGAAACCGATCGGGTTCTGGTAGGCCGAGCTGACGAGCGTTTGGTCGGGCATGTAGTGCGCCAGCTTATCGGGGACAAGGTTCGTCCAAATACCTGAGGGGAAGATAGAACGTGGGAGACACGGTCAGTGAACTATTTTATTTTCGCGTTGGGAAGAGCCATTGACTGCGGAGTGGGGGGACTGGGGAGAGCTTACCACCACCGATTGCGGATCCGATACCACTCGAGAGGTAGTAGATCGTCAAGTACCCAGCTGTAATTGCAGCGATGTGTTCGTGCCTTGAAACGGTCTGGATCGCAGCTTGGACGGGGAAGCCAATGCATCCAACACCGAAACCACGAACGACTTGGACCATCGCGAGATCGGCCTGCGAGTTCGTCGATTGGCGGTAGCGGATCATCAGGCCGAAGGAAAGAACCTCGATCGTGAAGCCGAAGAGGATGATAGGCTTGAGGTAACGGATGTAACGCGCTGCGACACCCGCCACTGCGGCGGTGAGCGTGCCCGTGAAGGATGCGAGGTTGACGATCCGAGTCGCCGAGGTGTTGGACTGGTTCGCGGCGACGCGAAGGAAAGTGAAAAAGTAGGAACCGATCGCACCTCCTGCAGCGGGATGGACGACGGCAATGATCAAAGCGATGATCACGGTGCGGTTCGTCATCAATGAGAAAGGGATCAAAGGATGACGAGCGCCGTAGGCCTCCCAAAGAACGAAGGCGATAACGCAAAGACCGCCAACGGTTAGAAGCGCGATGCAGTGCGGGTCCGACCACTTGGAGCCTCGGCCGTTTGCAATCGTGATGGTGACGAGTACCATACCCGCACCGCCGACGAGGAAGAGAAGACCGACGAGATCGAGTGACCAGAAGATGGCGACCGTCTTGGCCCATAAAGTCTTGTTGTCCGAGATGGTCGGGCCGTTGACGATTGTCGAAGCGACGTCCTCTTCGTCGTCTTGGAGTGATTTTTCGGATTTGATCGGGCTACCGTCGACGTGCTTCTTGTGAGGGCGCATACCGTAGGTCAGCGTAAGAATAATTGGCGTCGCCATCGCTGGTACGAGGATGCAGAACATTCCGAGACCCCATCGCCAGGTCGTCGTCTCGAGCACGGACGCCGTGATGTTACCAGAGACCCAGACGTTGATCGTTCCGGGGATCGAGGGGAAGATGGACCAGAACAGACGGTTTCGCGTCGACGAGATTTCCGAGATGATGATATTTTGGAGGAGGAAGAGACCCGTGATTCCGAGAACGTAGATGGAGTTGCCGACGGCGTACGTGTAGATGCTATTGGCACTTGCAGCGATGGCGTAACCTGCGCAGGTTCGCAAGAAAGTTCACCAGGATCAAGATCACGATAATGAAACGACAAAGATAGCTCGACTCACCAACGGCGTAAAGAACAACACACATCACATAGGCTTCGACACGACCGGCGACATCGGAGATCTTGGCGATCGGCGGCTGCGACACGGCCTGGAAGACGGACTTGAGCGTTCGGATCGTCGCGAGCGTCGAATGGGCCTGGAACGACACCGACGTCGCGTTGGTGAGGTAGGCTCCGGAGGTGCTGTCGGGGAGTACAGGAGGAAAGATCAGACAACGAGTTCGAAGTAAACCAAAAAAGCCATTAGACTAACTATTGATCTGTCACGTCAAATTCGAATAACCGACCACATCGCGCAAATCGAACAAGAAAGATCGGACTTGTCAGTCGCTCCGAGTCCCCTCGGCGGCCTCCGAAAACGAGCTTCGCTCGACACTCACCCAAACTCATGACGAAAGCCAACAACGCGAAACCACCGTAGAGCAACGACAGATATTTGAGATTCAAGCGACGTTGCAGAGCTTGCATTTTGCGCACCCCTCGTGAGATGGACGGGACGATCACGGTCATGTTTTCGACACCGGCGCTCGTGTCGAGGTCGCCACCCGCGCCGGCGCTGGGTCCGACGCCGTAAGCGACCGAGCCCGAGCGCTTGCCCTCGTGCGAAGAGGAACGCGAGTCGTGGAGGGTCGTCAAAGTCGGACTCGGCATGATGATCAACTAGAGAAGCGAGCTTTCTTTTTTAGGTGGGGTCTCGAGGAGAAAGAAGGAGAGAAGGCCTGAACCGACGGCTTGCGAGGAAAAAAACGGCGATGCTCTCGGGTGCCACATCTGGGGTAGGCAGCGTGGCTGGGGCGCGGTGATTTTGCGGCACGAGCGCTCAGAGATTTTGAACAGATTATTCTCGCGCGCGACGAGGCTAGCTGCTGCGAAGTGGTGAGATCAGATAAAAATCTCTGGAAAGAGCTGATTGTGCGAACCAGTCCTGATCGAGCGTCTCTTTGCGACGAGACAAGGTTTCGAGGACGATGTCGGACTTTGGGTAGGGTGTGCGCGGCAAGGTCGGAGAGCAAGCTCTTGGCATCCGGGCTCGGCGAGCCGCTAGCGAAGCCATTGGGTGTCGGTCGAATGCAAGTGTGAACGGAAAAACGAGTGTTTCGTCGCCGCGTGACTCCCAGTTGTAGCTCGCGAAGAAGAGTGGGAGAATCCATTACACCGACCATAAACATACTCTACCGTCTTCACCACCTGTAGCAACAATTCCCGTCTGTGCAGAAGTAATACAATTCCAAGAAAGGGGAAGGTCAGCCGACAAGCTCGTGGTGCGTTGGCGCTAGCCACGACGTCACTCCCAGAAGTTGGGGTTTGGCTCGGCGCGCGCTGTTTCGGCCGTGCTTGTGCCGTGCTCGGCCTGTGGGAGCTCCTTCGTCGAATGGGCGGTCACTTCGCACTAAGTAAAAACTAAAGATGGTCACTGACCTGGGTGTTCATAGTCGCGCATCGGACGATGTCGCCATGCCCCTTGCCCCCGAGTGTTCGACCACCGACGCCTGGTAAATTTTGCTCGAGGATCCAACGCCTAGGGTCCGACAGGTTCAACAAAGCTGCGTCGCCTCTGAAGAAAAGGTCCGATAAAAAACTATGAGTGAATTTCGACTTCCAGCTAGTTTGTTCTTCCTTGCTTATGCTCACTTTTGTGTGCCGACGAAAATAGCCACGCCGCCCAAGTGGGGGGAATAAGTTGCCGAGATGAGATAGTCCGATCGCCATGGTTCTAACGCGACTTCCCGAATGTCTCCAAGATCCTTGATCAGGGATTGCTGAAGAGACAAAAATAAAAATAAAAATTACTGGTCGTCAGTTTCGAACATGTAGAGGCACACGCGGGCGAATGAAGCCGACTCACATCATCAACGTCCCACAACTGCATCGTCTCGATCGTCGTCGTTGCCCAGACCCCCTTCCATTCCCCCGAAGCGACCTCCTCCGCATGTCCGATCCTCGCCATCCACCCCGCATCAATCAAAGACGTCCCGACTTGACTCGTACTGAGGACCGAGTCGTCCTCGTCTTGTATCCGTACGTCGTAGGTGTTGAGAAGGCCGTCGACGGACGCGGAGAGGAGGACGTGCGGGAGCGAGGGGGAGGGGTGGAATTTGAGCGAGGTGATGTCATCCGAGTGGGCTTCCGTATAGGTGTGTTGTAGCTTTAGGGTGGCGAGGTTCCTGGATGAGATAGCAGTTGAGATTGGGGTGAGCGCCGAGGTTGAAGAATGGGTCAAGGTTTTTCGCATCCGCGTCTCGGAGAACGTACCACAGGTCGATCGTCGTTTCGTAATGGTGCAATTCACCGCCGACCGCGAGACATGAGAGATCACTGCTCTGACTCGCGCATAAAAGGCCGGCTCCACTACTACCTGCACGTCATCAAAGAAACCCCCTATCAGCCGACGACCCCCCTTCTACGCGCTTCGCAACCATCCGTGATTTGCTATCACTCACTTCTTAGTTTGAATGCCTCCTTGGATAAATCGTTGGTATCCCACCCCGTGACAGTCCCATCCCTCGCCGTTATGAATACGGCCGTACTCCCCTCCCCAGCTCCACGGGTCATCGACGTGATCCCCCTTTGCGACGACTTCAACACCCGTAGCGGCTGTAGCTCGGCGGAGAAGTGTTGGATCGTGTCGTCAGAGGAGGCGAAGAGGTAGCCTCCGCCTGATGAGGTCGGGAGGGGTACGACATGGAGGACGTAGGGTGCGGGTTCGGAGGTGGAGAAGGGTGCTTGGGCCACAAGACGGAGTGAGGAGGAGGGCGCGGAGCTCGACGGAAGGAGGAGGGGTGGGGACTCTTGCCGGATCCGGGTCGGAAGGCTGGCCATCTTGCACGATCGAACGATGTTCAAGCTTGGTGGAATAGGGCAGATGAGGCGGCAGAAGTTAGAGCGGGAAGCAAGTGGAGCTCGACCTCGACTCCAGGCGCGGCTGCGAAACCCGGTAATGACGGTGATCGTTGGCCCCCGTTCTCGCTCTTCCTGATTGGCTGGTGCCGCTTCCAAAATTACGCACATCGCCCGGTCCCGAAACTCGACATCAGGGTGTTTTGCGAGTTCCCACTGCCATTCCAAGCTGAATTTCCGAAAAACTGGGTGGCAGGATAGAGGGCAAAGAACGAGAAACGTCCGAACCTCCTTACCAAAATGAGGAACGACGTCCTTGGATTCCCATGCATTATACTACACCTTTTCCTCAACTCCCTTCGCCACCTCCATAGCACACCACCACCTCCCTCTTACAAGCCCACCGCCCAACACTCAAACTGCACGACCTCGAACTTACTCCCCACCTCCCCCTCCAGCCCCTCTTCCCCACCAATCGATTCCCACTCCCTCTCATTCGTCAAAGGCTCATTATCAAAACAAGGACATCTCGTCGTGTACCCTTTTTCAAAGAGGCCGTCGATCCAGAGTCCGAATTTACCGTCGCCTCCGCCGATGGAGAGGAACGAGGTTTCGGTCAAGGCGAGGTAGTCGTTACGTCCTGTCCAGCGGAAGGATTGGACCGACGCGCCTAGACGAAAGTCAGATGAGGAAAAGGGGGTAGCTTTCCATAGGAAACTGGGGAGTTGTTCGAGCGACGTTAGTGCTCCCTTTCCGGTCGGAGGAAGGGGCCGAGAATACGAGCGGGGGGGAAAACTGACCAGGTTCCATCGCCGTAATAATGATGGCTCTCCTTGAGAGGCTCATTAACGTACGCTCCAAAGGTTGAACCTTGAACGTCCTTGACGACCAAGACGACCCCACCATCGACGCCTTTGAGGGCGATGCGCATGCGATCGTACATCGTGCCGATCGAGATGCCGTGTTGGTCGAGCGAATAAATGAGCGTCCAGCGGTGCGAGATGCGTAACCGTGGTGGAAGGCTGGGTCTGATCTGAATATGGACGAGTGTGAGATCGTTAGCACAGAATCAGTCATCGGAACACTCCTCGCGTTGAAACCACTCTGCACCTCTAACTCACCCCATCAGCAATGTCCTCATCCAACGCCCTCTGCACCCCCGGTCTGACCCCCGCCAGCGTGATCGGCTGTACCGCATCCGGTGCCCTCGGATCATACACATGTTCAGGTTTGGCTGCCGGGATCGTGGGTGGTGATAAAGGCGGTAGGGTGCGCGATCGGGATGTCGTCGTTGTTGATGTGGGGGTGGCGTGCCGAGGTGGAAGCGATTTCGTTCGGTTCGATTGGGGCAGGCCGTCAAGGTGCGAATCGCGGGATCGTTCTTCGTGAGGTGAGCCTGAATGAAAGTCGCCCCAGTCGTCTTCGATGGCAGATGTAGAAGGTGAAGAACTGGAACCGGCGCGGGAGGAACTCGTTCGAGCGAACCTGATCGCAGACGATCCGGCGTTGGACATCTTTCTGACGAGGTTGAAGGTTCGTTCGAACGAATTCGCATTCGGAGAGGTAGGGTGGAAGGTGTCGATTTCGGGTCTTGAGGTCGTAGAGGTGGGTCCGGATCCAAACGAGACGGGTTCACTGAACATCTGCGCCGAAGTCGACGACGAGGGGAGGAACCCGCTCGAGACGATCGAGGCTGGGTCCGTCATCAGGCCCGAGAGTCTCCGGGGCGGGGAGAAGGATGATCCCGAGAGCGAGGGACGGTGCACGGATGATCTTCGAGTCGCCGTCGGTATCGGTAGTGGTCCCTGGCTGTCGTCTCGTTCGGTGGGGGCGGTCGAGGTCGAGGTCGAGGCGGACGTGAGAGGGGCGGCGCTGCTCCATGGATCACGATGCAAGTCGTTCCAGATGTGTTCTTGTCGCTGATTTTGAGCGTGCACCTGATCACGCAAGGTGATTCCCACCGCGACGACTCTTGGAACGCTCTGTGTCGCTGCTGACCCCGTCGCACCACTGGGCGCAGGTGATGATGACGATGACGACGGGAACAAAGTCGGAGAAGGTGTTTGATCAATCTCCAGTGCCGAGAAGAGGTCCAGAGGATCTTGTCCTTGCTTGACAGGCTGAGAAGGCAAGGCCGGTGGCTTGGGAAGCCCGGGCACACCTGCGCCAGACGACGAGGTGGAGGCAGCCAACCCGGCGGACGAGGACGATGACGATGACGATGACGATGACGATCCTGCCGACGGTGCTGCCGACGGTGACGGCGACGGAGCGGGCTTGGGCGCAAAGATGCGAGGTGAAGCGACGCGCGGTGGCGCATGGAACGGGTCAAAGTCCGACAGATCAATTGCAGGGCGCTGTGCGGCCATCTTGAGGTGGTCTCGACGTGGTCGTACGCAGGCGAGAGAGGCGGAGAGTGAGGCGGAGGGGCGAGCACGGGTGGCCAGGCACGAGCGTGAGCGTGAGCGTGTGGGGGTCCCCGAACTAGCCCGAACTCGCTCCGACTCCCGAGCGACGGCTAGCAGCTGAAAAAGTCCGAGAGGGGGCCGACTTCGAAGTGGCTCAGAAGGAAAGGTGTTGTTGCTCAACGCCGATCAAGTTCACTGCTCCCCATTTGCTTGACTCAGTCTCACTCATTGCCGATCCCAAACGCTCCGCTCGGCGTTCGGTGGTACGGCCACGGAAAGGAGCGAAGTCCTAGTACCGGCTCCTTACTGGTCGTGCGATCGAGCGGTGCACCTCGGAGGAGAGCACCAAGGGAGAGCTCTCAATCACTCAAAGATGCTCACCATAACTATCGAATAGATTTGATGCCCTCAGACTTCTCGTGCTTGCCAGTGATGATGAAAAGAGCGACAAAAAAAAGGCTAGAAATTTCAACAAGGTCGCACGAACGTCAAAAGCAACTACACCTCCAATCCTTCAAGCAAAGGCCCAACCCGGAAAAGAATGGAAGCGAAAATAATTTCCACACCTCAACATATACGACTACTTCCAACTCTCATTCCACACCAACTTGCCCGTGCCCGTGCCCATGCCCGTGCCCGTTGGATCCGCGCCGGATGTTGAACGAGTTCCTTCCGACTTGTTCTCCCTCTCCTTCTCCTTGGCCTTCTTCGGACTAGTCCCGAACCCGAAAGCATCCTTTCCAACTTCTTGAACGCGCAACTTCATCGACTTCAATCCCGCCGGCCCACCGTACAAAGGGTTCGAACTCGGGGCTCGGGCCAAGCGAGCTATTCGAGTCAATCCACGGTTGCCAGAATCGTCGACGTCAAAGTTGTCGGAGCCTTCGTCTTCAGAGTCGGAATGGTTCGAGGATGACGCAGATGATGAAGAGGTCGTACAGGACGAATAAATACGGTGTTCATGACTTGCTGTAGAGTGGTACGACGACGCGCCCGTCGACGTCCCCGAGGCGTTCCTCGTTTGCCCGTTCTTCGACAAAGCTTGACCCGACGCTGCTGCAGCACCTTCAGGACCTCGGACTTGACCGCGAGTCATCCTCTCACTTGACGTCACGACGTTCAACTTCGGTCGACCATTGATTGAAGAACCCGAAGAATCTTCCCTCTTCGATCGATCGAGGTACTTGGGATCACCGATCGGTCGAGTCGCACTCGTCGCTCCTGCGTGTGCCTTCGGTTCAGAGTTCTCTGTCGACTCGTTCCTCGGTTCGTTCTCTCCCGCATGCCATTTATGCCTCGTCGCACTCGTTTCACTGCGCATACTCGATTGTCGAGATGGAGAGGGTCGTAAACTGCCGTTGCCGGGGTACGTCCCCAATACATCATCGGAGCGAGTAACAGGTGAAAGTGACTCGGGCGTGCCCGTCAAGGGCATCTTGCGACTCAGCGGCATGAATCGCCAAGTCTTCTTGTCCCTCTTGATTTGCGTCGTCGCTTCGCCCGTCGAAGAAACATCCCCGCCGGTGGAACTCGAGTGTCGAGCTCCACCATCCGTACCGTGGTTCAACTCCTCGGCGGACCGATTCGGGAAGTCCATCTGCTGATGCAGGCCCGAGCGCTCGTAATGGGGTGTAGTTGGGAAAGGCGACTTCCAATGATCGGAGGGAGAGAAAATGACGTCGATGATCTCGTTCGCTGAACGCTCGCTCTCGTGTCGGATCCCGAGCGATCCGGCAGAAGGGGACATTGATGGCCATTGCGCGGATACCGTCGGCTGTGCGCGGAACCGTGGTCAATACCAAACACTCGGATCGACAGACAAAGATGCGTGCACTCACTCTCCAACCTTTTTTGGGGTTCGAGCTTGTCGCTGGCGACGTTGATGATCGACCATCATGGGTACTGATCGACGTGACCGAATTCGTTCTCGACATCGCCGGCGTTTCCATCGTACTCCCGCCATGGGTGATCGATCGAGCGACGTTCTTGTTGTCCTTAATCACTGTGAGCTCGTCACCATCGTTAAGATCAGCTTCGTCCTGTTTGCGATGGAGCATGGATCACACTCACGGGACGTCGTTGATCGACTGAAGGGCGAGTTTGTCGAGGTCGCCACTCCACTCCTGCTTGAAGCGGCGATCTGACCCGTCTTGAGTGGTGGTCTGCCATATAATCACACCATCAGTACATCGAAGCGGATTCAATGCGGGTCGCTTTGCATAAACTCACGCGACAAAGGTCCTCTCTCCGGCAAGAAACTCCATCCGGACCGTCACCCTCAACGTTGCGTTCGTCTTGCAATCCCTCAACAAGTACCTCCTTGCCGTAGGCTCCTTCCCTTTGGCCAGAGTGACGAATTGACTGAGGTCAAGTACGAGCTGCCCAGTTTTCACCTCCTTCATCTTGCCTTCTTCGTCGCCGGGCACTTCTTGGCGCACGCGCAGCTTGAGTGAGGAAGGTTGTAGAATGTGGCGGGGGGTCGCTGCTGCTGTCGTCGAGGGGAGGGAGGAGGAAGATGACGAAGATCGGATCGATTTGAGGGGGATTGCAACAGGGCATGAGACGACTCGATTGAAGGTCGCGGTATGTGCTCGTAGTGGGGCCCAGGTTGTCGATCCTTTCGGCTCGGTGTGATCGACCGAGACGTACGACACGGTCGGGATCGACGCTCGACGTCCATGCCCACTTGCGGAAGGTTCATCCTGGTCTTGGTCATCACGATCGTTCAATCCTGGACTACCGAAACTCTGCTGTGCTGATGCTCCCGAGGCGTGGCGTTGGAACGTCTGGGCGTAACCTACGACGGGTGTTCGGTTCGGATTCGGCGTTTTGGCATAGTCACCTAGGCTGGGTGTGGTCGGCGACTTGAGCGTGTCGGATTCGTACGAGGGACCACTCGTACTTCGTGGTAGAGGTGATCTTCTTTGGTGCTCAGAGGTGATGGGCCCGGAGGAGGTGGATGTCGAGACCGAAAAGTGGGACTCGATCGAAGGAGCGCCGCCACGTTCTGTCGAGGTCGTTCTCGTCTGATGCAATGCGCTCAAAGGATGAAGCATGTTGGAAGGATGATTGTGTTCACCCCTCGGATTCGATGGCGTCGGAGTCATGGGGGACCGCACATCGTTGATGTTGGCTGCGGGTGCGAGGCCCGACGAGCTCGTTCCCGTCCCCGTCCCCGATCCGGATATAGCTCCTGCTCCTGCTCCTGGTCCAGCTCCAGATGCAGATGCAGATGCAGATGCAGCTCCCGCTCCCGCTCCGGGTTTGGTCGACTGGGCATGGTGATAATCGAATGGGGAACCTATCTTGTCCGATGTAGCACCTTTGTACTTCCAGTCGACCTTGAAGCGACCCGAGACCAAGGGGACTGCGTTTTGTGGTATTGCCGGAATAGGAGCATAAACGATCGGGTGCGGTGACGCGGTGACGGGGTGGAAGATGGCGGAGAGACGTGGCGCGGCGCGTTTCGGAACGGGGAACGGGGAAGGCAAATCAACGGCGTGTTGTCAGTGATCGCAGTAAGGCTCCATCGTAGACGACGAGGATGTGTGATCGGTGATCGTACCTTGGGAGAGTTCATGGATCGTCACATGCGCGATAAAGGTGGTGGTGCGACCCAGACCGAGTCGTTCGGCGAGCCGTTCCATGGCGTGTTGCTCGTGGTCGTCACCGGTGTGGTGTGCAGTGGTCGATGCTGGCCTCAGCCGCTGGCTCCAGCCCCTGGCTCCAACCGCTGGCTCAGCTTGGGCTCAGCTTGGGCTCAGCTGGATTCGCGCGCTGTCGTCACCGAGACCGAGCTCCCCGAGGGCGCGCCGTCGTTCGTTTGAGGCCGAGCGCAACGCACAGAGCAGCGTGCGGATCAGTGCAACTCTCAGATGGTGCTGCACGGATCGTCTTCAGGTTCGAGTGAGGGTAGCATGCGAGGTAGGCTCTCGTAGTGTCGTGTGGGCTGGGCGATCGGATCGGACGAACGACAAGCGAGCTTCGATTCACAGTCGAGAGCGCGTGGCAGCCTACAAGTTATGCGCGCGCCACAAAAGAAATTCGGTAATTCGGTAAGTGACAAATCGGCTTTCTCGCCAACGCGCTGAGCGGCGCAGGCTTCCGCCAATTCCGCCGCCAGCTTCCGCCATCTCCTCATCCTGCCCTCTACGGTCCGGGTGTCTTACCCCTTCACTGTCCTTCTTGCCCTTTCTTGCCCCACTGCAGACTCCACCGTTTGCACGCCTTCAACAGCACTTGACATTTGGCAAAATAAGCTACGACTGCACGCTCACCCACGCTCCCAAGTCATCTCTCCCGCCACCTTCCTCGATGAGCAGCACCAACGCTGCGTTCCTCAAGGCGCGGCCAGACCACGTGACCCTGACCGTCTCGGCCGTCACCACCAACGCTCCGCACGCGCTCGACCTCGTGACAATTCCAATGAACTGGCTTCAGACTCTCGAGTCGTCCCGCAAATGAGATTATATTCTCGATGCCGCTACGATGTGCGTTGATCGACCAGGGTACTTGTGCGACGATCGCCATACACCCGTCGACATGGCCACGACGCCCCGCGCTGGCGCGTACACGCTCGTCCCCCATGACGATGGCGAGCAGGTCTGGGCTCACTTCGGCGTCGAGCAACCCTACGGAGCATCTTGTGGTATCACTCTCAGTCCCGATTTGCATGCGATGTACGAGCGCTACGCCTTTTCCTTCTACCCCAGCGGAGTAAGTGTCTTCAGCTCTCTCACTCTCCTGTTTGCTCCTGCTGCTCCCCCTGGCGATCCCGCTTCCGGCCGCCGGCCCACAGAACGGCCGATATACTCTGCATTTTTTTGAACCGCAGTGCGACATTTACCACTGCTTCCATGGGAAGGAGATCTCTCGCGACGCGTTCCACACCGTCGATGATTATGAAATTCCCTTCGACGAATATTTCCGTTAGCATTACGCCCAGTGCGTGATGCTTCACCTCCGAGGCATCACCGTCGACCAGTGAAGCTTTCTCCCTATCGTCCGACTGATCGACATCCCCAGACGCCGACACCATGCACCATTCTTGTCTCGTCCCCCACGGCTGTGATAGGCTGCAGTGCTTGATGACCGGCACTTGCGGGCTTCGCCGTGTTCTGCGGACACCGTAGGCTGATACTATAGCGTTCAGCCTCGACTTTTCTGTGCTTCCAAATCAGTTCGACCGTCTCGCACGATTGCGCTCGGACCATTCCAAAATCTCAGTTCCATGTAAAAGTACACGTATTCTTTTCGTAGCTTGAACATAGTAGTAGGCTCGGGGCCATCCGCGCCCGTGCGCTGAGTCTGATTGTCTTTTCACCCATTCTGTTCATTTCGGTGACGGTGACGCACTAGTTGCTTTTTCTGTGTATGTAATCTGATACAAAGTGTGACTTGACTGCATGCGTCCCATCAAGGCTTCCTGGCCCTGGGGGGGGGGCGCGCGCGCTTGGGAAATTGGCGACGGTCTCACTTATAGTAATCCTCGTTGGCGGGGGGGCGCGGCGCCTTTTACGAGTAACGAATGGTACTTTCTATGTGAGCCTGAGAGCTGCCTGCGCGCGCCAGAAATGAAATTCGGTACCTCGCCAAGTCGCGCTTCCGCTTTCTCGCCGCGGTCGTGCTTCTCCGTCTTTCTCCACTTCTCCAGATATATACCCCGACTCCGACTAGCACGATGAAGGCCTACTACTTGTGCGCGCGCACCCCATCGCACCGTTCCCATTCCAGAGTTGCACTATACTGACTGACCTTGCACCGAACCTAACCGCGCACGGGGCACGGTCGCAGCGACGACATCCCCGGCGACCAACGTCTGCCCCACCACTCGGGCGAAGATGTCCCCCTCGCCAGCCTCGAAGCACTCGGTCTGTTGCCCCACCCCGACATTGGCATCGACGAGGTCGAGCAGATGTGAGCCCCACTTTGAATCCATCGTCGGGGATGCGTCGACCGGCTGTTTGTTAGGGATGGCTGATGCTTTGTGGGCAGTGCGAAAGATCGATCGTACAAGAACAACGACGAGATCAACGTCTCTCGTGCTGGATTGGGCGACGCCTACGAGACCAAGATCAAGGGATTCTTTTCGTGAGTGCTATTCAGAAGATCCACACCATCTTCGTCAGCCTTTCGTGATGCCAGAAGCTGAGGCGAAAAGGGGACGAACGATGACGTGATCCGCGCGATCCCACCTTTTGTTCGGCTCTCTCTCGTCGCTGATTTTTCTTTTCTTTCCGAAACGTGCTCGATCGAACAGCGAACACCTGCACGAGGACGAAGAGATTCGGTACATCAAGGAAGGCTCTGGTTTCTTCGACGTGCGAGGTACGTTGCCTTGCGGCCTTTTTTTTCGCTCGCTGTCGAGACCGAATCCCCTACTCCGGTCCAGGACCTGAGTCTGCAACTTCGTACCTTGCCCTGCGGCGCAATGATAGACCGTTCCGACGAGCGTTGGATCCGCATCGCCGTTGGACCGCGGGACCTCATCGTCCTACCCCCCGGCATCTACCATCGGTTCACTTTGGATGAAAATGATTACATCAAGGCGATGAGGTTGTTCAAAGACGAGCCCAAGTGGGTCCCCCATGATCGGTCGGACAAGACGGAGGAGAATCCGTTTAGGAAGCAATACGTCAGGGAGGTGGTGATGACTTAGGTGGTTGTTATTTATGTGTTTGTGAAATAAGATCATTCATTCCTCTCTTTCTCTCTGTTCTCCCTGCGAGCTTCTCCAAGATCGGCGCTAACTCTCGGAAACGTAAAGAAAAGTTGGAGACGATTCCCCGCAAGTCGCAATACAGCAGTACCAAAAAAACACAAGAAAACATCCATCTACAAATCGGCCTTCTTGGCCCTCTTGCCCGTCCGATTCCCTTCCTTGACCCTCTTCTTCTCCTTCCTCCTCCTCAACTCCCCCCTACTCTCCCTCCCCAAAATCCCCGTACCGCTCTTTTCCAAATTCGCCATCTTGCGCTCGTACCGTTCACTCAACACTTTTTGCTTCTTCTTCTCCGCTCGACGGGCCAAACGATCCGGATCGAGCGCTTTGATTTTTTTACGATCCGACGGAGGTAGGGAAGCCAATTGAGTCGCTTGAACCGCTTGTTTTTCAATGAGAGCGGCTTGGGAAGCCAGTTTCGAACTGGAGATAATGGGACGATTCCCGAACCTTAGAGAAGGGTCCCTAGGAGCGCCGAGAACTTGTCCTCCTCCTCCTCCTCCCATTTTTTGCATCGGCGTTTTAGAGGGGTTAGATAAGGAGGAAACGTTCTTGACGAGAGCGGAGGCTTTCGCTCGAGCGGCGGCGATACCCGTTTTGCAGCGCTCGAGACGGACTTTACGTTTCGAAACTTTGAGGAATTTGCCGGGGGGAAGAGCGAGCAATTCGTCGACGCATGAAGGGTCCTGTGCGAAAGGAGGAAGAAGGGGGTCAATAAACGGAGCTAGTACCTTCTGTGTAGAATAGTTCCGAATCCGAAACGGACCTGAAGCAAAACGTATCCGAAACCTTTACCCAATCCCGAACTCGCATCTCGAATCAAACGAACGCCTTCGACCCATCCCTTCCTACCCGAAGCTTTTCCCTTCTCCCTCACCAAAACTGGCTCAATCGCCTTTCTCACATTCTCCTCCGTCTCACCAAAATCCAACCCACCTATGAAGACCGTTCGTCGTGCTTCGGCGTTCGGAACGACGTAGACGGGTCCTTTGGGGGCGTTCGCGGGCAGCGCGACGGAGAGGTCCGGTTTGGCGGCGATCTGAGCGGCTGCGACCAAGGCCGCTGTCGAGCGCGGGCGAACGATATCGGCTCGGAGGGTGTAACCTTCGAAATGGGTCGCGTCGACGGATTGCACGATCAGCTTGATCAGATCCGCGTCCGAGAGAGAGGAGGAGGGTGTGTTCTTAAAGGGTTCGAGAACGAGGTAGGCGTTGCAAGTCGATTTGCCTTGGTTCAAATCACCTCGGAATAAAGCCACACGTCGCTTTTGACCGTCCGTGAGCGCACCGGAGGACCCTCGGTTCGAGGACGAAGAAGGAACGGGTTCTTTGGCATGGAAACCACCTCGAACACCGCGTTGGTCCGAACCTTCAGAATCGCGCCATTCTCGCGCTCGCTTGCGATTGCGGCTACCTTCCGGATTCGCGTCGGGCGCGTCGGGATCGTTGGTTTGCGACTCCTTGCGGCCAAAGACGGTCGAGGCAAAAGCGATGGAGCGGAACCGAATCGAGTCGCACTTGAGCGCAGGGAAGTCGGCGGGCAGAAGTTGAAGCAAGGTCGGCGATTGCAGCACGTGTCGGATCAGCGCTTTCTTCATGGGCTGTGGGGCATAGACGTGGGAAGTTTCGGGCGTTAGTTTTCGCGGTCGACATCGTTCAATCTTCTGTATTGACCGACCCTGGAAGTCGCACACGTCGCGGGAACGTTGCCGAGGAAAACGGTTCGCGCATCCCTCTGTTCGGGCGTGTCGTCACGTTCGAGACGCTTGTCCTTGCTACTCGGCTTCTTCTTCGAGGTCGTAGTATCTTCGCTAGTGGTCGACTTGCTTTGTTTGGTGGCGAGGATCGTTCCCGGTGTCAAGTCATCGGCGTCAATCATCTCTTCGTCTTCTTCTTCTTCGTCATCGTCATCGTCTTCTTCTTCTTCTTCTTCGTCATCGTCTTCTTCTTCATCCGAGGCCTCCGAGTCTTGCTTGTCAAATCGCTCTGCTTCGACCTTGCGCTTCTTGTTCTTGGATCGGACCTCCTTGATCCTCCGAGCGGCCAGCTTGGCTGCATACGCCTGTTCGACACCGTCATCATTCTCATCGTCATCTTGATCATCATCGGAGGAAGGCATCTCGAGCGAAGCGTCCGAGTCGATCTCGAGAGGTTCGAGAATCTCATCGTCGACTTCTTCTTCTACGGTCTCGGATCCGGGTGCTTCTTTTACGGGTGTGCGCTGCTGGTCTTTACCCTTGCTGGACTTGTGTCGTTTGTCCTTGTTCTTCTCGACCGGGATCAACGAAGGCGCAGTGATGCAACTTGAAGGACCTTTCTACTCGAAAATACACGATACAAGAAAAGATCAATTAACATGACCAGTCCCCCAAATAAGCGTCAAAGTTCAGCGAACGAACCGAATTCGCAAAGACGGCATCGAGCTCATTATCCTTGGAGCCTTCGCCCTGAGCTAGAAGGAAGGAGGATAGATTTGCTTCGGAAGAGGTCGGTTTGGAGAACGATTTCTTGCCCATGCCGAGGGGTGCGAGGGCGCGGTTCGGTTCGGTTCGGTTGGGATACGAGGAGAGGAGAGGAGAGGAGTGGAGAAGCGCGTGACGATCGCTGCGAAGTTGATCGCGCAGCGTCTCTGCGCTCGGACCGCCTGCGGAGGTGACCGGTCAGGCCGGTCAGGTGGAGCGAGCCGAGCGAGCCGGCGCAAGGGGCGCATTAATAAGGGAAAGGCGCCGCGTGCCTCCCCGTGACAGCTTTATAGTTCTACACGGCTTCATCACCGAACGAACCCTTCCTCGCCTTTCTCGTCGCATGAGTATCGGCTATGAGCGCGCCCAACTACCATCCCCTCTTGCGAAGACCTCACCTACGACGATCACACCCACCACGACGACCATAGACCCTCGTCTCGACTTTGTCGCCGGCACCGTCGCAGGCGTAGCGAGTCTGTTGACCGGACAACCGTTCGATACGATCAAAGTACGCGCTTTACGCGACTATAGGCTTCCTTCCTTGGCCAAAGAGCTGACTTGCTTTTTCTTCGTCGACGTGTACAGGTCAGGTTGCAGTGCCAGGATCGGAGTCAGAAGACGTATCGCAATGCCGTGCATGGCTTCTTCAAAATCGTCGAGGAGGAAAAGGTCCGTTCGGCCGGAGCTTTGGGCGAGCAAAAGGTCGGCTGATTCGGTCTGACGGTCTTTCGGACGTGTCTTGCGTGGATCCGAGTAGCTCAAGGGCCTGTTCAAAGGAGTGGTCAGTGCGATCACCGCACGACTCGTGCAGAAATAACTAGACACATCGCCGCTGAAAAGAAAAACTTTTTCGTCATCCCTGTATGCCCAGACCTCGCCTATGGTAAGGCCCTCTCTTTTGCGATCGAAGCCCCTCTCTCTCTCTCTCTCTCTCTCTGGACCAACGCGCGCTCTCTCAGTCTTTCGAGCGGAACAAAAAGAACCTCTTTGGATTCGACTGATCGCTTCGTCTCTGTCTTTTTTTTTATTTTCTCGCAGCTCGGTGTCGCCGCCATAAACGCCTGCGTATTCTCCTCCTATGGACTGGCCCAACGTCTCCTCTCACCCCTTCTCGACAACTCCAACTCGTCCAAGCCCACCTCGAACCCCTCACTCCTGATCATCGTCCTATCCGGATCCGTTTCAGGTCTACTCACTTCGATCATCACGACCCCGATCGAACGCCTCAAGATCTTACAACAATCCGTGAGAGGTACTACTCGACAACCGAGTTTGGTCGAGTTGGTGCGTCAGATCGGTGCGAGGGGACTTTATAGAGGTTGGATGGCGACTTGTTGGAGGGATTTAGGGTACGGTCCGTATTTTGGTGTTTACGAGGCCGTCATTAGGAGTCAAAATCGATTTGGAAGTGAAGGTGGGGAAAGAGAGGAGGTGCAGGGGAATGAGGTCGGTACGGCGAAGGTTCTGATCGCGGGTGGGATGGCGGGGATTGCGGGGTGGGGTAGTACGTGAGTTTTCTGCCCGCTTTTTGTTTAGGGAAGAATGGTGCATCTTGCATTCGCTTCAGATGGGGATTCGTCTCGAGACATCGATTGCTGAATCGGTTTAGGTTTCGCGAAAAAAAAAAAAAAAAAAAAAACCCCTTCGCTTTACCCTGAAACTTTACGCAGCTTCGCAATGGACGTCGTCAAAACCCGTATACAAGCCTCGGAAGCCTATCTCGATCAAGCTAGAACGATAGCCCATCCTTATCGCACCATCTCATCGACGATTCGCCATTCTTATCGAGCGCAAGGGTTCAAGGTGTTTTTCGTCGGGTTGGGACCGACGTTGTTGAGAAGCGTACCGGTGAATATGGTACGTTTGGAAAACCGGAGCGGTCGATTGGTTCGGAGCAGGTTGACTGATCACGTCAATGGTATCTTCAGGTGTGCTTCTTTGTTTTTGAAGCGATCGTCTCGGCGTTTCGGTGAAGGAGCTTTGGTCAAAGATTTTAGCATCAGGTCAGAACAGAGCGTAAAAAAAGGATAGCACGTGTTTTGGAATTTGTTATTAGGGTTTTTTTTTTTTTTTTTTGTTGTTGTATTGGAATTGACTCTCGACAAAGTACTGACTGCTTACGATGAACGCTCGCTTTTGACCCGAGGTCGACTGTGCGTAAGTAATAATTGTGCCGCGCGATCAGGTCCCACTGCAAAATGTGATGATCGAACCAGTTGGCGCAAGTTGTGCGCTTTGACCCCCCCGCCGCGCATCCCCCATCATCATCATCATCATCACACCTCGTCGTTCGGCCCGGCCCTCGCGCTTCCCCTCTCTTCTCTCTGTCCAGGCATGGCAGTCACACCCCAAAGACCAACGACCGGAACAGCGGCCAAGACCCATCGACCGGCGGGACAAGCTGGTCTGGCGGGACAGGCGTTGGGGGCTGCTGCTGCTGCTGCGGTGGGAAAGGGGAGGAAGTCTTTACCAGCTACTGGAACGGCCGCGAAGGGGAGAAAATCGATCGGTGGAAAGACGAGACGTGAGTCTTTTCGTCGAGGGACGAGGAACGCGTAGAACCCACGAGAGAGAGAGTTCAGGTCGAGTGCGGGCCGCGACGCGTCGAGGGAGCGACTCGGGCGACGAAGTACCCTCCAAGGCCGCATCTACGCGTCATCCTACCTCCCAATGTACTGACCTTCATTCCTTTACAGCGAACCAACAAGCCGCCGGTGGGAAACCCAAACGATTCAAACCCGGCACCGTAGCCCTACGCGAGATCCGCAAGTACCAGAAATCAACCGACCTCTTGCTCAGGAAATTGCCTTTCGCTCGGGTCGTACGTTGTTACGTTCATCGAGGCGCACGAGTTGCAAAAACTTTGACCCGTCGCTGATTCTGATTCTTGATTCTTCGCGGCGGCCGATCGGGCTCAGGTTCGCGAGATCGCCTCGGACTTTTTCGACGACGATGGACAGCGCGTCGGATTGAGGTGGCAGGCGTCGGCGTTGATGGCCTTGCAGGAGGCCACAGAAGCGTAAGTTTTTCGACGAGTGATAGTGCACGAGGCGTCGCGAACATGGTGGCGTGGATCATTCCAAACTGATCGAGAGAGGAGCTGATGTCGATTGCCTTCTCATGCGATCAGATATCTCATCCACCTCTTCGAAGACGCCAATCTATGTAAGCCCCAATCCAAGATCGCTGCTCTCTCGAATCGATGTAAAAGAAACTCGGACTGACTCGGCCCATCTTCCGGATCTCTTCTGTCCCAGGCGCGCTCCACGCACGGCGCGTTACGATCATGCAGAGGGACATGCAACTCGTCCGACGATTAAGAGGTGACTTTATGTAAAGCAGAATCCCGGGGGACGAGATTGATCGTCTCTGGGGGTCAGGTCGCGCCAGGTCGTGATCCGTTCCGAGTGCCGAGGGTCGGTTGTAATTGTAAAGATTCGGATGCAAGTGTTTAGGTACAATTTTTGTAGGATTTTGGGTACGTAGAGTGGTAATGTCGGATACCTCAGGTGGTTTCGAGATTATAAATCCGGTTCGAGAGTCGAGCGATTCGAAGAGGACTGAATTTTCGCAAGGCATGATGATCACGAGTGACAGGTACGACCATCGACGCAGGGATTGAGTCTGGTAGAACTTTAACGCACGCTCATAGTAAGATTTCACAACAGTATTTTGATACATGAAAGCGACGACTGCTCTTCCGGCGAATAAAGTATATGTGCCGCGAATTCAAGACTCGCTCAGTCGGGAAAGCACCAGTCTTTCCAACGACGCCCAACGCGAGTAAGGAACGTGGTTACTCGAAAAAGGAGCACCTCACACCGTATCAGAACAGCTTGGAGAGTCCTAAAATGGCGACCCCACCACCCATCACCAGACCCGAAATACCACCGGAAAGGACGAAGCGCAACTCGCTGCCGGACTTGGCTTTGGCGCTCGCGGAAGCGGTCGTCGTGTTGGAAAATTTGGTCGTGTTCGTGTTCGTGTTGACGGTCGTTCCTGTAGCGTTGGCGACGATTTGTGCGATCAAAGGTACGCCCCTGTTGGGATTGCTCGAAGCGTTGCGAGAGGCGCTGGTCGAGGCTCCGAGCGATGAGGCACCTCCGGTGGTGGTTGAACGTTGAGCGAACGAGTGAAGTCGACGCGGTCGCGCTGGTGGCCGTGGTGGTCACTTTGGCGGCCGCGGCAACACCCTTGAGGTCTTGTTGTTGAGCGGCCGTGAAGCTGCCCGTTATGGCTTTGAGGCTGGGAGTCGAGCGCAGGAGGCGTCCGGAGTCAGCCGCAAGCTCATGCTGACGGAGGGAGAGGGAGAGGAATAGATCTCACGTAAATCGAGACGAGAAGGACTGGAGAGCGGCGCCTTTGGCATCTTTGCCACTAATCGAGTCGAGCCGAATGAAGCTGTATTGATCAAGCTCGTTAGCGTGAAGATTATATACCCGAGCAGGCGGGGACAGATCGAACTGACTACTTGACCGTGAGCAAAGGGACCCGCGTCGGGTCTGCAAGTGTGCCCAAGTCTTGGACGAGAAGTTGGTTCGTCGAAAAACCGGTCCAGAGCTGTGCGCAGGTGACGCCAAGGGGAGCGGTCACGTGCGGAAGCGAAGGAGAAGAGAGTCAAGCGTCAGGGGGATCTCTCTGTAGAGTACCATTGCTGTGTGTCGGTAGCAAGAGATAGAAGAGAGGGTCGAAGGCAGATGCAAAGAGCGGCATTACTCACCCTTTTGGGTTGGCCGCACCGAAGCTTCAACCTCGGCCTTCATCGTCTGAACCTTTTCCTCAAGAAAATGTCCGGAACGATTCCTTGGACGTCGTACTTCAATTTTTTCTCGCGCGTTTGCTGAAAGTTGCCGTCGTATGCAAGCACGCAATCCAATGTGACGTCGTGAAAAGGTTGATCAAGCCATGTTGGCCCGAAACACGCGGGTCACTTGTTGAAATACGAATCGACGGTGCCTACGAGAAGGAGTCACCGCTGTCCTTCTCGCATGTTACGAGTGCGCGGTACTCCGAGTCGTCGATCTCGTTGCTTATGATGCGCGGAAGGCAGGCTTAAGCATGTGCTTCTTTTAACATGGCGGCGTCCAAATTCACCCAAGTATGTCCCGTATAGTGACCCCGACCCCACTCACAACGGGAGTAATACTCTTTGAGGCCGTCCGCATAGCCAGTGAGAGTGCGGGGGCTGACCTTCCAGCTCGCGTGGGCCTGCTCGACCAGTCGAAATGAGAAGGCGGCCATCGGCATTGGAGCGGTCGAAGAGTCATATGAACCCTAGTTGGGCCAAGGTTCGACGTCCGTAGCACACCGCGACTCGGAGGCACAGAAGGTGACCTGCAATTTGTAGACTGACGGTTTGGACTTGTATCTTCTCTTCGGCGGCATGGCGACGAAGAGTCAAGTGCAGTGCACGAGCCAGAGGACGAACGCGAGCCGTGGGGCCTGTACAGTCGATGGCGGCGCTACAATGAGCTGTAGCGGAAGCAACGAGCTGAGGCGGCAAGTCAAGTGGAAGGTCCCTCGTGCATGGCCACCTATGCGGGTCAAATTAAGCCAGCCAAAAAAACTAGTTCGCGCGCAACGCGTTAAGGCAGCTTTTTTGAAATTTGGCCCAGGAAAACGTTGGTACAGGCATGGTATACCATTCCCCCCGCCCCAGGGCCCGCGCCCGGAGGCAGAAGAGCGGCTAAGTAGTGCACTTGCTAACTCGCCTACGCTAATTGGCCCTTTGCCTCAGCACACACTGGCACCCCCGCCTTCAAGCTGCAACCCTCCCCCACCGCCTTGCACCCATCGGCATCGCTTCAAGCATGGACTCCCTGCGACACACACCGCCACTACCACAAGCAAATCCAGCGTCTCTTCCACCTTTTACTATGGGCAGGCATGCGGAGGGTACGATTTTGCTCATGCTATTCCGAGATCCAAACCCTCGCAGCTCATGGTCTTCTGCCGACATCCTCATCCTCAATCCGAAAAAGAAACGGCATCACCGCATTCACTTTTCGCACGATCGAATTTCTTGACACTTACTGGGGGGTTGATCCTTATGGCGTCTATGGCATGTCCGAAGCGCTCATTCTCTTCTGGTCCTCGGAATTAGCTCCAGATGATCCTTTGAACAAGGTGGGCTTTGGAACACGCTGGAAGCATCTCTCAAGGCTGAACATAATTTCGAATACTTTGCAGAGTCCAACCGTTCGCCAGCATCTCCAAGCCGCGATGGATGAATTCCGATTCATGCAACAGCTGCAAACAGATATGACTGCCGGGCTTCTCAGCCTCTCCCCGCGAGAGCGCCTAGCCGATGTCTGCCCGGCATGTTTTGGGCCTCGGAATGACGAAGCTGGCAAGAGCGGAGATGATCTGGATGTCATCATTGCTCTCGACGGCAATTTTCAGCATCGACGATTCGCGCGGGCGAGCGCTAATCCTCTCAAGTCCCGACCAGCGGTATTTCTGGCACCAGACAAGATTCGAAACGAGCAAGCTGTCATCGATGAATCAAATCAAACGGGCGGAAAGGTATCTTAGCGCTGCTGATTCCTGAGTGACAATCGCGATGGCCCTGGATGTCCATGGCAGCTAAGCAGGCTATCCTTGTCTCTGTACAGGATGAATGTACGAGTAACTGGAAGGCTGCAGACGGTGGCGTGGCCGCCGGTTCGTCTAATGCAGTGGCCGACACAGGCCTTGTAGCTGCCGTATGCCGTCATGATCACTGCTTGCGACTTTGCAACCTCTATCAATCAGGTGAAAAGTATGTTTTGATCGATCGCCTAGACGCTCGGGCCAGGAGACTAATGCGCATAATTTGTTCTCCACAGACTAGTGTATCCCGTGTCGTTGTTGAAGTGGATTATCGAAGAAGTGGAGGTCGGAGAAACAAATCGTCCCGAGGGGTCCGCGCACGCCAGAGTTGGCTCAAATGTCGAAGTCAGCCCCGACTCGGGCTCCCACTGCAGCTCGATTCACGCACTCAGTCGCGTCGGGGTCGCGTATGACATTGCCTGCAACTTATTGTCGCACCTACGGCGTGTGAGTCTGTGATGAAGATAGTCATGACCAAAACTCGATGGACTGCTGAGCAGCGCATCTGGTCTGGCAAGCGCAGCGCGATCTTTTAGCAGACCACCTTCCGCGCCTCGCATTTGCTCTCTCCTCGCTGCACGCCTACGCACACCAGTGGTCTTGCCAGGTTGAATTTGATCCGCGCTTTCTACCTATCTTCGGCCTGACTGATGGAGAGGGAACTGAGCGCTTATGGTCGCAGCTCCGAGGCCTGATACCCATGAATCGATCATCAAGTGCCTCCCATAGGCAGGAGAATATCAGTCGCCGCGTATCTGCATATAACAAGCAGCATCTAGCCGATCTTGGTAGGGCTGCGTTACCATGCTTGCATGCACTACGTTACCACATCGCTAACATCAGGATCGATCATGCACAGTGACCAAACTCAAATCGAAATTTGAAAATGCGACCCAGCTCCTAGCCCAAGCAAACAGAGACATTGCTGAGGTTGTTGGCCGCTCTGAATGGACCGTCGCTACCCTGCTTGAGCAATGGGAAGCGCAACGTGCCGCGTCCAAGAATTTCCCGCTGAAAGAGCATCGCAAGGAAGCAGCCGAGATGCGCAACATCCTGTTCAAAATTGAGGTTGTCAACAGGGACATTGGAGTGTGCCGGTAAGTTTGAGCTATCGCGACCGTCCTCACGTATCGGTGATTCTGACACCGATTTTGGCTCTGGCCTCGATTGTCCGTTTGCTACAGAGAATCACTAGCCTGCGCAAATGTCACAGACACCGAGGAGCTGATACAGCAGTCGACTAGACTTCAACAACTCGTCAAACAGCGACAGGGTCTCGATCATCGACTTAACTCGCTACGTACATCGGAAATGAAGCTCAGTGTCCTGGAACCTGGTATGTTGTCCCCTTGTTCTCTCCCCTCCCCTTTTCGACACAATTCATCATGGTCCTACCTGGATCCGGATACGTCCTCGTCTGATTGCACAGATTACGAATGTGTCTGCTCTTTGATGATCGCATCCCGCTCGCTGTGGGATTTGGTCGTACAGTACCGAAAGGGAGCCGATAGGCTGAGGCTCCCGCGACAAGGCGGTAAAGCCCTCGGTAAGGCAAATCGTGGCACACGTTGCGCCTCCGAGAGGAATGCTGACATGTCAGTAACATCTGCGCATAGGTACAAAAGCGGCCGGCCTACTGGTGAAAAATCTGAACTCGCTGCGCCCAAAGCTTATGAAGGCTGTGGCGATGTACAATAATGAGGCGAAGAAGTATGCTGGTCTCCTCGCCGATTCCCAACGTTTCCATCCAATCTTGAGTACTCGAAGCGCACCGCCATCAGCTCCAGAGGATCTCAATTAATTGCTCAAACTCGACATATTGGCGCCCCTCTGGAACCATGGATTATTCAGTCATCCGACCGAGCCGTGGGTCTACGATGAAGATGTTCGAGTTGGTATCCCCGCGGTCCTGTCTCGCGCGAGATGCGAGCAAGAGATCAAGCGACTTGGATGGGAAGTGCGTCGCATCGGCCCGTAGCTGATCAGCCGTCGTAGGAAATTGCAACAAGCACGCCAGCGATTGCACCAACAAAACGAAGTCGATGACTATGCGATAACAATACTTGAGCAAGAGGAAGAGCATATCAAAACTACGGCGCGCCGATGGTTCTCGAGAGGTGGCCTCGATTACCTGTGGCAGCGCACCCAAGACACGGGCGAACTGCAGATGGACGGGTGGGTGGAGCTTCGGGTTTGGTGTACCGACGACGCTGAACTTTTCCAGCGAACTACAGCGGATGACTTGCCGGATTTGACCTCGTTTGCCGGCAGCCCTGGTAACAGAATTAACGAGACGGACGACAACACGGACGAAGAAGTTGACTTTGGCATAAGTGATCATTCTAGCGACGATTTGAGTCACCACTCTATCGACGCCACAGATTACGGTGCATTTAGGCCTGGGGAGTGGGACTTCAATGCGGAAAATAATGACAGTGATGACGAAACTTGGTGAACTCTCTAGTAGTGGCTGTCTGGAATCGAAGGCTCTTGTTCCAGTGCCTCAGACCAATTGGATGATGTGAGCGCTCGCGTGCTTTTACCTTTGTTTTGCCTAGTGTCTCTTCATGTCATACGAAATCGCCCTTCACCAGGAAGTGCAGGGAAGTCAAGGTAGCAACCATGCAACCGAGAGGCAACCAGCGCTGGCAGGGGTTGGCCACCGCTCAAATGCGCTCTGGCACGCTCAGAAGTGGTGGCGGGGGGAGATCTACCAGGTCAATCAGAGATCCAGGAAAGACGCTCTCTGCTGTTGGTGATAAAATAAGCGCGGATTCTTCTTGGCTGCGTAGTGCGCTTTCCGATTTCCGCCATAGCGTTCGGTGTACAGGGCGTGCGCAGTCAGGCCAGTCAGATGCCTGAAGTCCGTGCCGTGTCTTTGCTCATACTTCCTGAGATCTCAGCAGAGATCACATTTCTATTTCTCATAATCCATCAAACCCCACGCAAATTTTACTGTGTACTTGAACGACGGCTAGATTGGACCCATACCCAATTTGTTTTCTCGTCCTTTTCAATGGGGTTGTCTTGGCCGCTTTAAGCCACGCAGCCACTAAGACCGTTGAATGTTTGCCGCGACACTGAACTCTCAACATTTTAGGGACAAGACGACGCTCTCAATACCGCTGACGGAATGTTCGTGTACTATTATTTGATGAGGATGACAATTTTGACCTTACGCCCATAATCTCTTTCCGTGTGCTGAGAAACAGGTGACATTGATCCCAATCACACCTGCGCTGTTGTGCAGACCGGATCTGTTGCGTCCTCGCGCCGGTACACGTATCACAACATTGTAAACGCAGAGCTCGGAGTTAGCTATGGACGGACCAGTTGTATATATACTCCTGAACGAACATCATTGAGTCAGGATCACGTTGCTATTATTCGTGCTCTACCATTGCTCCTCGCATCAGGGTGCACGGGTGGCCTGCGAGCTATTGCTGGCCTCCGGCTGTTTCTACTGTCGACCAACGCAGCCTTCTGCAGATGACTGGTGATAACTCAATCGGTGTCCACTCGGTTCTGTATGCTTTGAGTCTTCTATGTAAAAACGAGGGTCAGCACGAGATCGTATTGGAGTGACACTGAAAGTACTGAATATTCGAGTCGGAGTACCCGGCGTGGGGAGTATCCACCGGTGGTCAACCTTACGATCGAAACCGTCTTGCTCAATCGGCATTCCAAATGGCGGACGTATTAGCGAAAGTCGAACCTGAAAATTGCCAGTCGCCCTAGGTATTGCATTTCCCACCACGTCGCCCACAGCTCTCTACTGCAGTGTTCGATTCTGCGTTGGATGCGCAGATGATGCTTGAGGTTCAAGCTAAAAGTCCCACGCATTGTGAAAAGTGAGGTTTTGCCGTAGTCACATTGCACTTCAGAAAAGAGGACAAAATAAGGTGATGGGGTAATGAAGAGCTATACATCCAAGTCCTGAGACAATATACCGGAAATGTCACCGGTGTGGTCCCCCTGTGTGCTTTCGAGATGCGGCGCAATCCCAGCGATGAGGTTGTGTTTAGACAAGGTGTAGGACCGCTATCAATGGAAGATTGCGGAGGAACAAGAAAAGGAACTGGAACAAGAGGCAGGACAATCATCGCCCTGATCCGACTCATTTTGAGGAGTACTTTGTCACCCAAAGTTGACGCGGTGCTTGTGCAACTCACGCCCTCGGTGCCGGCCTCACATTGAAGCTGCATTGTTGTGTTGTGGCCGATGCGGTGACTCGAGGGTCCTCGCACGGTGATGGTTTTAAGCAAAGAAGTTGTACAGGATGTCCACAGAAGGAGCTAGAAGGACGGCTGTAGACGAGAGGAAGTTCGAAGGCTTGCAGTGCTTGGCTGGATCCCGGTGCACGAAGCAGACAGGACAGGGGTAGATGAGTCGAGGCTCGACTGCTTTTGAGGACGGTCCAAGAAGGGGAGCCTGAGTCTAGGAAGATCTTGAGCATGCACACGGTAATCAAGACAGGATCTTACAGAACGAGCATCGATTCTAATGAGCACATCACTTTCAATCGTGTCTGAACATGCGGTGATTTCACACTCAAGAAGGCAAGAAGGCAGACGAGAAGATGTATGCCGGTTAGACAGCTTGCTGAAGTTGCAGTTGCCCAGCTACAAACACGTCAAGAGGTGCAGATACGTAACAGCGCAACAGGCAGGTATTGACCGTCTTGAAAACGTCTTAAAAATAGGCAAATGAGCATAATATTACAAATTACAACATATACGCAACTGCTTTGAATCTATCATCCCCGAAGCCTGGGTTCAGGGGTCGTCGTCATCAGAGTCACCTTCGCTTTCCTCTGTGTTTGGGCTCAGAGGTCCTCCTTCACCCGTCGAGGCATTGCCGCTTGCCCCTGGTTTATCGTTCCGGTCCAGCGAAGGTACAACAGCGATGCGGCCGTGACGTAGGTCGTCAATGATAGCCTTGAGCTGAGCAACATTCAACTTAGGCGAGGTATCCGCACTATGGTGCAGAGCCATTTCATATCCACTCTTCGTTCCATCCTTGATCTGCACTTTAACACCTAGTGCCTTCAAGCCTTGAATCGACCACACCATTTTCTTTTGAGGCGTAAATTCGCCTGGCGATGAGCTCTCGTCGGAATGGCGATGCATTGTCGCAAGAGCAGAATCTATAAAGGCGGGGGAAGATTCAGCTAGAAGTCAACCCTTACCAGGTGGGAGCTACTTACTTAGCTGGGCGCGGAATAGAGTGCCGTGCCATTTGGCGAGAACGTCGCGCGTGACACTGTCCATTGAACGGGTGTTTGCTGACAGGACAGGACAACGGAATATCAGTGAAAGTTGGCACCGCAATTACAGACGCAGACAAATGGGGAACTCACCCTCCTTCAATTCTGAGGCTTCATTCGCTGTGAGTGTCTCATCCCAGCTCGTCTTGGAAGCGAAATTAGACAACAACGAGTTACCCTGCGGATCTTTGAAATAGTTGTGGTGGGCCGCAAAACTCCCACCGCCTAGCGAGTAAATCATCGCTTTTGTCGTTGGCGACATGTCGTCTTGAAATCGAGGAACGACAAAGGTTAGGGTTTCGACACCGTACATTTTCGACATGCGATCCGCCTCCTCCCGTAGATGCGCGATATATTTTTGGCACTCTTTCATCCGAGTTGGGGAAGGAATGTCGGAGGCTGACGGCATGATGATAGTCGGCGGTACAATTGAAGTAGAAGTCGTACTGGTACCCGCTTGTGCGGCCGCAAAGGCCGCGCGGACGAGCTCTTGGTCGTCCTCCGTAAGACCAGCAGATCCGAAATCTCCCTTGCCAGTAAGGTATCTCCAGAGTTGAGCTGCACGTTTGGTAATGCGGCGAGCCTTCGAGGGGTTGGTGTCTGACAAGGTGATGATCACAACAAGGGAACAACATTATAGACATGAAATAAGCCTGGGTAATGCGATGATGCGGCAGGGAGGCACGATGGCTATGAGCAGGAGCACTCAGTATAAACTCACCCTTGCTTTGTCGCCGAAGGCATTCGATTACAACAGGGTTCGAAAGGAACCTGGACCAGGCATTACCCTTCGAGGCGGCCTTGTTGATCCTCTTTACGGCTTCAACGAGCCTGGCATGAGAGATGCCGAGCACCGAGGATATTCTCAGTTCTGAGTAATATCGCTTGGCGACCCATTGCTTGAGCGCTCTCCACTTTCTTGGGCTCATACGACCGGTCGCGTTTCGATGCGAACTATGGATGGCCGCCCAGAGCTTAATAGCTCTTCGATGGTCAATGTCGGCATCACCATCCTCCCTCTCGCTGTCATCGGCCGAGGATTGATTGGAATCGGAAGAGGACGACGCGTCAGAGTTGGTGTCGTCAGAGTCGGCGTCGGATGAAGGAGCTTGGGGCAAGGGCATGCGCTTAGGCGAGAAGGGACAGCCAAACTCGTCGAGCGTCTTCATTAGCAAGTACGCTTCCTCGACTTTGTAGGCGAGAAGGTTCATCCGGAACCGTACTTGCTAATGAAGACGCTCGACGAGTTTGGCTGTCCCTTCGATCTGTAAGAGGCATGCCAGAGGCACGAAAGGACCGAGTAGGGGAACGAGGTCGATCAGTATCACTCTGCTCTCAGCCCTGCCAAGACGAAACTTAGTTGACACATCAAAATAAGCCATTCACTTACCCTGATCACCCGAATGAGCGCGAGGGTGGTACTGATATGTGGGTTTTGGGTGTGCGTCGACGCGTCGACGCGTCGATGTGCTTGGGCCAAGGTCAACCAACGTACGGGAGCGAGCCGTGAGCTCGAGTGACCAGCCCGCTTTTAGCCCGCTTTTTAGGCCCCATCCTATTTCACCATTCAAGACCCGGTAGAGCCCAATATGACTCGGCTAAAGGAAATTCCCCATCTTCGAGATCCGAAGCTCTAGTGAGTGAACAAAAGCAGAAAATTAGGGAGGGGGCGGGGGCGGGGGCGGGGGGCAAAAGGTCAATACAGCAACTGTCTTACCTATGTAGATCACTTGGTAGTATCCTCCATCTTGTCCGCTGGCGGTATTGAGTATAACAAGCTATATCATATTTCAGCTCCGAATTCGACTCTTGGAAATATTGGTATAGGAAGATTGGTATTGTCTATAAGAATAACTCTAACACCGATTAGCTAATAAGCTTTCATTTCACGGCTGATGGGACGCCCAGAGAGGTGCACCGTGCCGGGGTGGGCGAGGAGGGGGGAGCAATGGTACACCATCCCTCTACCAAGCTCCTCCCGGGCCAAAAAACAGAAAAGCTGCCTTATCGCGCGTGCGCGCACGAGTTTTTTTGGCTGGCTTAATGGACCTGCCGATCTGTGCATGGCCAGCTGCAGCCAACCCGTGTGCTCAGACCCTTCGATCTCGGGGACCGAAATCCCGCGCGACCGCTTCGGACTCGTGACATTGACGACATCCAAAAGATGCGAGAAAAAAATGAAGGAAGTAATGCATCACACAGAATCGACTCGAAGCAAGGAATTGGGCGGAAACCTGGGCCTAATCTGCTACCTGCGGTAGCAAGGTTGCAACCCGCCGGGGTTAAGTTGTGGCTTGGAAGGCGGGTGGGAGGGCGCTGCGCGCACGCCTGTTGAGGCGTACTTTTTATGTCCGGCCGAGGAAATGCACCGCCAACAATCGGACGCGAGCCACGTGCTCGAAAGTGGGCATTTTTATCCTTTTTGTCTTTTTTTTCTTCCTTCCGCGGGGCGATTCTCGGCTCCCCGAAGGCGCCTCATGATTCAACTTCTCGCTTCCCCCAAATACCAATCTTCCACGCTACACTCAAGTAACATGGATTGGGAAGGTATCGCGACGATTGCATACTTCAACGCACTCTGGGGATTTATGGGTTATCTGTACACCACCCTGGAGATCCAGGAATTCTTGATGTGTTTTCTCGAGGGGATGTTTTTCTCGCTGGCTGTCGCGGTGTTGGTGGGCCTATATCGTCTCAACCATGCACCGACCTCGAGGACCGCCCACACAAGACTCAAGTGAGTTCGATGAGCTTCTGCACTTGTCCACTAGGTACCCACCTACCTACGGGTCTTGGTTAAACTTGGCTGACCCCCTGCAATCGTCGATTTTGCATATCTAAAGCCGGCGATTGCTCCGACTGTGGGCACCTGCCACTGTTTGCTGCTCAGCCGGCACCCACGTCGTGCTCATCTGGCGCAAGTGCTCGCCCCTCCTCCACCCCGATGTGCGAAAGGCGGTGTCCGGTAGCACGGGTAACCTCGTGCTTGTCTTCGCCGTGCTTACCATCTCCAGCGCATGTGTGAGCGCGATCGTGCTCGCAATTATCTCATTTGTAGGCCATCTTTCCAATAAGTCCCTGTCCTGGGCTCAGGTCGCAAACGCGGACGATTGGGCCGTCACCTTGTTTGAGCCTTTGGAGATCAAATCGGTGTCAGTTTTCAGGCCGGCCTGGGACGTTTGGACGTTTGCGACCACAGCGCTGGCATTCTTTCTAGGCCCTTGGCTTGCATTGAGGGCGGGGAATGCCTTCGGCCTGATTCCTGCATCCCCCAATCTCGACCAAATGTTACAGCTGGTCAACCGCATGCCTAACGTACCTAACGCGCCTGACGAAAGAGACGCGTCTCGGCCTCCGGACAACACGTTCCCGCCGCCGCCAGCTTCCACTTCAAGCGCCTCGCCGCCTCGTGCAAGCTCAAGCAAACGCCAACTCGAAGATAACGATGTTCCTTGTCTGAGCTTGCAAAACAACGTAAAGGAGAAAGAGAAAGAGAGGAAGGAGGGGAACCGAGGGAAGGGCAACGGCAAGGGGAAGGGTAAGGCTACTAGGGATTAGGCCGGGGAGGGCTGGGCGGCAGTGCCTGCATGCACTTGATCCGGGACAGGTTGACGAGGGTGGAGGTGAGACGGCTGTGACGGGCAGGAAGGGGGATAAGGAGAGTCGAAGGCGGCCGGAGTTGATGGGAGTGCAGTTGCATGAGGGTTCTGTGTCTGAGATTTTTTTGCTTCTAGTTGCATCCTCCATCGCATTTGCCATCGTGTTTGTAGGCACAAAAACTATCATTATATTGCAACGCTGCACCTGTTGATATTGTAGGTATCAAGGTTGGGCTAGGCCACTCATTTGGCGTCAGCATCTAGCCGATACTGTGGGTACGCGGGCGCTTGGTCGCTCGTCGAGCGTCCGACTCATGTCGGCCAAGTAATACGACGAACAGTCTCCGACTGAACGACCCTTGTGCTGCTCTCTATTGATGGATATGAATAATAGATAATAACTGGCTTGGTTTAGGCTTGGGGGCGAATTCCCTCACGACACGGCCCCGCCGCGAAGAAACCGGCGGGGCAGCGCAAGCAAGGGGAGGCAACCCGGGGAGGCGGGCGGGAAAGCAAAAAATTCTGAAGTTTCGAGCGAGCAACAGGCGATGTTGCGAGCGAGACTATTTGGTTCTAGCAAGAGGGAGTGAGTCATACCGCACTCGCCTTTCGACTCGCTCGGCGCGCCCGTTGGTCGCCTTGGGCAACCGGCCAATCCGAGGCCTCTTCTCATACCCGAGTCTGGGCGTACGTCTCGACCTCTTGCTTCCCCAAATACCTACCTCACGCCCAAGTAACATGGATTGGGAAGGTCTCGCAACGATCACGTACTTCAATGCGCTCTGGGGCTTCATGGGCTATCTGTACACCACCCTGGAGATCCAGGAATTCTTGTTATGCTTCTTCGCTGGCATGCTTCTCTGGCTGGCCGTCGCCAAGTTGGTGGGCCTTTACCACCTCGACCACGCACCGACCTCGAGGACCGCCCACACAAGACTCAAGTGAGTTTGATGAGCGTCTGCACTTTCCACTAGTCACCTACCTACCTACGGGTCTTGGTTAAACTTGGCTGACCCCCAGCAATCGTCGATTTTGCATATCCAAAGCCGGCGATTGCTCCGACTGTGGGCACCTGCCACTGTTTGCTGCTCAGCCGGCACCCACGTCGTGCTCATCTGGCGCAAGTGCTCGCCCCTCCTCCACCCCGATGTGCGAAAGGCGGTTTCCAGTAGCACGGGTAACCTCGTGCTTGTCTTCGCCGTGCTCGTCATATCAAGCGCATGCGTGAGCGTTGTCGTGCTTCCAATTTTCTCGTTCTTCGGCCATCTTTTCATTACGTCCCTGTCCTGGGCTCACGTCGCAAATGATTGGGCAAACTACATGGTTGAACCTCTCGATCTCGAATCGGGACCGATCTTCAGGCCGACCTGGGACATATGGACCTTTGCGACCAAACAACTAGCCTTCTTTTCAGGCCCCTGGTATAAAGGTCCTCGCGGCGAGATAATTCTGACTGGCTACTAGACTTTCGGGAACGAGGTGCGAGCAACTTCTCGAGGGAGGATCAGGATCAGGTCAGGACTGCGAAGCGACTGAAGCAGGACTTGAACTGTAGGGGTTCTCGAGAAGGGCAGGGAGTGTAAATGCAAGGCGTAAAGACTGTGTTCTAAAGGAGTGCGGTGTATTTTACCTGTACTAGGGCTCGGGGGCGCTGTGCCCCCACCTTCCTGCGTGATTCGACGTCGCTGCGAGCTCCGTCCGCACCTCCCGGACCGTGGGAGCTGGCACTCGCTGGGCTCGTTCATATGGTAATTGTTGGCGATCGTCCTTGCATCCCCTAAGTAGCAGAGACGCACTTTTTTGTGTCTGGGTCAATCTGCAGCCTCTTACACATGGGGTTTCATCGGGCTCAAGCGGGATCGGAATCTCTTGCCGCCGGTCGATGGCTTTCGATGTGGCGACTGCTCGAGGCGACGGAACAGAGGCAGTAGTGACACTTTGGGCTGGTCGGGAGATTCAATGGGCTTGGCACCATCCTCTTCTCAATTTCCTGCCGCATAGAAGCGTATGCTGCCCCCTCTTTTGTCCCGCATCCACAGCTGATAATAGCAACCGGACTCAATACTACCATGATGGCATCGCCTCGAGAGCGGAATCCGACGTTCGAAGTGGCTCAGGAACCAGAGTTATGCAGTCTAATCCTTGTTAAAACAAAAGCTGGAACCCAATCTACTTGCACAATCTCGGAAAAAGACGACGCTTGGAGTACACGCGCCCTCGCCACCAGGGCATGCCGCACGCTGTGACAGTCTTCCGGCCGAGTTCGCCTCCCAACGTGATCCATTCCCCTTCCCGCTCGGGTCTTCGAGCCCTCGCAATACTTTTCTCGATGAATTCGGGCATACCCAACAAGTCACTCGAAAGAGGAGGAGGTAAAGAGATTCTTGTGTCGACAGTGTTGTCGAACCCAGAGCTAGAATCTGCTCGGAGCCCGAAATGAATGCCTCGTGCTGGCAGGGAGAGTCGAAGGGCTGGTTCAGCATTTAACGACGGCACTACCTTATGCAGCACGAGGGGACCCACTGCGTAAGTAATTGATCTCCTCTGTTGTGAGGTGCCCCGGCGTCGTATATGGACGGCCCTCGTTTAGAAAAAACATTACGCGATGGGGCTGGAATGTTGGAAGGCCTTCGTAGTATGGCACGAGGCGTTGGTTGAGGTCGTCGGCTTCCTGCAGCGGGGGGCTGAGGTCGGGATGTAGGGCGTTGAAGCTTTGGATAAAATCTTGACGCATAAGATGCATCCCTACAATGCACATGAACATGACTACGCTCAACTCAGTCCAGGTTGACGGAAACGGGGGAGCATTCTGGGGTACGCACGGAAGCCCGTGTCCGTGATGAGCCGCCAGCTGTCGTTCTGAGACGCCTGCCAGGCTCTGCAAAGTTGCGCCCATTGCTTGCGAACGCGTTCCGACAAGAGATTAACACTGAAATCCCGCTTCCACTCATTTACGTGCTCACGCACGCGCTGCTCAACCGCCTGCAGGTACGAGTCGAGCTCGAGCCACGTCGACTGCCCCACGGCGTGCCAGATGACTTCGCTCTCGTAGTGATGCCAGACCTTTCCTTGCGTGTAAGAATCTATGTAGAAGTTGGCAATGTCCACGGGTAGGAGCGGCTCCTCGCGCTTGTCGAGAAGGACCATCAGCGGGATGCCCATGCCTTGCTTGTCGACCGTCACGAACGTGCGATGGATGTCTGACTCGTCGGCGGGTTTTCACGTGACAAGACTGGCTAATGTTTCGTAGAATTGTGGTGCGTCGTAGAGACTGAAGATGGAAAGCGAGGAGATCAGGAGGGACCGAGCGTCGTGAAGTGTGGCACTGATGTGGCGAAGTGTGGCGGGCCGATTGCGCCAGGACCCCCGAAAGCCCAGCCATAGGCGGCCCTCTAAAAACGGCCTTTTTCGAGGCAAAATGTCCACCATTTTTCCCGGATTCTGACTAAAAATGTCCAATATGAGGGCCGCCTAGTGTTGAATATTTTCCTCAAAACTACTCTACGAGCTGTACAATGCTCAGAAATTTTTCTGCACTACGCGCACCAAGAGGCCAAGCTGCCAAGCTGCCAAGAACGCCGCCAGCGCGACCGCCAACGATCCTCTTCAAATAGAAACAGAAATGGACTCGAATAGGATCACATCGTTGTTTATCATTCAAAATGACACTATAATCTACTACATAAAAGAATGCACCCCAAAATAAGGTTCTCAGCCGTGCGCTATATCCTAATACCTAGAAATCTCTGGAAAGTCATGCAGTTAAGCACACTGGCTAGGCCAGTAGTGTAGGACTCATTGACCCTGAGTTAGAATCAATCATGCCCGCCAAATCCCCCTTGGGTGATTTACCGAGACACGAGGCGAGCCTTGGACTTCTGAATTGACGCCCGAGCTCTTCGAGTGCCATTTCGGTGATCGGTTCCAAAGGATCCGACGAGAATCGGCGCCGGCGAACCCTGTGAATCTATCGACCGACTAGGAAAAGTAAGATATTTCTCGACCAGAGAACTTCCAGATCGAAAGGAAGAAGAGGAGATGTAGCTCGACAAGTCGGCGTCCCGAGCGAGAGACGATCAAAAAATACATAAACGATCGCAAATGTAAGGGGCTCATAAGAACAGCCCCATACGTAGCTTCTGAGTAGCTAGAACTATCGATTTCTAGTTACGACTTGCTTTTAGCCTAGCGGTCAAGACCCCAGAACGACAGATTGTATTGTATGCCCATCAGAGGCGCATACCTTACAGCAAAAGCAGACACTAATAACGCGCTCCGAAAGCAAACAGCGCGCCGCTGGGCCGGCTATATGCCCTGCGCCTGCCAGGTCAGATCGAAGCGGTCTGTTCTTGTCGGCTCTGTAGAATAGAAGAAGTGTCTCGCGATTATGAATACTACCAAAACCGCGCAATCAACCTGAGAGACACGACAAAATTCGTATTCGGGCTGTAGCTCGATTCCTATGATCCAGAAAATGCAGAAATGTTCGTACATGACGTCTGTTCGGGGCGAGGACACCACGAAAAGCTGCGCAGACTCAACAGTATTCTGGTACATTCAACACAGGGCCGGAATACAGCCAAAAACAGCTATTGTAGGTACATCGCTTTGGGATCTCGTGGGCTCGATTAGCTGAGATCGATTGGCTCGACTTCATGTTCGCGCGCGCCAGCGCTCCTTTCCCTCTCCCCATTCACTCGCACCACTCGCACCACCGGACTCGACTCGGACTCGGCAATGATCGCACCACGCCACAACTCGACGTCGCATGCTTTCACATTGCCCACATGCGCCATGCAATCTGTAAGATGCAACTCGATCTCTCTCGACTTCGGCACAACGTGTCACTTCAACCCGATTGATTCGGACACGGTGCGACGTCGCACAACACGGTAAACGATATCTCCATCATCAACCCCGTACAGCTGAAACTACACCCTGAGAGGGTGTCGTCCCTTTCAGCAGCGTCCAAGCTTGTCGATGCATCGCTCGAGCGTACTCGGTCGGACACGTACTCGGTCACCGCAACGCCTCGATCACCCCGATCGCCCGCAAGCTACTCGACCAATGACTATGGTGAGTACTTCACTCAGACAGCATTCAGCGGGAACTTCAATCGATCACCTCATGTTTGTCTTTGCTGCTCATCAGATCGCGCGTGGGCCGACTCGCGATCATCCGAGCTTCGCACCAAACGGCTCTGTGACCTGTACAACCATGCTCGCGACGCCAGTGCAAGTTCCTCGCCAGCACCATCGAGGAGATAATTACTTTCCTCAGGTCTCGAATCGATGCACATGTCGCTCGGCCCACATCGGCCCACCCCCAAACACCACTTTCGGCCAGTGACGATCACCTCCCCCACCCCCACCTCGTTCACCTGCGTCGTCACCGTCAACCAATCACACGAATGCAATCCCTCACGTCTCTTTCTTGATCAACTCAACAGGTATCATCGACGCGGCAAGCTCGGGAAACATCTCACGACTCGGACTCGACTGATGTCGTCGACGTCCAGACCGATACCTTCGTCGGCTCAAGCACTTGCATCCCGTCTCGACCCCGCCGCGATTCACTCCACTTCCTCGCGACATCATCCTCCTCGTCGAGTCATCCACCCAAAATCACAGACCGTCTATGTCCCGACTCGTTGTTGCAAACATCTCGACCGTCCTTGCACACTGGCTTTCAATCTCGTCGATCACTCCGACCGATCAACTTCCCAGCAAAACTCTCGAGACGTTCCGCGGCACACTCCTCATTGCTTTGCCACTCACTTGAACTCCATCCTACGTCGCGCATGTTGACACATAAAGCCCCTAGTCGAGCTTCTCCGGAGCACTCGCCGCTCGATTTCGGCCTCGGACCGTGACCGTCCTTCGCATTCTCAATCCAACTCGGCAACTCGCTCGACTAGCTTTATTCGTGCGATCACTATCCCACCTCTGCAAGATGCACGTTCGTACCCGTCTCAGCAGCCCTGATCATGCGGTCATGGACTGCGATCAGCATCGCATGGTGCTCTATCTCCTCGCGCTCCGCTTTGCTTCTTGCACTCACCTTGCTTGGTAGCGACGAACTCCTTTGGCAGTCACAAAGCGAGCAAACGTCCGGAAGGTCAGTGAGTGCCTTTGACCCGAAGGCTTTCCCTTCCTCCACACCGCGTGTTGCCAGTATGTGCACTCTTGCTTATGTTTCTCTCTTCTTTCGCTCCACCAGGTCTAAGAATCTGGCCTGCGCTTATCTCGACTTCCGATTCGTTCGAAACCATTTCTAGCTTCCATGGATGGACCTCGATCCCCTCTCAATCGGCCCTGACGAAACTCAACTCGGTGCGATTCGACGATGGTGCAAGCTCGTATCTTTGCCGCTGCTGCCTCGGCCACCCAAGACTCGACATTCGCCGATCCTCGTACCACTCGACTCGACTCGAGTTTCTTTCACTGCACGAAGGCACGACGACGCAACGCTTTGCCGTCATGGTGAGGCGTCACTTGCTCGGTACATGCGGCTCGACCTTACTCGAACCGGCACTTGATGTGTCATCCGGAACTGGCTAAGGCAAGCGGAACCCATTCAGCAACTGCAACACCCTCACCATCATAAATCGGAACGACTACCTCGAAGGTATCTACATATACGTCCGGGCTATGTCGATTGCTCACTTGAGCCTTCGCGACCGAAATTGCTTGACCTCGGACTACTCGCTCAGACCGCCCACCGTGAGCTGTTTCAATCTTAGATCTCACTTGCGACTTGCACTCCTTGCTGATGAGACCAAGATATGCCGTGTCACCGCGTACTGCAGATTGTTGGTCACGGAAGACCTGGAATGGGAGCGCTCCCTCGAATGGAACTTCGCACCGACTCGCTCACACGCTCGCACGGCCCACCTCCGACTTCGTGCATTACCATCTTTCGGTTTCTCTTGCGACAAGGTCCCAGCATGCAGACTAGTTTCGGCCTCCTTGTCACGGAGCTCCGCCGGAGATCCTAGCTCGCCCAGCAGTTTTGGACACGCTGCGTGCGAATTGCTCCATCGCCCGCTCTCGTCATTCAGCTCGCCAAGGCAACACAGACCGTCTACGTTTCATCCCATGGCACCCCAACATCCCACATTCCCGCTCGTCTCCTTGCTGTTCAAGTTGACCGGACTTGCACGCTGGGTTCCAACCTCGTCGATCGCACCGACCAATCGACTCGCTGGCAACGCTCTCAAGATTCCCATGGAACGCCTCCTCATCAGTCCACATCTTACTCGAACACCGTCCTACGTTGCGCACGTTGATCCGTACGGCCAGGACTTGGGCTTCTTCGGGCCACTCGGCGCTCGAATTCGGTGACGATTCTTCGCACTCTCAGTCGACCTCGGCGATTCGCTCGGCTAGCTGGATATGTACGATCACGATCCCACCTCTGCGACATGCACGTTCGTACAGACTCTGGACATTTGGTCGTGGACAGCGCTCAGCGACGCACAGTGCTCCATCCTGTCTCGCCTCGCTTGTTCATCATTCACCTCGCATGTGTCGACGACGTCATTTGGCAGTCACTAAGCGCTCAAATGTCCGCAAGGTCAGTGCATGCCTTCAACCTGAAATGCTTTCCTTTTTCCACACCTCGTGTTGCAAGTGTGTGCACTATCGCTCATGTTTGACGGTTAAATCGCTCCACCAGGCCTTGGTTTTCCGATCGCGCTCACCTCGACTCTTTGGACACTGAACTGCTCTCAACTGTTTCAGTCCGTCTCCCGGAGAATGGTCGTCGACTCTTTCCAATCGAGGTTGCAGGCCTTTTTGGCGGGTCTTGCTCTGCTCGACTTTGATCTCCTCTTAATCGGCCCCGACCTCAAAACCCAACCTGGGGCGAGAGATTCGAGGAGCGCAAGCTCTCAACTTTGCCGCCGGTGCCTCCACCACCCAAGACTCGATATTTGCCGATGTCCTGTGCGAGGTGGCTTCTCTAACCCTGCAGAGGGCCGAGCCAACCTAGGTCAAGTGTGAGGACGGTCACGTTCAAGATACGCAGCGCTCGAACGAGACCCCATCATCACCAACTATTGATGCGTATGCTCTTTCGCAACATGACCGACTCCCAAAGTCTGTTGATCTCTAGATGCGCCGAGAACTCGGTGGGCAACTGGGCAGGGTATTCGATGAGCTTAGCTCGGGGGGCGCGACGCGCCCATAACCCTGCGTAAATGCCGTAATTGAAACGTCGTTGCGAGCTCCGCCGCGGTGCACCGCCCGCACCGCCCGGACCTTGGGTGAAAAGAAAAGATCAGCGCGCGCGCGCGTCTGAGAACCTTATTTCAAGGGGGCGTTTTGTCGTGCAATCCATTGTATGCAGATGTATATAGATAGAAAGATAAGTTCCCAGCTCCCAGTTACAAAACCAAAGCTACAAAATGGCAAGTGATTGCTTTTCCAGTGCAATCTAAAGGCCCTCCGGCGAGAGGTCACGCCGAAGGCCGCTGAAATTAGGCTAAGATTGTGTCGAGATTTGCAAATGGTCCCAGAACCTCGACTTTCACAAAGGCGCCTCGACCAGATTCAGGATTCTGGGTCCTAAACCGGTCCAAATCGCGCACGCGCCTAGAAATGATTTCGGCCCAGCTGCAGAGTACTACAGCAGACTGCAGCGCGACAGAGCGCGACGGACTGCGATGGCGGAAGGCGACCTGCATCCCTTCCTTTGACCAGCCACTGCAGTACATCTTCGCGCTCCCCCCATCCACCATTCTTCGTCCTGAACCACAGAGCTCCAAGTGGATCGACACTCGAGTCTCAACAGACTGCACCAACAGTGAGTCAGAATGCCCTCCTACTGTTCGTTCCGCGTGGTCTGGCTGCTCAGTGTTGACCCAACATTGACCCATGGACTGGACCCGATGGCAATTGCAGTGCCTAGTCAGGACGCCCGGCGCTCGGGCCAAGCCGTCTCAGGCGAGGCGTCGTCGGGGAGACCAGCCGAAGTGACGCGCGCGGCAAGCCACTCTCGATCGGCCGCCACGCGCCCGCAAACGCTCGGAACGCGTTTTCGACGACTCTTGAGCAACTTCTGGAGCATGTAGAACAACTTTTGGTGATATTTTGAGGCGCATGTGTAAAAGCCGACATCTTTGGGCTAAAAGAGGGTGTAAAAATGCGACAAGCACTTCAATAAAGAGTGTTCTTCCACATGGTCCTCTGGCTGGCTTTCGGAGTCCTCGCGGGGGGAGTATACGGCGCTGATCACAACGACTACAAGAAGCTACCCTCTTGGTTATGAGCTGATATATCAAGTATTACAGAAGTCGAGAATCCCGAGGACAGATGTTTCTCACTCTCACAGCACTCGAATATAAAACCCTGGTCGATACGTGCGGTGCTAAATTGTGAGGTTGATGCAGTATTTTCATCGGGACCCGGCCGGCGTCCTCCGACTGAGATCACAAAGCCAAACTGACACCGCAGCACACATGATCTAGGCCGATCTGGTCCTTTCGAACGGGTCACTGCTGCAAGCCATATGCCTCGAATTCTGGCATATTTATTGTATCACTACGGTTGAGAGACTTAGAACACGATGACCACTGGGGTGAGGTCAATTTCCACTTCTGATCAGGAGTTGAAAGATCGCACAAGGACTCGGGGATCCTCTCGATCGCGCAAACTCGGCTCCTTTTGTTTTTTCGCTGGTCGATCGGATAGTGATCCTCCGACGCTCCGCAACGCACTGTCAAATTAAAAGATCTCCACGTTGGGGAAGAATTGATGTCGTACTTTGCAGTGTTAAAGCATACTTTCAGTCAGGATCGTCGGCCGGGTGAGGGATGCGGGTCGCACAGGTTCGACCAGGCTTAGCGTGAAAGCTGGAAACAATTTGGTGTCGGATCACGGCATGCGGCCCCAAGCAGCTCTCCTACACACGCAATTCAAGTGCTAGAGTCCGAAAGAGCCTATAGAAGAAGGCTAGGGATGCAACTACAAGGTTGAAGCCAACTCCGAATGGACCACGGCAGCATGTCATCAGCTCGGTCGGCGTGACTCGGAGCGGCGACTCGGAGGAGTACAATCGATCCAGTGACTCCGCAGAAATCACTGCAACGTGCTCAGGCGTCCAGTTTTTATTGCTTTCAGCAGTCAGTAGTCCAGTTCTCATGTTGGATTCAATACAAGAACACTCCGTTCAGGTCCTGCCCAGAAGCACCAAATCGGAGGCCGCAGGAAAACCCGGCAAGGATGGGTCAAGAAGATCAGATACGCACATATGAGCTCAAAGACCAAATGCCATTGCATCAAGGAGCACCGACTGACATATGTGTACGTCAGATATGTAGGGAAAGGAGGAACGTTGCTCGCAAAGAGTCAAGGTGGTCCTTCGTTCTCAATCTCGAGGAGAGCGGACAGGGCGTGGGTGGCCCAGAAGAGTTCGGATGGTTGGAGAAGCCTCCTCACACAACTCATCGGCGAATGTCAAGTCTTGGGTGGCGAAGGCAGCAGCGGCAAAGATGAGAGCCTGCATGCTCCTTGACGAGCGATGATCGGTCCCACCAAGTTGGGTTGAGGTCCGGGTCGATGGAGAGGAGATCAAAGTCGAGCAGACCAAGTCCCGCCGAAGAAGTCTGAATCCTCAATTGGAAGAGACGATGATCATTCATCCATGAGAGCCATAGCAAAAAACCCCCCCTGAAATGGGACGATCCCGGGATGATCCCGGGATTGGGCCCCGATTTGAAATGCATTTGAAATGGATACACCAATTTGAAATACATTTGAAATCGACGCGCCGATTTGAAATGCATTTGGGATCGGCGCACCGATTTGAAATGCATTTGGGATCGGCGCACCGATTTGAAACGCATTTGGGATCGATCCCGCGAGGATTTGAAACGCATTCGGGATCGGCGCGCCGATTTCAAATGCGTTTCAAATTGGTGTGTCCATTTCAAATGCATTTCAAATCGCTCCACCGATTTCAAATCGGGGCCCGGTCCCGGGATGATCCCGGGATCGTCCCATTTCAGGGGGGGTTTTTTGCTATGGCGAGAAACGGTTTAGAGCGAGTCGAAGTCTAAAGAGTCGATCTAAGCGCAGGCCGGAATCTAAGACCTGGTGGAGCAAATGAAAAGTCGTAGATAAGCAAGAGTGCACATACTTGCAACGCAAGGTGTGGAGGAAGATAAGGCCCTTAGGTTGAAGGCACGCACTGACCTTTCGGACACGTGCTCGCTTAGTAGATGCCAAACCGAGTTTGTCGACACCAAGCGAGGTGCAGTGAGTGCAAGAAGAAACGAAGCGAGAAGAGATGGAACACCGTGCGACGCTGAGCGCAGTCCACGACCAAATGACCAAGCTTACTGCCGCGTGTATGATCGTGCAACTCGCATATGTGGGATGCTGAACGCACGTATCAAGCTGGTCGAGCGAATCGCCGAGATCGATTGAGAGTGCGAATGATCGTCACGGTCCAACGCAGAAGGGTGTGGAGAAGCCCGAGTCGTGGCTGTATGATCCAGCGTGTGCACCGTAGGATCGAGTTCGAGTAAGATATGAAGCAATGAGGTGGTGTTGTGTGGCAAATCTCGAGAGGTCAATGAGATCAAAGACAAGATTTTGGTGCGGGGCTATTCATTTCGTTGGTTCAAGGCCACGCGTTTTGATACAGGGGACAGGACAATAAACTTGATACATTTCCAAAAACAACACTCCTATGAGCAAAACGTGAATGATGTAAGGGCCCTCCCAGATTACAACTTAGGCCAGAAACTCTGCACAGTCGAGCCGAATGAAGGCACCGCTGGCGCAGTCCTATTTCCAGCCTGGAATTATACTGGAACGGACGGAAAGTGACCTTGGGTATCTATTGCAATAATCGGATCTAAAAACGAGCAACTATATTTAAGCTCAGCGCAAAGGTGGTCACTTCAGAGCAAGGGAAGCAGCTGCTCAATGTCCGAGATGATGGACTCGTGCGACATCGCCTTGGATGGACCCCACAACTCCCCCAGCTTGGCATCTTCCGCAGCCAAATTGGAACCAAAAAACCGGCTGTCAAGGCCGCAATTGCATCTCAAGATGTCGACCAGTTGCTTGATGTTCGTCCATCGTTGTGCGCAGCCTCTCAAAAGGGTGTCATATCTGGTGTCCATGCGAAGCATATACTTGTGATCATAGACTCTTTGCGCAAATGGTTGGTTCCAGTCCTCCCAGATAATCTGACCCTCTGGCGTCATGACAAGCTCTTCATTGTTGCCCTGGTCAGGCTCGCGGAACGAAGATTCCATTATGACGTAAAAGAGCGACTCGATGTCGTGCCACCGTTCGTGGACGACACCGAGCGGCTGTTGTGGCTGGGCGAGGATCGAGCAGGCGAGGTAGGGCCAGGTGCCCTGTAAGACGTCGTATAGTCAAAAGCTTAACCTTTGTCAGAGATTTCATTCGGAGACACATACAGAGGGGAGGACGCACGGATCGTATTCTGTGGTGCAGCTCGGTGCAAGGTCGATCATGCGGGACGGCGAGGTGATAATCGATGAGGGCGCCGACACCGTCGCGGTCGATGACGGCGTTACCGTACGAGATATCCCGGTGCATATACCCCAGCTTGTAGAGGTTTCGGTGTCCTGCATTGTCATGGGAACGGGCGTGTCGGCTAGGGAGCGCAAACGCAAGGCCGCCCAGTTGATTCCCGTGCTCACCTTTGACGACTCCAAGTACGGCCTGGGCGAGTTCCCTGGTCGTGGTCGCCGTGTTGAGGGACTGATAACACTGTAGGTGGAAGACCACCTCGAGTGCCCGGGGCCCGATATCATCAAAGCTTTCATCATCACCGAGGAAAGTTGGAAGCGTGCGGAAGCCGTCCCGGTAGATGCCGGCGCTAAGGCTTAAACCCTCGGTGTCGATACGCGACGCAGCGTGCATCTTGCGACGTAGGGCAATCGCATCGTCGAGGCGGGATTGCTCGACCCATGCGACTGTCATAGCGTACTCGGCGGCAGGGGCAGGCGAGGTGATTGACGTGGGGTCGACAGGCGCGTGTCTTGCGGTGACGCGAAAAGCGGAAGTTGCGCGACCCAAGCAGCTTCGGCGTCGGAAGAGGAGCTCCTGGATCTCGAGATCTGAGATATCGCCGAGCTCGGACTCGAAGTCGTGGGCGCGGGGTGGGAGAAACTTGTCCGAGACGACAAAATTGCCGAAACCATCGTCGACCTCGTTCGTCGAGGCCAGCATCCCGAGCCCGCTGTCGTCGAGTTCGATGAGGTGTGACAGCACGCGCCGGAGCAGCACGGCTTCCTGACCGCACTTGCGGGCGCTCGTCGTGAACACCCCACACGCGTTGACCAGGTAGACTTGAAGCACGTCCCCGCAAAGGGTGACCCCGATCGCGTGGGCGCGGAGCGCGGTCGTGCAGATCATGTGTAGCCGCCTAAGCACTTGGTTACGCGCTTCTGCGCTCTTCGTGTCGCTCTCTTTCACCTCAATCGCCACTGCAATCTGCGAGTATGCGCGTTGAGGCAACGGGGGCGTGCCTTCCGTCGACTTTCGGTGCTTTGACTGCGCCCAAACGAAGGGAAGAGCGGGGGCAGCGGCCACCGCCGCATGCGTCAATATGACGGCGTCGGGCGTGTTCTCCCGCTCCCCGCGATCGGGCGCCAGCTTGATGGGGCTACCCGAGTTGCCACATCCGACCAGACGTCGATCACCAGTCTACACCCGGGTGCATCAATGATCGGGAGACAGTGGTCAGTCATACTCGTGCGGTCGAAGCCAAGCGACAGCACCGGGGCACTCACCACATCCTTGATCGCGTTAGCGATCTCTCTCATCCCAGCCTCCGTCCCCAATTTGCTTGCGGGCTTGAGGATCTTGGCCTCGTATTTCGAAGGCGTGGCAAGAAAGTACTTGTCCATCGCCTTCGAAAGGCGAGGCTTGCCCATCTGGGCAAAGAGCTGTTGCTCCCTCTCTGCCGCCGTGACAGTCATCGACACGACCGGACTCGACCTCATCGGACTCGAGCGTGGCAAGGCATCGTCGAGGTCCGACATGCCTGACAGGCCTACGGCCTCGCGTGAACGACCTGCTCGCCCTGCTCGAGTCTTGTTGCGGATGATGGGCGCGCGTACCGGCGTTGATGGGGCGCGAGCCGACGAGCTGGGTAGGTGTGTCAGTAGCGATTGGGTGGCGGCGGGGGCAGGCTGCTGTCGTAAGGGGGTCGACGACGAACCGACGGGAGGGAGCGCGGCGCTGAGTGGGGCACAGTCGTATAGGTTGAGGTTTGCGCTTGAGCTTGCGCTTGAGCTTGCGCTTGAGCTTGCGCTTGTGCTCGATGTCGGGCCCGAATTTGTCGCGACTGAGGTCGAGGGCGGGGTCGAGGGCCGGGTCGAGGTCGAGGTTGAGGTTGAGGCCGAGGTAGGACCTTGAGCGGCGAGGCGCGCGCTCCTGCGCACTGGCACGGTCGACGCGGCGGCGCTCGGGCGCGCGGGGTTGGTGTCGGCGCGGGCGGTCACTGCAACGGCCCCAATTCGAGCGTGTGGGCCAGTGGCGTCAGTCAGACAAGTCAGAAGGCCAAGCTCGGTCCATTATAAATTATAGGCCAACTCACTAGGACAAGGACTCGACGCGTGATGGGTCACGGGGCAAGTCTTGAATACGAGCAGGGAGTGGGAGGAGGGTGAGGGAGAGCAAGAGTTGAAGCGACTTTCACTTTGTTGCGAAAGGTCTTTGCGAAAGGTCGAGACTGGTCGAGACGTGTCAATTACCTGACATGAATAAGCATTCCGCAACTCCCAACTCTGGACTCCGCGCGCCTGCGGCCGAAAGCGCGCCCGGAAGCCCATGCCAGCCAGAGGCCCATGTGGAAGAACGCTCTTTTCTGAAGTTTTTGTCGAATTTTTACACCCTCTTCTAGCAGACGTCGGCTTCACCCAGAAATATCACCAAAAGTTGTTCTACATGCTCCAAAAGTTGCTCAAGAGTCGTCGAAAACGCGTTCCGAGCGTTTTGCGGGCGCGCGGCGGCCGATCGAAGGTGGCTTGCCGCGCGCGTCACTTCGGCTGGTCTCCCCGGCCTCAAAAGCTGGGCGGCCTGGGCCGCGGTTGAACGATACGTAGTCGTCGCGGTTGAACGATACGCAGTCGTTGACGGGCCCAATGACTCAATGACCTGTCGACCATCAATCATGTGGAACGGCACAGTACCATAAATAAGGTGGGTGGAATAGCATCCCTTCTTGCTCAATGCTCGGTCGTATTGCGACCACAGGCGGTCGGCGCCGAGCGGCACTGCAGACGCGTCGACGCGTCGACGCGACAGCCAACGATCGAAATCCGTTTCGGGCTTGGCCGTTCGCCGCGGGTGAGGCTCGGCCGACTCGAGGACTTGTAGACGGCGATAGGTTTATTGCGACATTGTCACACTTACGATTGGCTTGTATACGCCTAATTTGTGCTATCCTGCATCGTCCTTTGAATATACTCAATCACGCTAGGTGCGTTGTCGCCTCGACGACTTTGGCGCGCGCGCGACACGGCTCCTTTGCCTCTCCCCACTCGCACACGACTCGTACCACCCGACTCGACGCGGCTCTGTTCTCACTCCGCCACAGCTTAACGACACACCGCTATCCCTACATCACCCACTCGGCAGGATGCAGCTCAGCCGCTCTCAACGGACGCTCGACGTGTGCCTTCGTGCCGGCTGATGCGAGCACGGTACGACGTCGCACGACACGACTAGCAACGACTCCAACCTGGTCATTTTCGGCACGATACGATGGGCAGCTCTTGTCTGAGAGGCCGTCGTCACTTTCAGCAGCGTCCTAACTACGTCGATGCATCGCTCGAGCGTCCTCGGTCGGACACGGGCGCGGTCATCCTGATCGCACTCGCTGCTCGACCGATGAGTGTGGTGAGCTCTTCATTCAGATAGTATTCAACGGGAACTGCATTCGCTCACCTCATTGTTGTTGGTTTCTGCTGCTCACCACTCTAGTTCAACTCGCGCGTTCGACATTGACCGACTCGCTGGCATCCGAGCTTTGCACCGAACCGGTCTGTAACATGTACGACCATACTTTGCGCATCCTTCATCAGCACCATCGAAGAGATGCTCAGCTTTCCTGAGGTCTCGAATTGATGCACATGTTACTCGACCCACATCGCCGCACCCTGAACACCCCTTTCGACCAGTGACGATTTCCTCCGCCACCCCCACATTGTTCACTCGCGTCGTCAACGTCAGCCAATCACACGAATGCAGTCACTCGCTGTCACATCTCTTTCTTGATCGAATCGAAGAGTCTCATTGACGCCGCAAGCTCGGGGGTTGTCGGAACATCTGTTGCTCGACTCGGCGAATATTTGACCGATGCCCATCCGCACCCATCACCGACTTTCAATCCGATCCACCGGTCGACCGACCGAACCGACAAACCTTCAAAGCTCGGTCTCCCCCTGCCCGTGCCCATCTCATCACCACAACGTGCGAAGTAACAGTCTGCTCGCCCCTCGTGACGGCCGCCTCGACCACCTCGACCATCAACCTTCCACCGCACTCGTGCTCGATCGCCATGGACTCACTGTCATCAACTGACCTACTCGCCGTGAGCGCCAACCCCAGGATCGCCCCATTCTCGACTCATCTGGCAAGTTCACCTATCGCCACGCTTGACCTCAGCTCGTCTTGATCTGTGTCGCCGCCCCCAGCTCGACACTCCCCCGTGATCTTCGCATCCACACCGGCGCATTAGCTCGATCAACCAGGTCCCGAGTCTGGTATGCTCTCCTCTCCAACCCAGGCATCCTCTCCGCAAGTCCCATCAATACTGAAACTACTTCAAACGCTCATCTGTGTTCCACAGCATTGCCCGACATCCCTGGCGCGCAAGATCCAAATCGCAGGTCACCCATCGTCAGCTTCCCACCGATTTGCTCAATCATCGCTCACACCCGATTCCACGAGCTTCTGGTTCGATACTGCCATCGCGAATACGACTTCTCCCGACCCGAAGTCCGTCATTTCCTTGCGATCAGCTTGACTCTTCAGCGCTGTTTTCGGCTGGCTCGGCACTCGAGGCACTTCATCGAGCAGCGTCGTCTCGACTCGGACCGTTCGGCACTCCGACGATCGATGATCAGCTGGACCCGTCCATCTCCCAGGCAACTTGCTTCGGCCATACTTGATGGACGATCAAGCCCCAACTGACATGTGTCCGCCTCGATGTGCCCACCTTGCCCAAATTGCCACTCCAACTCGTCCGGTCAACTCGAGCTTCAACTCGACGATACTTCTAACATCGACGGCTCTACCTCTCTGACACCGTGTTTGAACGCGACCCGATACGCCAGTCGATACATTTCAATTCGACCGATTCGACTCGGACCGCGTGGCGCTAACCGCTGACATGATCGATATGAAGATTGTGATGGTGCTGTCCGTGGACGGTGTTGGAACATGATGAAAGAACGCACGGGTACATGGAAAGGCCGGTTTGTGATGTAATGCACGTCAACCCGAACATATTTTCACATCATCGTGTGAACCCCAACGCACATTGTCCAATGATCATATGAAGCCCAACTTCCATGATCGCTGACCGTCATCATCTCCGGGTGAGCGCTCGAACACGAGATGGTGTGGACGGTCTATGGCTTCGCCAGCCCGAATAGCGCTCCGATGATGGATGTATGGTGTGTCGTGATGAATCCCATTCGATCGTTTTCCATCTTGGAGATCGCGAGCGCTCTCAGTGGCCGAAGGCAGCGGGGGCCGCCGCCCTCTCAAATACCAGAGGGCGCTCGGCCAAGCATCTTTGCAAGGATCGCGCTCGACAGCGCGCGCAGAGCTGGCGGGCAGCTGGCGGGGGGGATTTGGTATTTGGTATTTGAAAAGTGCGCATATAAACAGGTTGAAAAACACTACTGAAGCTTCGGTGCTCCTGTCTGGTCACTGGAGGCTTGCTTTCGTTATAGCCGGGCCGTCGTAATCCCACCGAAGCTCGCCCCACTCCTGTCGTCGATTGTATCGGGTTCGGCAGGATGACGTCGATTGGTCTGCGCATGCAGGATCTAGGAGTTTGATCATAACGCGCAGTACGAAGTCTAGTATTACAGTCACATTCGTCCATAGAAATGCAAAACAGGAACGCGGATGTCGAGCACGGTTCTACTCGCAAAGTGCCTTCAAAGCCGCCTGGACGTGTTCATACGACATCTGACCGGAGTTCCAAAGCGACGCAAGTTCTGGCTCTGTATTGATGGGTCTCACCCTTGCGAAAGACTGATCCAGCGAGCAATTTTGCTGCAGGACACTCAGGACCTTCTCCACGCCAGACCAATGAGATGCGCATGCGTTCAGGAGCTCCTCGAAGCCGTGTTCCGTAGACAGCCCATTTTTCCTGCCTGCTGCATCGTCGAGATCCTTGGCATTCCACACGTTCCAGATACGCTCGGCTTTCGGCTTCTCGAAAAGGGGCGGGCCGGCAGACTCAGATTGAAAAGCCGTGCGGGACGCCACATAAAAAAAGGACTCGATGTCGTGCCAGCGCTCGTGCACCACACCCTCAGTTGCGGGGCTGAGCAAGAGTCGAGAGATATAGGGTCGCGTTCCCTGTGGTTGATCATGGTACAGGGGAAGGGTGGGAAGGAGTTGGGTGAGTCCAAGAACGTGTTGAGGGCTAGCACGGACGCGAGAACGTACCGAGCGGCTGAGGCGACACTCTTCTTCTGCCGTTCGAGCCTTCTTCACCGCCAGATTGTAGTCGATCAATATTCCTTTGCCGTATTGGTCCACCATTACGTTGCCATAGGACACGTCCCGGTGGATGAAACCGTGATTCCAAAGCTGGCGATGCCCTGTCACGCAAGGGCGCAGTCGTACATCGTACACGGAAAGGGTCGTCAGTGCAGGCACACCCTTCAGCGCGCTGTCCCGCTCTGCTCTGAGCACTCACCCTCAATCGCACCCTCGAGAGCGCGCGCGAGCTGCTTGGTGTTTTCGAGCGTGGCGAGTGAGTTGTAGCACTCTTCGTGAACGACGACCTCCCTGGCCCGCGGGGTGACACCTTTCAGGGATTCGTCGCCGGGTAGGAACATGGGGAGGGTCCTGTATTCGGTGCGAAAGACGCCGACCAGCGGAGCGAGCCCTCGGGGTCTCTTTTTTTGAATCAGGTTGCGTATCTCGGCCAAGTCCGAGTTGCGCGACTGCTCGACCCAGGTGATTGTCATCGCGCGAGTCCTGACGTTGGCGCCCTCACCAAGGGTGATCTCGTATGTCGATGTCGCACGGCCGCACTCTCTTCGTCGACGGAACAAAAGCTTCTCGATCTTGACGTTGGACATTGTCGTTGCTCCCCCGCTGAACTCGGAGGCCGCCGGCGGGAAGAAGTCGGGGCAGAGCGTGAACGGGCCGTAGCGGTCGTCGAGCGAGGTAGTGGTGGGGAGAACGCCGTTAAGCCGATCACTGTGTTTGAGGAGACGGTACAAGAAGGTCGACAGCTCTCCATTTTCTTTGGTGACCGTTCTGTGTTTGGTGAAGAACATGCCGCAAGAAGTCATAACGTAGACTTTGAGACGGTCGCCGTGCAGGGTAAACCCGATCGCATATTCTCGAATCGGCGTCGCAAGGAGTGCCGACAAACGTCTGAACAACTGGCTCTCGGCGTTGGAGTTGTCCGTTTTAGTCTCGCCGACGGCAGCCACGTGCGTAAAGGAGCGTTTGGCCCGGTTCAGGTCCACCTTGACCTCGGTCTTGTTTTCGTCGTCGTCGTCGTTGTCGTCCTCGTCGTACTTGTCGTACCCATCGTTGTCGGCGTCCACGGCCTCGGCCTCATCGTTCTGATGCTGGCCCTTGCCGGTTCCGTTCACGTTGGTGTCGAGATCCGCATCGGGGGCGGCTTCCTTGGCTTGCGGATCGGCGTGACTGGGAAGGGCCCATACATTCGGGAGGGTTGGGTCGTGCGCGACCGCAGCGTGGGTCAAGAGCACGACGTCGGCCGTCTTATCGGTCGTCTTTACGCGGTTAGGTGCGACGCTGATGTACTGGGTCGAGTTCTTGCAGGCGACCAGTCGCCGGTCTCCAGTCTGAGGCCCAAGAGTGAGAAACGACGTCAGCCATCGGAGGCATACATTTCGCAACTCACGCCGCCAAGCGGTCGAGTAGCCCAGGCGTCGACGCACCTGGTTGATGACATCTGCTATAACCTCGCCCAGCGCTTCTTCGGTGCCAATGTTGGACTGCTTGGGCCAGATCTTGTTAGCGAGCTCCTCAGCGGTCGGATGGCCGAAGAAGTAGGCCTCAAGGGCCGGACAGTGTTTTTGGTGCATCTGGACCGCCTGGAAGATCCTTTCGGCTCTGGCTGTTGCTCGCTCTGCCGAGGCCGCCTCCCGGCGCGGTCGTAATGAGGTCGAAGTGGCTCGACGAGTGCGATACCGAGGTAGAGGGCCCGACGCCAAGTTTGCGGTCGCGTTCCTGGGCGCATTTGCGGTCGCTGTAGTCGCTGTCGTGGCCAGCAGGGAAGCGCGTCCCTGCAGTGAAGCGCGTCCCTCGCGGCGCCTGGTCGTACGTGTCAGACGTCGAAGGCAGCTGGGGGTCGGCGGATGTAGAAGCTGCGTCAGAACTACCAGCGCTTTAGCTCGACACCGTGAGAGAGTTCGATGCCATTGCGGTCGAGGTCGAGGTTGAAGATGAGGCGGCGCTAGAACTTTGGCGTGCGAGTCGGCGCCGTGTTGGACGAACTTCGCCTCAGACGCGCGAGGACCCATGAAAGCCCAGCCCCAACGCCGCGGAATCGATGCGCGTCAACGGCAGAGATTGCGCGCCAGGCCTGTGAGTTGGCACGTCTACACTTGCGCCAGCTTGCGCCCCCCGCCCCCGCCGCCACCCAATCGCTGCCGACACACCTAGGTCGTTCACGCGAGGCCGTAGGCCTGTCAGGCATGTCGGACCTCGACGATGCCTTGCCACGCTCGAGTCCGATGAGGTCGAGTCCGGTCGTGTCGATGACTGTCACGGCGGCAGAGAGGGAGCAACAGCTCTTTGCCCAGATGGGCAAGCCTCGCCTTTCGAAGGCGATGGACAAGTACTTTCTTGCCACGCCTTCGAAGTACGAGGCCAACATCCTCCAACCGACCAAGAAACTGGGGACGGAGGCTGCGATGAAGGAGATCGCTAACGCGATCAAGGATGTGGTGAGTGCCCCGGTGCTGTCGCTTCGCTTCGACCGCACGAGTATGACTGACCACTGTCTCCCGATCATTGATGCACCCGGGTGTAGACTGGTGATCGACGTCTGGTCGGATGTGGCAACTCGGGTAGCCCCATCAAGCTGGCGCCCGATCGCGGGGAGCGGGAGAACACCATAGCAAAAAACCCCCCCTGAAATGGGACGATCCCGGGATCATCCCGGGACCGGGCCCCGATTTGAAATCGGTGGAGCGATTTGAAATGCATTTGAAATGGACACACCAATTTGAAACGCATTTGAAATCGGCGCGCCGATCCCGAATGCGTTTCAAATCCTCGCGGGATCGATCCCAAATGCGTTTCAAATCGGTGCGCCGATCCCAAATGCATTTCAAATCAGTGCGCCGATCCCAAATGCATTTCAAATCGGCGCGTCGATTTCAAATGTATTTCAAATCGGCGCGTCGATTTCAAATGTATTTCAAATCGGCGCGTCGATTTCAAATGTATTTCAAATTGGTGTATCCATTTCAAATGCATTTCAAATCGAAGCCCAATCCCGGGATCATCCCGGGATCGTCCCATTTCAGGGGGGGTTTTTTGCTATGACGCCCGACGCCGTCATCCTCACGCATGCGGCGGTGGCCGCTGCCCCCGCTCTTCCCTTCGTTTGGGCGCAGTCAGAGCACTCAAAGTCGACGGAAGGCACGCCCCCGTCGCCTCAACGCGCATACTCGCAGATTGCAGTGGCGATTGAGGTGAAAGAGAGCGACACGAAGAGCGCAGAAGCGCGTAACCAAGTGCTTAGGCGGCTACACATGATCTGCACGACCGCACTCCGCGCCCACGCGATCGGGGTCACCCTTTGCGGGGACGTACTTCAAGTCTACCTCGTCAACGCGTGTGGGGTGTTCACGACGAGCGCCCGCAAGTGCGGTCAGGAAGCCCTGCTGCTCCGGCGCGTGCTGTCACACATAGCAAAAAACCCCCCCTGAAATGGGACGATCCCGGGATGATCCCGGGATTGGGCCCCGATTTGAAATGCATTTGAAATGGATACACCAATTTGAAATACATTTGAAATCGACGCGCCGATTTGAAATGCATTTGAGATCGGCGCACCGATTTGAAATGCATTTGGGATCGGCGCACCGATTTGAAACGCATTTGGGATCGATCCCGCGAGGATTTGAAACGCATTCGGGATCGGCGCGCCGATTTCAAATGCGTTTCAAATTGGTGTGTCCATTTCAAATGCATTTCAAATCGCTCCACCGATTTCAAATCGGGGCCCGGTCCCGGGATGATCCCGGGATCGTCCCATTTCAGGGGGGGTTTTTTGCTATGCACCTCATCGAACTCGACGACAGCGGGCTCGGGATGCTGGCCTCGACGAACGAGGTCGACGATGGTTTCGGCAATTTTGTCGTCTCGGACAAGTTTCTCCCACCCCGCGCCCACGACTTCGAGTCCGAGCTCGGCGATATCTCAGATCTCGAGATCCAGGAGCTCCTCTTCCGACGCCGAAGCTGCTTGGGTCGCGCAACTTCCGCTTTTCGCGTCACCGCGCGACACGCGCCTGTCGACCGCACGTCGATCACCTTGCCTTCGACTGCCACCGAGTACGCCATGACAGTCGCATGGGTTGAGCAATCCCGCCTCGACGATGCGATTGCCCTACGTCGCAAGATGCACGCTGCGTCGCGTATCGACACCGAGGGTTTAAGCCTTAGCGCCGGCATCTACCGGGACGGCTTCCGCACGCTTCCAACTTTCCTCGGTGATGATGAAAGCTTTGATGATATCGGGCCCCGGGCACTCGAGGTGGTCTTCCACCGACAGTGTTATCAGCCCCTCAACACGGCGACCACGACCAGGGAACTCGCCCAGGCCGTACTTGGAGTCGTCAAAGGTGAGCACGGGAATCAACTGGGCGGCCTTGCGTTTGCGCTCCCTAGCCGACACGCCCGTTCCCATGACAATGCAGGACACCGAAACCTCTACAAGCTGGGGTATATGCACCGGGATATCTCGTACGGTAACGCCGTCATCGACCGCGACGGTGTCGGCGCCCTCATCGATTATCACCTCGCCGTCCCGCATGATCGACCTTGCACCGAGCTGCACCACAGAATACGATCCGTGCGTCCTCCCCTCTGTATGTGTCTCCGAATGAAGCTTCTGACCAGCACTAACCTTTGGACTATACGACGTCTGACAGGGCACCTGGCCCTACCTCGCCTGCTCGATCCTCGCCCAGCCACAACAGCCGCTCGGTGTCGTCCACGAACGGTGGCACGACATCGAGTCGCTCTTTTACGTCATAATGGAATCTTCGTTCCGCGAGCCTGACCAGGGCAACAATGAAGAGCTTGTCATGACGCCAAAGGGTCAGACTACTTGGGAGGACTGGAACGAACCATCTGCGCGCAGAGCCTATGTCTTCAAAGTTGTGCTTCGCATGGATCCGGCATACGAATCTGTACTCGAAGGCTGCGCACATCGATGGACAAATATCCGGCTCCTTATCGACATCTTGAGACGCAATTGCGGCCTCGATAGTCGGTTCCTTGGTCTCGAGGTGGCCGAGGAAGATTCCGAACTGGGGGAGTTGTGGGGTCCGTCCGGAACGATGTCGCACGAGTCCATCATCTCGGACATTGAGCAGCTGCTTCCCTTGCTCTGAAGTGAGCACCTTTGCGCTGAGCTTAAATATAGTTGCTCGTTGTTAGTTCAGAATATTGCAATAGATACCCCAGGTCAATTTCCGTCCGTTCCAGTATAATTCCAGGCTGGAAATAGGACTGCGCCAGTGGTGCCTTCATTCGGCTCGACTGCGCAGAGTTTTTGGGCTAAGCCGTAGTCTGGGATGGCCGTACGTCATTCAGGCTTCGTTCATAGAAAGTTTCTTCTGAAAATCAAGGTTGTTGTCATACCATGTGAAAAAACGCGTAGCCTTGAGCCAACCAAATGAAAACTAAAGCCCCGCCTCAGAATCCTGTCTCTGATCTCACTGACCCTGCAGAGGGCCGAGCCAACTTTTACCTAGTAGGTCAAGTGTGAGGACGGTCACGTTCAAGATACGCAGCGCTCGAACGAGACCCCATCATCACCAACTATTGATGCGTATGCGCTTTTGCAACATGACCGACTCCCAAAGTCTGTTGATCTCTAGATGCGCCGAGAACTCGGTGGGCAACTGGGCAGGGTATTCGATGAGCTTAGCTCGGGGGGCGCGACGCGCCCATAACCCTGCGTAAATGCCGTAAATGAAACGTCGTTGCGAGCTCCGCCGCGGTGCACCGCCCGCACCGCCCGGACCTTGGGTGAAAAGAAAAGATCAGCGCGCGCGCGCGTCTGAGAACCTTATTTCAAGGGGGCGTTTTGTCGTGCAATCCATTGTATGCAGATGTATATAGATAGAAAAATAAGTTCCCAGCTCCCAGTTACAAAACCAAAGCTACAAAATGGCAAGTGATTGCTTTTCCAGTGCAATCTAAAGGCCCTCCGGCGAGAGGTCACGCCGAAGGCCGCTGAAATTAGGCTAAGATTGTGTCGAGATTTGCAAATGGTCCCAGAACCTCGACTTTCACAAAGGCGCCTCGACCAGATTCAGGATTCTGGGTCCTAAACCGGTCCAAATCGCGCACGCCTAGAAATGATTTCGGCCCAGCTGCAGAGTACTACAGCAGACTGCAGCGCGACAGAGCGCGACGGACTGCGATGGCGGAAGGCGACCTGCATCCCTTCCTTTGACCAGCCACTGCAGTACATCTTCGCGCTCCCCCCATCCACCATTCTTCGTCCTGAACCACAGAGCTCCAAGTGGATCGACACTCGAGTCTCAACAGACTGCACCAACAGTGAGTCAGAATGCCCTCCTACTGTTCGTTCCGCGTGGTCTGGCTGCTCAGTGTTGACCCAACATTGACCCATGGACTGGACCCGATGGCAATTGCAGTGCCTAGTCAGGACGCCCGGCGCTCGGGCCAAGCCGTCTCAGGCGAGGCGTCGTCGGGGCCCGAGATCCGAAGAAGCCCGCGACTGATGCAGATGCCGAACGCCGCGCCCCGCGCCCCGCGCCCAATCGACGCGCGTCAACGCCTCAGACCGCGCGCCAGGCCCGTCGGTTGACACGTCTGCTCTTGCGCCCCCCCCCCCCCCGCCCAAGCCGCCACGACCCAACTGCGTAGGCCAATCAACTTCAACAGCACTCGACCGAGACGAACCGGTCGTGCACGTGAGGCCGTAGGCCTGCTAGGCATGTCGGACCTCGACGTTGCCCCGACACAATCGAGCCCGATGAAGTCGAGCCCCTCAGTGTCGATGACGGCGACGGTGGAAGCGAGGGAGCAACAGCTCTTCGCCCACATGGGCAAGCCTCGCCTTTCGAAGGCGATGGACAAGTACTTTCTTGCCACGCCTTCGAAGTACGAGGCCAAGATCCGCAAGCTCGCAAGCAAATTGGGGACGGAGGCTGGGATGAAAGAGATCGCTGACGCGATCAAGGATGTGGTGAGTGCCCCGGTGCTATCGCTTGGCTTCGACCGCACGAGTATGACTGACCACTGTCTCCCGATCATTGATGCACCCGGGTGTAGACTGGTGATCGACGTCTGGTCGGATGTGGCAACTCGGGTAGCCCCATCAAGCTGGCGCCCGGGGAGCGGGAGAACACGCCCGACGCCGTCATCCTCACGCATGCGGCGGTGGCCGCTGCCCCCGATCTTCCCTTCGTTTGGGCGCAGTCAGAGCACCCAAAGTCAACGGAAGGCACGCCCCCGTCGCCTCAACGCGCATACTCGCAGATTGCAGTGGCGATTGAAGTGAAGGAGAGCGACACGAAGAGCGCAGAAGCGCGTAACCAAGTGCTTAGGCGGCTACACATGATCTGCACGACCGCGCTCCGCGCCCACGCGATCGGGGTCACCCTTTGCGGGGACGTGCTTCAAGTCTACCTGGTCAACGCGTGTGGGGTGTTCACGACGAGCGCCCGCGAGTGCGGTGAGAAAGCCGTGCTGCTCCGGCGCGTGCTGTCACACCTCATCGAACTCGACGACAACGGGCTCGGGATGCTGGCCTCGACGAACGAGGTCGACGACGCTTTCGGCAGTTTTGTCGTCTCGGACAAGTTTCTCCCACCCCGCGCCCACGACTTCGAGTCCGAGCTCGGCGATATCTCAGATCTCGAGATCCAGGAGCTCCTCTTCCGTCGCCGAAGCTGCCTGGGTCGCGCCACCTCCGCTTTCCGCGTCACCGCGCGACACGCGCCTGTCGACCGCACGTCGATCACCTTGCCTTCGACTGCCCCCGAGTACGCCATGACAGTCGCATGGGTTGAGCAATCCCGCCTCGACGATGCGATTGCCCTACGTCGCAAGATGCACGCTGCGTCGCGTATCGACACCGAGGGTTTAAGCCTTAGCGCCGGCATCTACCGGGACGACTTCCGCACGCTTCCAACCTTCTTCGGCGACGATGAAAGTTTCGATGGTATCGTGCCCCGGGCACTAGAGGTGGTCTTCCACCGACAGTGTTATCAGCCCCTCAACACGGCGACCACGACAAGGGAACTCGCCCAGGCCGTACTTGGAGTCGTCAAAGGTGAGCACGGGGATCAACTGGGCGGCCTTGCGTTTGCGCTCCCTAGCCGACACGCCCGTTCCCATGACAATGCAGGACACCGAAACCTCTACAAGCTGGGGTATATTCACCGGGATATCTCGTACGGTAACGCCGTTATCGACCGCGACGGTGTCGGCGCCCTCATCGACTATCACCTCGCCGTCCCGCATGATCGGCCTTGCACCGAGCTGCACCACAGAATACGATACGTGCGTCCTCCGCTCTGTTTGTTTACCTGAATGAAGTTTCTGACAAGCACTAACCTTTGGACTATACGACGTCTGACAGGGCACCTGGCCTTACCTCGCCTGCTCGATCCTCGCCCAACCGAACGAGCCACTCGGTGTCGTCCACGAACGGTGGCACGACATCGAGTCGCTCTTCTACGTCGTGATGGAAGTTTCGTTCCGCGAGCCGTACCAGGGCAACAATGAAGAGCTTGTGATGACGCCAAAGGGTGAAACCATCTGGGGGGACTGGAACCGGCCAGAAGCGCACCTAGTCTATGCCATCAAAGAAAAGCTTCGCATGGACAAAGCTTACAGATCTTTACTCGGAGGCTGTGCACATCGATGGACAAATATCCGGCTCCTTATCGACATCTTGAGACGCAATTGCGGCCTCGATAGTCGGTTCCTTGGTCTCGAGGTGGCCGAGGAAGATTCCGAACTGGGGGAGTTGTGGGGTCCATCCAAGGCGATGTCGCACGAATCCATCATCACGGACATTGAGCAACTGCTCCCCTTGCTCTGAAGTGACCACCTTTGCGTTGGGCTTGTTGATGGTTGTTCGTCGCTAGTTCTGATTATTGCAATAGATACCCCAGGTCGATTTCCGTCCGTTCCAGTATACTTCCCGGCTTGAAATAGGACTGCGCCAGAGGTGCCTTCATTCGGCTCGACTGCGCAGAGTTTCTGGCCTATGTCGTAATCTGGGAGGGCCCTTACATCATTCACGTTTCGTTCATAGGAGTGCTGTTTTTGGAAATGTATTAAGTGTATTGTCCTGTCTCATGTAACAAATTGCGTAGCCTTGAGCCAACCAAATGAAAATCAAAGCCCCGCATCAGAATCCTGTCTCTGATTTCACTGACCCTGCAGAGGGCCCAGCCAACCTAGGTCAAGTGTGAGCACAGTGACTTCAGGAAACGCAGCGATCGAACCAGACCCCATCATCACCAACTATTGATGCTCATGCGGCAGCGAATGCTTCTTTCACGACATGACCGACTCCCAAAGTCCGTTGATCTCCAGATGCGCCGACTGTGTCCACACTCCGAGTCCCTTGCATCTGCTGCCACGAAAAGGTCGCCTTTTCTTGCGGTGTGGTACTCGGGATCCCGTCGGAGACGTTCCGGAGTAGCGGGCCGGGTTCAGGAGCCATTTCGGGCTTAGCGGATCTCGACAGGAGTAGCGGGCCGGGTTCAGGAGCCATTTCGGACTTAGCGGATCTCGTCAGGAGTAGCGGACCGGGTTCAGAAATCAGTTGGAAGCAGCGGTGGTAGCGGAGTCGTTTCGATCGAAGCAGGGCCGAGTTCCGTCGGGAGCAGCGGTTGTACGGAGTCGTCTCGGTCGAAGCAGGGCTGAATTTTCCGAAGTCGTTTCAAACGGTCGAGTCGGAAGTCGAGCCAATTTCCACTAGTTCGGGCGGGACCAAGCGCCGGTTTCGGCAGAATTCTCAGCGTCTAAGCGGTCCCGGAAAACGTCAGTACTTCGGTGACTCAGGACTAGACTATCAGCGACGAATCATGTGGTGGCATTTGAAAGGAAGACCGGGCCGGATGCGCGGATGAAGGGGCGCAGGGGAGTGAAGGGAGCGCAGCGGTTTGGATGGTCGGGACGTTTGAGGGGAGTTTGCTTCTTGTTCTTAGATAGACCACTTCTAGGATCCAATACAGCATCTTAGCTGGTTCTCACTTTCTGCGTGTTTCAAGTCTCGTTCGGCATCGTCTCCAGTCTCCAGTCTCAGCGTTTCGTTCTCGTTCTCGGTCTCGTTTCTCGGTTTGGGCCCCTTTCTCGCCTCTCGCTCTCTCGCCCTCGCGTCTTCGGTCTCGGTCTCGGTCTCAGTCCCATCTTTCCCCTACCTTTACAATACATCTTTGATCGACCGCTTTGCTATACCATAGCATGACGGGGAGGTACTACCATAGATCAAGCACGGCACCTGTACCATGTTGTTCGCGTGCGTGGCCGGGGTGAGCAACGCGGTTCGAGTCGGGACGGTGTAGCGGAGCGTGAGCTGAGCTGCTCGACGAGGACGGCGAGGAACGTGACGGAACTTACCAGGCCTTTGACACGGAAGCTAGGAGGCTCTGGCAAGTTATCCGTGCAACGCGCAGCACTTCGGTAAAGGCAACAGCGCAGGCTGCGACACGAATTGGACGTCACACGATCAACACCGTCACGAAGTCGCCACGCACAAGCACATCGCCGGCAATGGCTGCAAGCGAATTTACTTGAAGATGAGCATGATTCCAGCTGCATCACTACATTTGAAATGTCTATTACACGGTGATCACTGTGTTGAAGTCAATCTTGAGGTCTAGGCATCCTGAATTGAAAAAAATGAGGTCGGCTCCCACTCAGCAGCCATTGCTTTCCGAGGTTCGATCGGATGGTGATCCTTTCACGCTTCAGAAAGGACTGTCTCAGTTGAAAATCTTAAACCTGACGGAAGAATAGCTGGGATGGCCTGCGGTGTCAGAGCATACTTGTAGACTTGATCGTCGGTGAGGGCTGCAGCCTGGTCTCAGAAGTTTGACTTAATTTGCGTGAGATCCGAGAAACCATCCGGTGTCAGATCCTGGCGAACCGCTGCAAGCAGCTCTTCTCCCCACAAATATCAGTTGCTACAGTTGGAAAGAGCTTATAGAAAAAGGCTAGGGATGCAATTGCGCGGTTGAAGCCAATTTTGAACGGATCAAGCCATGTCAGCTCGGTCGGCATGAGCGAGAAGTACGATCGATCGAGTGACTCCACAGAGTTCACTGCGACGGACTTTGATATCCAGTTTGGATTGAGTTCAGCCTTTGCTAAACCAGCGCTCATGTTGGACTAGCAATGTTGATACAAGTACATTCCATTGAGGCCGTTTGCGGTAGCACCATGTCGGAGGCCGCAGGTGAGCCGGCAAGAACGGGTCAAGAAGATCCAGAGCTTCTCAGACACGCACATATGAGCGCACAATCCGAATAATATTGCATCAAAGAGCACATGCTAAGTCCTTGTACGGCAGAAATGCAGGAAATGAAGTGCGAGGAGGAAACGTCGCTCGAGCAATTGCTTTCGCCAAAAAATCTCGATCCTCAAGTGAAAACAGTGGACGATCATTCATCCGAGAGAGCTAGAAACGGTTTCGAACGGGTCTAGTTGAGCGCAGATGGAAATCTGAGACCTGGTGGAGCGAATGAAAAGTCAAATATGAGCAAGAGTGCACACACTTGCACGACAAGGTGCGGAGGAATGAAAGGCCTTTCGGCTAAAGGCACGGACTGACCTTTCGGACGTTTGCTCGCTTCGTGACTGCCAAACGACGTTTGTCGACACCAAGCGCGGTGAATGCATGAAGAAGCGAAGCGAGGGGAGACGGAACACCGTGCGTCGCTGAGTGCAGTCCATGACCGCATGTCCAGGGTTGCAGACGCGTGTACAAACGTGCAAGTCGGAGAGATGGGATGGTGATCGTACGTATCAAGCTGGTCGAGCGAATCGCCGAGATCGATTGAGAGTGCGGCCGAAATGGAGCGCCGGCTGGCCCGGAGAAGCCCGAGTCGGGACTTTATGCTTCAATGTGCGCAATGTAGGATGGAGTTCGAGTAAGATGTGAAGCAATGAGTGTGTTGTGGTACTTCTCGGGAGCTTCGCCGGGAAGTCGATCGGTCGGTGTGTTCGACGAGGTTGAAAGTCAGCGTGCAGGTCCGGTCAAATCGAACGGCAAGGAAGGCGAGCGGGAATGTTGGATGTGCAGAGCCATGAGTCAAAACGTAGACGGTCTGTGACTTTGGACGGATGACCAGGGCGGGAGGTTGAGTGATTCGCGACGCAGTCGAGACAGGCTGAGCGCTTGAGGGAATGCGCGTCTCCACACCGACGCAATCGTGTCGCCTTAGAGCCTGTACGGCAAACGATTTTCGGAAAATCGCCCGGCCAAATTCCAAAATCGCGATTTTTGTAAGGATTTGTGATTAATCGTTAGTCGCCGGGAGGGACACGAGATTCGCGCGAGAACAAAAAGCGCCTCCTACCTCATAGCTCGTCGCGCGCGCCGGGGCCCTCTTCACCTCCAGGCTCCAGCATCTCGCTCTGTATGGCTTCTTCCAGCGAAGCGACGCCAATTGTTTCCGCCGACTCACGGCCACCAACGCTCACTCGACTCCTCGCTACTTGTGCTCCATCCAGCTGGTTTCTCCCGCCACCGGATCACGATGGAGCGTGTCACTCAACTGGCACGCGCGTTCAAGCCGATGCTGGGACGACCGCCTACGATTGCGTCGCCCGGCTGGGAGGATTGAAATGGGACTCACCCGCCTCACCTGGCGTCAGGGTTCTCGGCTCTTTCTTCGATATACTCGAGCAACACCCCTCATTGCTGGACCTGTTCCGCGAGGAGCTGGACGCCATCAGCAATGCTCCTTACAGCGAGTTGGATCGGAACACCGAGCACGACGTCGAAATCTCGTTCCTTCGCCTGTTATTTGGCCGTCTAGAATCTGCAACGGCGGCGCTGCTCAACCATTATGCCGCGATCACCGAGGCCGTCGGAGCTTCTTCCGCTTCCGCATCGACCTTCGCGACGAGACCCGGCTATTCGGTTCGACTGCGCGAACCTCAACGTGCTCTCCGCACGCAGGGCGATGCTGTCGTCTACATTCAACGTGGGGCTGGCAACGTCGTTTCAAGTATCTCGATCGAATACAAGCGGGACAACGTACATCATAGCTTGGCCAAGGTACGCCCGGACGGCGCCCTCTCGCATATTCCCATACTCGACCACGGGGCCCCAGTGCCACTTCAGAAACTAGAGGAAGAAAGGTCGAAGGGTGCAGATGCTGTGGCGACCAAGGTGAGGCATGCATCTTGCAGGCTTGGACATACGCTTTCTCGATCCGGCCTCGAGTATTGGGGCTCTGTGTTTACTCATTTCTCATTTTTCATTCTCGTGTAGGCCATTATCCAATGCGTCTCCTGCAATAGTCGATTCTTTTTGCTGCTGTCGGTTCCGTTCTTCCAGATTGGTGAACTGGGCACGTCGTAGATTTGAACTAACCAAAACCTGTCGAAACTTTCCGGGCTCCACTGACGCATGCGATCCTGCGGTCTTGCTTTGGCCATTCGCCCGCCCACAGTCCAGCACCAGTCGAGGCATGCTACAACGGCAAGCGATCCCGTAGCGTCGACCTCAGCGGCGTCTACCTCAATCTCGGCTGCGACCGCGTACTCACCGGCACCGCCCCTCAAGGCCAGGTACAGCTTGATTCTACAAGAACTGGCCCGATGGGTAGAGCCCTCTCCGACGACCTTGAATCCAGACGCGGCCGAAACACTTGGCGCCGATCTTCCACGACGGTCACTCATCGTGTCGTTCATTGCCCTGGCTTTTACAGCCGTTATCGAAGTCCCCAAGCCGGACCAAGCCGTCGTCGATGCACTGCTTGATGCCCGTTCCCAAGCTCCGAATCGGCCTCGAACTCGCTCCAAGCCGGACTCGGACTCGGACCGTGACGATGATCCCTCCCCGCGGGTCCAGAAAGCCCAGAAGACTTCGGCCGAAGCCACCTGTGCTCAAGCCAAGGATTTGAATCGGCCCACCACCCCGCCCGTCTCCGCGGAGTTGCAATCCGATCTCTCATTCGACCCGTTGACGCCTGTGACTCGCATCTTCTCGTCCCCTCCTGCGTCGACGGATTGGACGCCGCTTTCTGGTTCGTGCCACCCATCGAAGCCGATCACCATCGTTGAAGATCGCGAGTTCGTGATCAAGGCCAGCTTGTCGAACGCGCACTGGTCTATGATGGTGCGTCACGCGTTTTGCCCTGCTGCCCCGTCCTAGCCTATGTAACCCAGCTCATCGAAAGGACCATTCTTTTCATGCTCTTGCGCAGTCCTACACGGGCACGAGCCGCGTGGATCTGGTCGAGATCGGCTTTGATATCGTCCCTTCGGTTCCTTCCGACTCGCCCCTTCCGTCCCTTCTGTCGTCGAAATCTTCCCCAGCGAGCGATTTCATCGGGGGCCTACATTTGTCCGATACTGTTTTGCGGTGGCTGTCCGAAAACCCCCGGGAAGAACTCGAGGACGATCGAACCCCCTTGGAACTCTTGAATCGGTTCGAGCCCACTGCGCATCTTCGCCTGGAGAAGGAGGTCGGGACGGGAAGTACTGCCGGCGGGTGGCTTGCGAACGTCGTGCGAGTCAACCGACCTTTGTCCTCGTCGGCCAAACCCGAGGTGCCTCTAGTTGACCACCCTGCTCCGAACACGACGTACTTTCTCAAGCTCGTGCCGTGTAGTTACGTCGGCTCGGTCATCCGCGAGACGCTATTCTACCAGCACGTCTTTCCCCACCTCCCCAACCACCTTCAAAAACATCTCCCGCAATATCACGGCACTTACCGAAGGACGAATGGCAGCGCATACGCCATGGTGCTTGAGAATGTGGGGACCCACATGCGTTACTCCGAGTTTTATGAACGGTCTGGCCAATGGCAGTAAGTCTTCGGGTCACGGCAAGTCAAGTTGTCGACGACACGATCTTCTTTCACGATGAAATCCAGCTTATCGTGATGCTGATACACCTGTTCTTTCACTTCGTACTCGCCATGTGCAGTGAGATCGAGAAGGCTTTCGTTGAGCTTGGTATTGTTCACAACGATATCCGCCAGGGGAACGTATTGGTTCGACCCGACGATGGGGGCTTTTGCTTCGTCGACTGGGGACGATCTTATCTCAAATTTCGAGTGTGAACCTCCCTCTCTACCTGGCCCTTGGCTCCCCTTCTCTCCTCTCCTCTATTCTCTCTCTCTCTCTGTCTCTCGGCAGTGCTTGTGATCACTTCACTCCCGCTCTCCCCTTCTCTTTCTCTCGGCAATGCTCTTAATATCTTCACTCCCTCTTCTGAACCTCTCTCTCCTGTACTATTGTTTCATATACATATACTTTTCCTCAGTTTTGTCTGCGCAATGCTCAATACCTTGTTCTGTCCAGCGTCGTAGATGGACTCCGGCCCCCAGAGCCAACAGGCGACAGCCTATATTCGTTGAACGAGGACCATTCCAAGCTTTGAGGCGCTCAGACGACCTGACCTACAGTCATGGCCAACTTCCTTGAAGTCCAAAATTCGTAGTTCTCTGCCCTATAGAACTCAGGTTACTCCTAGCAAATTGCTTCTTGTGGAACGCCTTGGAAGCGCAAGGACCCGACAAGTTCATCTTTTCAAAACGAAACGTCTGCATTGTCATGCAGCTTCTACGCACAGAGTCAACTCCTCATCGTCAGAACGAACACTCAATTCAAGTTCGTAACCGATGCACTAGGTTACTCACAGCGCCAAGCACGGACACAGTCGGGCATTTCATTCTTCAGAGAAATATTGAACGCAGTCCCATTCTGGCCATCAGGCTGCTTCAGCAAAGGCTCTAAGACGTGTCTGGATGTTTCCGTACGACATCACACCGGTATCCCAGAGATCACAAAAGTTTGGCCTCAAGCTCGTCTACATCGAGGTCAACATAAGCTGCGGCAATCGAACAGTTGTCCTTGAGGATCGTAAGAACGTCCTCCACGCCAGACCAAAGGGACGCGCATGCGGCCAGGAGCTTCTTGAAGCCGGTGCGAGTACACAGCCCGTCTTTGTAAGCTGCTGCGACTTTGAGCTTCTGGGCATTCCACGCGTCCCAGATATCCGCGGCGTCCGACTCTTCGAAAGGGCCGGGGCACGTCTGCAGACCCAGATTGAAAAGCCGTGCGGGACGCCACATAAGAAAATGACTCAATGTCGTGCCAGCGTCCGTGCACAAATTCCTAGAGATTATCCTCGGGTGGTAATTTTTCAAGTCAAAAGCCATGTATAGCACTAGAAAATCATGAACGTCGGACGATCGAGTCTTTCAGTTTCGCCGACAGTGCTAACGGGGCCAAGTTTCTCTAGGCACCATCACCCTCTCCCTGTACTATTTTAAACGAAGACCTTTTCACCGACCAAGAGTCGTCAAATCGATTTCCCAGAGCATTGCGATCATCGTCGAAGGCGACCGAACTTGTCCGGAAACAAAGTGCCGACCGCATCAAGTTTTCACCGACGATCTGTTGGAGGAAACAACCTCTCATGCTTAATCACATCGCCAGAGATCACTGGAGAGCTTAAATCGTCTCTTCATGCATTTCACAGCATTGCGGTCTGCGAGAGTCGGACTGAGATGTGCTTCAAGGACACGCCCGTGACTAGGCTCTGACTCGGAGTCTTGTCTACTGTCGCGCGATGATCTCGCTCGTCATCGGATCAAAGATCTGCTCCCGGATACGATATCTTCCCTTAGATCTTCCAACGCAGCTCGTCTACAGAACGACCCTCGAGTAGAGGAATGTCAATTGTACGAGCGTGCTCAGTGACCTGGACGAGTCGACTCCTTTTCGCCGCGGACGCCGGCCGACTCGTCCGGCCCGGGCCCTCGCACCGAATTCGGAGGTACTCGCTCTGACTAGCCTTGAAACTTTCTCGCATCCTCTTTTGATCTTCACAAAGATATGCAGCTGAGATTCTTGAACCGGACTTGAGCAAATCTGTAGTGACCACCCACTGCGGACCGATCTCTCGGCCGAGCGTGCCGAGCTTCTTGCGCGCTTGGCTCGGCTTCACGTTCGCGCGCGCCAACGCTCCTTTCCCTCTCCCCACTCACTCGCACGACTTGGCCCGACTCGACTCGACTTGGCTCTGATCTCACTCCACACCACAACGCTCTCCCCACATCAGCCAATCGGCAAGATGCAGCTCGGCCACTCGACGGACGCTCGACGTGTCCCTTCGTGCGGGCTGACGCAGGCACGGTGCGACGTCGCACGACAAGACTACCAACAGCTCTAAACTTGTCATCTTTGGCACGATACGATGGGAAGATTGATACAAGTGGGCGCGGTCACTTTCAGCTGTGTCCCAACTACGTCGATGCATCGCTTGAGCGTCCTCAGTCGGACACGTACTCGGTCACCGCATCGCCTTGATCACCCCGATCGCCCACAAGCTACTCGACCAATGACTATGGTGAGTACTTCACTCTGATAGTATTCAGCGGGAATTGCAATCGCTCACCTCATGATCGACATTGCTACTCATTACTCTAGGTCAGATCGCGCGTTGGCCGACTCGCTGGCATCCGAGCTTCGCACCAAACCGCTCTGTGACGTGTACGATCATACATTGCGCATTCCTCATCAGCACCATCGAGGAGATAGCCAATTTTCCTCAGGTATCGGATCGATGCACATGTCACTCGGCCCACATCGGCCCACCCCCAAACACCACTTTCGGCCAGCGACGATCACCTCCGCCACCCCCACATCGTTCACCCTTGTCGTCAACGTCGAGCGACCACTCGTATGCGATCACTTGCCCTAACATCTCTATCGACGCGTCTCATCGACGCGGCAAGCTCGGGGCTTGTCGGAACATCTGTTGCACGACCCGACTGATCTGGTCCATGTCGAGATTCGAGACCTTCATCGGCTCAAGCACTTTCACCCCGTCGCGACCGCGCCCCGAATCAGTCAAACTCCGGCGCTCGTCATCCAGCTCGGCGAGTCATCCGTGGGGTTATAGATCTCAACATCGCATGCCAAAAATGCCACAGTCCCGCTCGCCCTTCTCGCCATTCAACTCGATCGGCCTTGCACGCTGGCTTTCGACCTCGTCGACCTCGTCGACCGCTCCGCCCGATCGACTTCAGGGCAAAGCTCCCAAGATGTGCCACGGAACACCTCCTCATTGCTTCACATCTTACTCGAACTCTTATTACGTGGTGCATGTCGAAGCATAAACTCCCGACTCGGGCTTCTCCGGACCACTCGCCACTCGATTTCGGCGTCGGACCGTGACGATCCTTCGTACTCTCAATCAACCTCGGCGATTCGCTCGACCAGCCTGATACGTACCATCCCACCTCGCGGACTTGCACGTCCGTAAATGTCCATCAACCCTGGACATGCCGTCATGGACTGCACTCAGCGACGCACGGTGTTCCATCTCCCCTCGCTTGGTGTCGACAAACTCGTTTAGCATTTACTTAGCAAGCAAACGTCCGAAAGGTCAGTGCATACCTTCAACCTGAAGGCCGCTCCTTCCTTCTCACCTCGTGTTTCAAGTTTGTGCACTCTTGCTCATGTTTAGCACCTCATTCGCTCAACCAGATCTCGGATTTCCGCCTGCGCTCAACTTGGCTCTTTAAACTCCGACTCGCTCGAAACCGTTTCCCGCTCTTGTGGATGAATGATCGCCGACTCTTTCGGATTGAGAATAACCTTTTGGGCGAAACTTGCTTTGCTCGACCTCGACCTCCTCTCGCTTGAACTCGGTGCGATAGATCACTTGTCGAGGAGCGTGCAAGCTTTTATCTTTGCCGCTGCTGCCTCCGCCAACCAAGACTCGATAAAGACTCGATATTCGCCGATCTCTTGCACCACTCGACAGGACTTGTCTTTTCCTCTCAGTGCACAAACACACAACGACGCAACATCTTGCCGTCATGCTAAAACGTCACTTGCCCCGTACGAGCGGCTCGACCTTATTCGACCCGGCACTTGACGGGTCTCCTGGAGCCGGCTGAGGCAAGCGACGACGCGCCCTTCAGCAACTCCAACACCTTCATCATTGCCAATCGGCCTTTAACGACTCGATACCGAGCTCCAAGGTACCTACAGTTACGTACGGGCTACGTCGATTGCTCACTTGAGCCATCGCGACTGGAACTGCTCCGACCTCCAACGACTCGCTCAGACCGCTTCCAGTGAGCTGTTTGATCCGAGGCCTCGCTTGTAACTTGCGCCCCTTGCTGATTGGATCAATATATGCCGTGTCACTGCGCAGCGTGGATTGTTGGTTACCGACGACCCGGAATGGGAGCGCTCCCTCGAATGAACCTTCGCACCGATTCGCTTACACGCTCGCACAGCCCACACCCGAGCTCGTGCATCACCATCCCTCGGGTTTTCCTGCGACAAGGTCCCAGCACACAGACTAGCGTCGGCCTGCTCACCACTGGAGATCCGCCGGAGATCCTTGCTCGCCCAGCAGCTTTCGAGCAGCTGCATGGAATTTGCTCAATCGCCCGCCCTCGTCATCCAGCGCGTCAAGGCATCACAATATGTCTACGTTTTAACTCGTAGATTCAAACATCTCGGTTTCCGCCTGCCCCGTCCATCAATTGGACCGGAGTTGCACGCTGACTTTCAAGCTCGTCGATCGCTCCGCTCGATTGACTTCATGGCAAAGCTCCCAAGATGTACCACGGAACACCTCCTCACTGCTTCACCCCTTTGTGGTTCAACGTGCGCAACGCAATATGGAGTCGGATTAAGATGTGAAGCAATGAGGAGGTGTTCCGTGGCACATCTCGGGAGCTTTCCCACTCGGCGCTCGGTTTTGGCGGTGGACCGTGACGAAACTTCGCATTCTCAGTCAGCCTCGGCGATTCGATCAGCTTGTTCGGTGTGATCACCATCTCACCTCTCCGACTTGCACGTTCGCACATGTTTCATCAACCCTGGACATGCGGTCATGGACTGCGCTCAGCGACGCACGGTGTTCCATCTCCCTTCGCTTCGCTTCTTCATGCATTCACCTCGCTTGGAATTGACAAACTCGTTTAGCATTTCCCTAAGCGAGCACACGTCCGAAAGGTCAGTGCGTGCCATCAACTTCGGGCTTCCCCTTCCTCCATACCTTGTGTTGCAAGTAGGTGCACTCTTGCTTATGTTTGACTTTTCTTTCGCTCCCAAATTCCAGCCTGCGCGGGTTAGGAACTCATCATGTAATAGATCTCTCAACTTGAAGCATGCTCGAATCCGAATCATATTGCTTGCAGCAGTGACCTGTTGGAAAGGACCACATAGACCTAGATCATGTGTGCTGCGGTATCGCTTTGGCTTTGTGATCTTGAAAACCGGTCCCGAAGAAAGTATTGCCTCAACAGGACCGCAATCTAGCACGGCACGCGTATGAATAATGAGTGTTCTGAGAGTGAGAAACATGTATCTGCCGGCGGGGGTTGCGAGAATGAGTCAATTAGTCCTTACTTGTCTCTCGGTTCGGCGGCGATCGAGCCTTTTCGCCGACAGTGCTAAATGGACGATCTTCTCCACGCCATCACCATATCCCTTTACTATTTCAAACGTATGGTTTTGTACCGAAAAAAGGTCGTCAGATTGACCTAACAGAGCATATCGTTAGAGGCGACCGAACTTGTCCGCGAACGAAGTGCCAACTGCATCAAGTTTTCACCGACGATCTGTTGGAGAAAACCTGCTCTCGAACTTTTTTCACACCACCAGATATCACCTGAGAACTTGACTTGTCTCTTCATCCATTTAACAGCATTGCGATCTGCGAGAGTCGGACTGAGATGTGCTTCAAGGACACGCCGCCGAGTCTTAAGTTTCGTCTCCCTTCACGCGATGATCTCGCTCGCAATCGGACCAAAGATCTGCTCCCGGATCAGACGTGTTTTCCCAAAAATATTCCAGCACGGCTCGTATATGTTTTGGGAATGGCTTTTGAGTAAAGAAATGACAATTGTACAGGCGTGTTCAGTGACCCGGACGATCGACCTCCTTCGAGTGGCCACGGACGCCGGCCGACTCACTCGTTCAACAACCCCCGCCAAGCGTTGACCTCGGAATTACTCGCTCTCTCTAACCTATATATATGAGCAAATCCCACATACCACATGCCACAGACTCCCGAAAGACCCTTGCAAAGAAGCTCGCGCGAGCACCCTGTGGTATTCGAGAGGGGGTGGGAGCAGTCCGGCACTCACAGCCTTCGGCCACCGGCGCTCGCGATCTCCGAAATGGGTTTCCCATTTCGGGCTTCGGGGTATCGCTGGAGCTGAGGCACGGCAGACGTGAGGACTTGTAGATGTAAATAATTATGTTGTAAAGCTGTCCCGATCTCGACTGGTGTGTACATGCTTAATCTGTGCCAAGATGGCACTGTGCTTTGAGTATACTCAATTACACTAGTTGTTGTGGCCTTGTCGACTTTGAAGCGCCCGGGCGGTCCACTGCTTTTTGTCCTCGGGCCAGAACAAATGTACGGACATGTCCGTCCACTTTATTTTAGGTACACATCCAGATCAGCTCTTGTTGAACAATTATATGAGCAGAATTACTTTGATAATTCGAAATTGCCATGTTCGTACGGCAGGCAGATCTCGTGTCCGTACCGTAAGCCCATGTCCGTCCTCTCATGTCCGTCCCCTGGGATTCAGAGGACGGACATGTCCGTCCCTTGATTTCTTTAGGTCCGTAATGTCAGATAATACTGATGCTGTTGAACAATTATATGAGTAGGATCACTTTGAATATGCAAGGAGAACATGATAGCATGTAGTACTTATGATAATTCGAAATTGCCATGTCCGTACCGCAGATCTCGTGTCCGTACCGCAAACCCCACTGCATGTCCGTCCACTTGTCGGTCGCGCGGTCTGCGGTACGGGGACATGGCTAGTATAGGAGATGCAGTGTTGACACATCTCCGACCAATTGCAACGCCGCGGCTTCGCTCGCTCCAAAGTGGTCTGTGACAGAAGACAAGTGGCTGTATAGAGTAAGCATTGTTGTTGTCACCGAATACCTAAGAATCATCCTCGAGTGGTTATTTTGCAAGTCAAAGACCATGTATAGTGAAAGTCATGAACGCCGCCGGATGATCAAGCCCGGCCCCTTTTCGCCGACAGTGCTAAGTGGCCGCTCTTCTCCGCCCGATCATCATATCCCCTGTACTTTTGCAAACAAATGCCTTTTCACGGAAGAAAAAGAAGTCAGAAGGGCCTCACAGTATATAGGAATCATCGTCGAAGGCGGGTGACCGAACTTGTGCACAAACGAAGTGCCGACCGCATCATCTTTTCACCGTCAAAAAATCCTAATATCGCGCTCTGTTCAGGCTACCAGATACAGTTATCTCTTCATTGCTGATTCGGCACCACTGGACCTGAGCCAATCGGAGGCGGATCTCACGGCCGAGTGCGTCGAGCTTGGGAATCTTGCGCGGTTAGCTGATGGGCTCGACTTTACGTTCGCGCGCGCCAACGCCCCTTTCCCTCTCCCCACTCACTCGCACCACGCGCACCACTTGACACGACTCGGCTCTGATCCCGCTACACCACAACGCTATCTCTACATCACTCATTTGGCAGGATGCAACTCGATCTCTCTCAACTACAGCTCAATGTGTCACCTCAATCCGACTGAGTCGGGCAGCACGGTGCGACGTCGCACAACACGGTTAACAACATATCCAACCCTGCCACCTTCAACACGATACGACTGGAACTGAAACCTGAGAGGGCGTCGTCACCTTCAGCAGCGTGCTAGCTTACGTCGATGCATCGCTCGAGC